AAATCCTTGTGTAACTGCATTATTGCTGAATAGAACCTTGCTCTGATTATATATAAGAAACATTTGCTCAGTTCAAGGCAATCGGTTTTCATGGTTTTACCAAGTAAGATTAACTTACTCTTAAAGTAAAGGTTACTACATATTTCAGATTTGAGGAAGTGACTGATTAGTTGGCACAGCTTCACAACATGAGTTCTATGAAAGAAAACTACATCACACTTACCTTGTTGTGCCTAGTTAGATGAAAGAGGAATTTACTGTACACACTGAGGAATTACCTGTAAGCTCAATTTTAGATTCATAGTCGACTTTAGTCAAAATTTTCAAGGCAATCGGTTTCCTAGGTTTTTTTCAGAGACATGTTCCACCAGGGCAAGTTTTAGTTGTAAGCAAGTATATTAAGAAGTATAAACTAAGACTAAACCAGGACTAAACCAGAAGTAAACCAGAACTTGACATGTGCCTCTTCTGATTGACACTTTGAGCATACTTGCATGTTGTGATGCTGAGCCATGGCTAACAATAAATCTGGCTCTGGGTGTGTCGCAGTCAAATGATTCTGAGAACTCAAATTCCCACAAACCACTGCTCCATCTTTCCATCATCCACTGAAGGAAATAAATACAGAAACTTTATTGTAATAAGACTGACACAAGACTAAACCAAGTTCAGATGCATCACAACACTTTTTCTATAAACGTAAAGTTGATGGGAGATGGGAAACCAGGACTAAACCAGGATAAAACTAAGTCTGAACAAGAACTAAACTGGGTGTAAAGCAAGAGTAAACTGGAACTAAACCAGGACTAAACAGAGCCAAAAACAGGACTGAATGAGAAGTAGAACAGGACTGAACCAAGATTAACCCATGACTAAACCAGGCCTATACCAGGACTGAACTAAAACAGATTATTTTAAATTATTTGCTTTGGATCATAATTGATTGAAAAAAGGATCAACATTTTAGTTTTAGTGAATATAAGGATCTTGTACAACATTATTTCTATTATGTAATGGCAGCTGGTCTGTATCCCAACAACTACAGGGCACTGAAAAATCAACAAATCACCACTACAAATTATCGAAAACTAATGATAAATGTCTCACCAAAAATGGGGAAAAATGGAAGACTTCATTTTTCTATGGTAACTTTTGGGAATGTTATTTTAGCAATTCTGTTTAAAGCTGCGCAGTAACATTGAGGTGTGAATGTTACTCTTTAGTGTCAATGGAAATTTTGACCAGGGAAAACCAAGGGCTAAGACCAGTACCAGGACTAAACCAGGATTAAACCAGGATTAAACCAGGACTAAACCTGAAATAGACCAGGGCTAAACCAGGACTGAACCAAGATTAAACCAGGACTGAACTAGGACTAAACCAGCACTAAACCAGAACTGAACCAGGATTAAACCAGGACTAAACCAGGACTGAACCAAGACTAAACCAGGTATAAACCAGTTCTAAACCATTTCTAAACCAGATCTCAAAAAGGTCTCAACCAGGACTGAACCAAGACTAAACCAGATCTAAACCAGCACTAAACCGGGACTGAACTATGACTCAACCAGGACTAAAGAAAAACTAAACCAGATCTAAACCAGGATTAACCAGGACTAAACTAGGTCTGAACCAAGTCAAAACCAGGTATAAATCAGGTCTAAACTAGGCCTAAACCAGGACTAAACCAGGACTGAACTAAGACTAAACCAAGTATAAAGCAGGTCTAAACCAGGACTAAACCAGAACTGAACCAAGACAAAACCAGGTATAAAGCAGGTCTAAACCAGGATTAAACCAGGACTGAACCAGGTCTAAACCAGTTTTAAACCAATTTTAAACCAGGGCTCAACAAGGTCTCAATCAGGACTAAACCAGCACTGAATCGGGACTGAACAATGACTGACTATGGCTCAACCAGGACTAAACAAAAACCAAACCAGGTCTAAACCAGGCCTAAACTAGGCCTTTAACCAGGACTAAACCAATACTTAACCCGAACCAAACGAGGACTGGACCAAGACTAAAACCTAGTCTAAACCAAGCCTCTAAACCAGAACTAAACAAAGACTAAAACATCATTAAATTAGAATTAAACCAGTTCTAAACCAGGACTAAACCGGGTCTAAACCTCGTCTAAACCCAGTCTTTCTTCAGGACAAACAGTGTGAGTCACAGAGACCTGACAGATCCTCCCTGTGCTGTGACGTTCCAGGCGTTTCACAGAGGATCCCAAAACCACAGAGCTGCTCATGTATCAGAGACACTGGGAGGGAGCGCCTGTGTCCAGACAACATTCAAAAGAAACTATATTATATAACATAGACCTTTATGAGCTGTAATTCCAGTCCCTCATCATTAGCTTATGCAGGGTTATAGTATTTTGATTCATGTATGTTTGAGTAATCTTTTATTATTAGTCTGTCTACATTTCTAAAGCTCAAATGTTCTGCTCCACCTTGTGATGTCATATAGTGGCAGTAGTTCCTTTTGTTTGGTATAGATTGACACATCCAAGGCTGTAAGAATACACGTGATTCTAGTGAAGGTGTACGCAGTTTTAGAGCACAAAAATGAGACCTAAAATAACCTTTGTTCAAATATTAGGTAATTCAAAAGTGTTAAATGTGTAGCTACTCAAATCATGGCAAAAGAAAATTACTAAACCGGGACTAAACCAGGACTGAATCAAGACTAAACCATGTCTAAACCAGGACTGACCCTCCAAACCAAGACTGAGCCAAGACTAAACTTGAACTAAACCAGGACTGAACCAGGTCTAAACCAGGACTGAACCAGGACAAAACCAGGACTGAACCAGGTCTAAACCAGGACTGAACCAAGACTAAACCAGGTCTAAACCAGGACTGACCCACCAAACCAGGACTGAGCCAAGACTAAACTTGAACTAAACCAGGACTGAACCAAGACCAAACCATGACTAAACCAAATCTAAACCAAATGTAAACCAGGACTGAACCAGGACTAAACCAGGACTGAACCAGGACAAAACCAGGACTGAACCAGGCCTGAACAAGGACTAAACCAGGACTGAACCAAGACTAAACCTGGACTAATCTAGAACTAAACCTGGACTAAACCAGGACTAACTTGGACTTAACTTGGACTAAACCAGGAATGAACCATGACTAAACCAGACTAAATCAGGACTGAACCAAGACTAAACCTGGACTAAACTAGGATGGTCAACATGGACTGAGGGATTATGGAGACATTCAGATCATGTCAACAAATATTTCTGAATTCAAGTGATTTTTAAATTTTCCTTTTTTGCAGTGTATGTGGCATTTGTGTTTGTTTGCCCCGTGCTGTCTGAGGAGCTCATGATTCATGAATGTGCTGTTTGTTTTGAGTTTGCTCAGAGTCATGTGAATGCCTCACACCCCTCATCCCAAAAGGATCTGTCATGAGTCTGTGTAATAGATGGGCTTGACTTTTTCATGATATTCTTTTTTTCTTCTTTTTTTTAGATTGACTAGTATATATGTGTAATATAGGAACTTTAATGTTGTTAGGAGCAGTTATGATTCCTTCTAACACACACAGAAGTTTTATTAGTACTGGTGTGTTAGTATTAGAACTGTGGTGACTGCAGGACTCGGCATGTGTACTCTGGAACTGCAGTACTGCACATTCAGGCTGTCCTCACTGTCTTCTAGTGGAGAGACTAATCTGAGGCTAGGTCTGTTTTCTAACTGATCTTATGTAATATTTTTCTAGATAATATTTTAAAATATACACAGAATTTAGATTTTTCATTATCTGTAAATCACAGTCATAAAAATTTAAGAAATAAACTCTATAGCTGCAGCTCTCAAGAAAACTCTGCTCTGCTCACTCCTGTTTAGCTGCACATACAACTGAAAGAGGTTTATTTTGCATTATTTTACTTTAATGTTAATTTCATGATGATTATTTATGTTTTTTATTCATTTGTCTTGTGACCTCATTGTGGTTCTTGCTCTGAAAATCACTTTGAATAACTTTGTGTATGAATTGTGCTATACAAATAAACTGCTCTGTCCCTGTTGCCATAGAAGTATAATATTATAATATGCATGCTGTGGGTTTGTCAATGGAAATATATGACTCACAGACAGGGACGAAGGAGCACAATACTGCCACCTTGTGATGGAAAAAATACGACATATGAGAGCCCTCTCCGGCTGTTTTCAGTTTGCCATTTACCTTGCACAAATTCCCCCCCCCCCCCCCCCAAAAAAAAAATAAATAAAATAATAATAATAATATATATATATATATATATATATATATATATATATATATATATATATATATATAAGTTTAAATGATTTGAAATACTTTTTGTAAGCTATATACTTAACCACCAACATTTTAGTTTGCAAATCTATAAGTCATTAGATTTTAATATTTAGGCTACACTTTAATATAAAACAAAAATTTAACTGCTAAGCTAAATCTTGAAATGTCTGGAATAATGTGTGGCCTCTTCATATTCTAAATTAGGAAAGAAGCTTCCTGTAGTATTTAGCAGACAATTTTAAAACTTTTTGACTGTGTGCATTGTGTCACCATAGTAACTTCTAAACATTCTGCCATGCACATACAAGTAGAACACCCCCAGTGTGATGTCACTGGTAAGTGTCAATATCATGGACCTGTTCAGGGATTTCAGAAAAAACAATTCCTTCCTGATTTCAAGTTTTTGAGAACATTTACCTATTCAAAAGATAAAAACTTTTGATTCAGTTGCTTATCTTCTGCAGAGGACTGTTGTCATTATTTAAAATCATTGAACACATATAGTTTGAAATAATTTGTGGTGTTTATGTGATTCTTTTAGGATAATATAAGCAAGTGCTGTACCTTCCTATTGGAAAGTTACACAATGAAACTTAAACATATATTTTCCAAATTGCCCAAAATTTCCAAAATTCATACTTTTTTCAGAGCTCTAAAGTATGGAGATTAGATTAAAAAAACAGCAACAACTAATGTGAAAAGAAAATATATGTTTATTAGAGGTTTCTGAATCCTGCCCACCCTCAACAACAGTACAGAGCAAATAGACGAGTTTAAAATGTAACAAATACACTTAGAAATCAAACATTTAACTTGTATATTATAGTATCAGATGACACAGAGGCGTCTGTCCAGATAATGCAGAAAGATTTTTTATAAGAAAGTAGAATTGGAGTGAGCAGGTTCAGATTGTCTATATAATTTTATATCTATGAGACACGGTCCACATCTGGCATTAGCAACTCTATCCCATCAAAAGTGGATTTATTTAAAGGCCCATATTACGCTATTTTCTGTTCTATGTTATGTTGTTTCCCCAGAAACATACCCAGAGTTGTGTTTTGTTTCATTCACACATTTTTAAAACACAAATCCTGCATATTTAGACTGAGTTCTTCTCTCAAACAGAAACACTCTATTCCATTTCATGATGTCATGTTGTAATACACAAAGGGCTCCACTGTGGTTTTAAAAATGCACCTTAACTGAAACCATTTCGATAATTTCAGCCCTGGAGTTGCCAATCTCTTCTGAACTAAAGGTAAGAGGCAGCTGTTAACTTGAACAGAGCATTTTGAGCTTTGGAGATGTAGACAGACTAATAATAAAGGATTACTCAAACTTGCGTGAATGAAACAAAGCACAACTCTGGGTATGTTTTTGACGAGGTAACAGCATTATAACATGGCTTAAAGCTCACAAGAATTCTTTATGTGTAATATAGAACCTTTAAGACATAAAAATCAGTTTGATCACAATAGAAGATTAAAGACATGATAAATTGGTTTAAGTTCTAAATACATAACGTGAATAAAAATAAAAAAAAACACTTAGAATGGGACAGTGCCAGAGGTGGACAGAAATCTCTTCCTTCTAACAACCCAGAGATACAAAACAAAAAAACTTCTTTGCAAATCACTGAAATTAGATTAATTTTGTAGCTAAAATGATGCTTACAAATTCATATTCATCCCTGTATGCAGTTCAACTTGGACAGCCAGATCAATTTTTTTAGTAGGTTGGTTTAAACTTCTTTCATGCAACTTATTATTTATTCAATTGCATATCATATTAATTCCACAGACTAAACTTGTTTGCTTTCTGTACTGGGCCCTAAAGTGGCTGGAGTTGACATCTCTGGCAATGACCAAAATGAACTGTTTCACCCAGTACTTTTTTTAATACTTAACCAAATGCCCAAACCAACTATTTGTACATACAACTTCTTTGGCTGTTCAGGTTATTCAAATTATACATTTTCAGTGACTTGCAAAAAATATATTTAAATAAACACACATTTCTGAGTTGAAAACAAAACTAAAGGGAAAGGGGATTGGGGAAGTTTTAGTTACCTTTCTTACAATGTCTTTTTGTTTTTTGACACATCGCATACCACTGCTTATATTAAATAGTAACAATGAATGTATTTATTGAATGAAAATCTTGGTTTCTATGTGTTTAAGGCAAATTCAACATATGTATTTGACCACTCTGAAATAAAAGACCAGTTGTGTTTGTGTGTAGGGTCGGCCTGAGTGCATGCATCAGGGAGAGGTCGCAAAATATAACATAGTAAGTAATATGTATTGTTGTACTAGTTAAATTCGGTTCAATTCTTTTTAGATTTCAATTAGAGTATAAATTGGTCTTAAAAAAAAAAACAAGAAAACTATTTTTGGTTTTCTTTTTTTTTTTAAAGTCTAAGTCATTCCAGTCTTGTTTAAATAGAAAATGTTCAAAATGCGAAAAAATGAATTGAATCAAGTCTTAATATTTTACAGAAATGTTTAAACAAATAGTACATTGTGTCACTAAGATGTAGTTGGAGTCCAAACATTAACTATGAACAAAACAAACTTGCTTCCCGGAGGTTGTGATGTCATCATTGCAAGATTTGTGTAGCCAATAAGCAGCACCAAAATATTTGAAGTCATAACAGCATATGCCCCTATCAGTTTTTAGCCTTTGTAAATTATCATACAAAAATCTCACATGTATGCACAAATTTTAAAGAGGGGGTATTGACTGCTAACACATGACGTATTTAGATCACCATGTTAGCTTTTATTATTTTGAAAATGTTATATTTATAGAAAACAACGCATTAACAGGATTCTTCCCTTTGCTCTACATGTTAAGTCACTCCCCCTTCAGAGCGCTATCACACTATCAGCACTTGCAGAATGACACTACTGCACATCGCATCAAGTTTGTCAAGTTGTTGTGTACAGTTTTATATCATGTTTTTGTATATTTATGGAGAATTTCTATGTGGGAGCATAGATGAAGTAGGCTAGAGGATGAAGCATTGGACAGACTCTTACAGTTAACCTTAAAGCGCGTTCAAATAGGTCTGTGATGAGATCGCTAAAATACTGAAACATGTATGCATGCCATCCAAAACCTCTTCCGACATATATTTGATGAGGGAACTAAATTATAACATGGTAGAAAGCTTAAAAAACAATACCCCCTCTTTGATGTCTATCCTGATGAACATTTAAATCTCATAATGATGACATAACTTCCCATTACCTCATATTTAACTTTGAAAAGATCTTATCTGGAAAAGTACAGCAGTATGCAAGATGAATTCCTGATTCAATGTTTATCAGCACATCTTAAACTCTTCTTAAAACAACAACAACAAGAAAAAAAACTTGTACATTTTCAAAAGATATAGTTTTAAATGGTCCATCGCTACAGCAACTGTCCTAATTTTTCATCATTCTGGGTGTAATCTGTATTAACTATTACTTTAATGTGTTAGGTGAATAGCCTTAACTTTAAAGATGTACTGTGTAACATTTCTGGTCAAGAGTTTGTGACCTTTGTTTTTCCCATGGAAATGTGATTTCTTTGCTAGGAATGTTCCACAGTATGGACAATAAAATTCCAATAATCACATAAATGCGCAATAGCCAAGCCAACGCCATATTGTGGAACATTTTAGGCATAGCACTAATAGAATTCATACCCTTGGTCAGAAAAATTCACAGTGCCATTTTAACTTCTGATTTTAAATATTTGTTGTCATTGTTACAAATTGCCCTTTTGAAATTCTCAAACCAAAGCACAAGAATCATCCACTGCCTGTGTCGTACAAATAATAACATTTCATATTTGCCTCACATCTTGAGCCACTCATCACCCTTGTGTTTGTGTGTTGTGTCTACGGAAATACCTGTTGTGTTCAACTGTTCTTGTGCGTGATGTTTAAATAATTCCTGTCCATCAAATGTCTGGTTCACACTTGTTTGCCCTAAGTCTAAAAACAGAAATAATACAGTCTTCTTGTGGGATTGAAGCTGAGGGTGTGTGAGCACCCTCAGGTGATGTGAGGACATCTAGCGAATGGCCTTGACCGGACTCTTGAAGCTGGACGCGGCCTGGAGCTGCAGCTGATAGGCCATGGGGTGGATCTTAAAGCCGTACAGCCTGAACAGGGACAAAAAAAAAAAAAAGTGGAATATTAGTTAAAAAAAAAAAAAAAAAGCTAAATGTAACATATTTGAGGTTGTGGTTTGTTTTGATTACACATTTGAGTAATCCTTTATTATTAGTCTGTCTATATTCCCAAATCTCAAAATGCTCTGTTCCACCTTCTGATGTCATGTAGCAGTAGTTACCAAGTTAACAGCTCCTTTTACCTTTAGTTTAATGGGGATTGGCAATTCCAGGGCTGAAATTAAATTATTCTAGTGCAGATGTATGGAGTTTAAAAACACAATGTCACATTCCTTGTATTACAACATGACAACACAAGGTGGAACAGAGTGTTTTCAGAGTAAAGAATTCAACCTAAATATGCAGGATTGATGTGGTAAAAATGTGAGAATGAAATAAAATGCAACACTGGGTATGTTTTTGATGAGGAAACAACACTATAACATAGATCAGAAAAGAAAGTAATGCAGGCCCTTTAAAGTTTGTTTTTAGTGCAAAGATGTGTGGTTTAACACAATACTCATACTATAAAATATGTAAATGATCAGACAGGCTGTACTGTATTATATGAACTCACATGTATCAGGAGCGCAGATGGGAGTTGCAGGTGCTTTTCTTAAAGCATTATTAAGATTTATTCAACACGTTTCAGATCCAGTGGCACTCGCTCATGCTTTGAACATGTTTTGTAATGCTTTAGTTTGGCTGTTGCCATCTGTCTGTTAAAACCAGTCCATAGTTCACTTATGTAATCCCCAGACATAGCTGCAATGGTTCAAGGTGGGTTCAAGAATGACTTTACTCAAATATCAATAAACAAAGCAGTATTTTGACGTTACAGACAATTGTAGGTGACTTAACACAGTATAAAAATGCATTGGGAATTTGTATAGTATAGTAGAAAATAATGCTACTTTTTCTGCATTGGTAATTTATTTGTAATAATTGTAAATCACATTTAATGTATTATGAAAAGCAGTAATGTTGGCAGCACTGAAAAAACATACTATATTTTATTTTATTTTATATTAGTAACCCAGTGTTTCCCATTCATTGATTAGACTATGGTTACCACCCCCCAGTTTACTTTTCACCTCAATTGTCAAAAAACTAACTGAGCAAAAAAATGGTAAAACAATATGTTTATGATAATACATAAAGATAAACATTGTTACTTCTAATCTGTTCTTTTTTTAATTCAGTAGAACACTGTTGGTACATATTTGACACAAGTCTCTTGGCATTTTTGCCACTTTTTGTTACTGAAAGTAGTTCAGACATTACAAGGTTTTCCTGTGGAACTGAGCACCCTTTTCCAGTATATAATATTATAATATTGTCTGTGCATTTGTACACACAGTTATATTCCATGTCAAATATTTATTTCAAACTAATCCTAATGATAGTCCTGAATTTTGGTGACAAATGTTCAAACCAAAGCCAGTGCTCTGTGGAGCTTGGGGGGGGGGCTACTTTCATCCATACAGTGGAAAATACAGCCACACCATATGTTCCACAGGTTTTGGGTGGTTTTTGGAGTCGCTGAAGCCAGGAAACCCTGGTTACTATGTCCAAGTTATTTCCCTTGTGGACCAAAAGTCACTACAATACAACTGATTTAAACCTATTCAATGCAGTGCAACGATTCAAGAATAGGTAAGTGATTTTTGTGCAATAATTTGTAAAAAAAATTTTGAACTCCTCATAATAAGCTGGCCTTACCGTGGCACAAACTGGTTGGCGGGTCTCTTGGGTCTGTACTCTGGGTGCACCATAAACAACATGTGAGGGAAGCCGGTGCCAAAGTACGCCCCGTCCGTGTGGTGGTGCCGGGATGACTTTGGGGTATAAACGTCCATGCACTTTGGGCAATACAGCTTCACCATGGCCTCCCCTGGAATGTCTGACAGCCCTGAGGGGAAAGGATGGGGTTTAGAGATAAAGGGAAGGGAATACAATATCTGTGTTATAACAAACTAGATCACAATAAGATATAGAATTTCCAATAGATGCGATTTAGTTAAATAGTTCTTGTTTTTTTGGTTATTTATTAGGATCACCATTAGCTGTACCTGACAGCCAGCAAATCTTCCTGGGGTACTTTATGAAATAAAAGCTGTAAAGTATTTTTTAACAAAGACATGTCTTAAAAACTATATAATAATAAGAATTAATAAACAGTTTGCATGAATTTCCATTACAATTTTTAAAGCTTAAACATTGTGTAATTCGGTGGGTAATTCATCCCTGCATAAATGCATGATTACAACATTATTTAATCCCAAATTCAAATAAAATTAACATTTCATCCATATCCATAATTATATACAAGACATGCAAGAGATATTGAGAGGAGCTCAGGGAACTTAATTTGTACCAATTTAAATATTATGTCCACGCATTTACCCAGAAGCATTTTGGTTTTTTTCTTTAAAGCTGAACGAGACTTGTAATTTTGTGTTTTCATTTTTAATTTAGTGTCCGCAGTAGTCCATGGAGAAAGATGACTTTAATGCTATACTGTGGAACATTTCAAGCACAGCAATGACATCTTCATGGCAGCAGAAAGGTTACACAGTGCATCTACACCTATCGTAGTTTGACTAGAAAATGAAGTAACAAACTAATGCCTGTATATCAAAATATTGTATATGTGTTAGTAAGATGGACATTTTAGGAGGCAAGATTACGACGATGGTATGACTTTTTCATTTCATTGAGCATGTTATTTTTGTTCAATAAAACTTTCTTTCAGTGGTGATTTCACAGTTGTTAATATTTGACCTAAACGTAAGCATAGTGCAATGGCATTTCATACTGATGTTGACTCACCGATGGGGAGCATAGGCTGATTCTCACAGTAAACTCTGGGGCAGTAGCCGAAGTCACCCTGTTGATACTTCTCCAGCTACAGAATGAGAGAAAAGAACAGATTTGATAAAAACACATTTCTCAAATACCATACTTTTGATTAAAGCCACAAAAATCTAGTGTTATCTGTGGTCTCACTGTGAACAATAAGTAGCCGAGACTTCACCTTTCAACTATTTGCCTAAATCATTTTTGTAATGTAATGTTTTTAGTTTTGCACAGACATTTGGGTGTACATTCTACTAACTGATGTGATGTCACCAGATATGACCTAAACTGCACTCACAAGACTATCACTCACCAAGTACACCATGCAAAAAGTACTTTTTTTCTTGGATACAGATTAAACTCATGATCATAGACTGTAAAAATGGATACAGCTATCTCATTAGTCACTGCATTCAAAATAGGAAGTGAGCTTCTGGCTCCATCGGCTCTGGCTCCAATACACTTTGTATTGAAAAAAACACCACTCCTCTTTCTGTAAATGCTGCCATCATGCTTGTCATTTTAGTCTTAAAATTTGTATTAACATGCTCTGCATGATCCTGGAGTTTTATTTCGCCATTTTGTCCCTAAATGGAGATATGAACATTAATAAACTGACAAATCAGGTGCCTTCTTTCCCCAAGTTCACACCCACTAGCATTAGTAACAGGTGTGACAGAGTTGCCAAGAGCCCGCTTCCTGCAAAAACAGTGGTGCAGGCGGGAAGGCATCACTCCTCATTGGCTCTTTGGTTGCCATGATACTCGAGGTTAGAATTCTGAATATTGAACTCTTCTCCAAATTTGCAGCGTATAACTGCAAGTATCAATGAGCTTCATTTGACTGGAGCCAAATGCTATGGGTGACGTCACACTCACTTAGTCTGCTTCTTAATACAATCTATGCTCATGATTCCTGCCAAGATCTTCAGCTGGATAACTGAACTTCTTCTCCTTGTTGTCCCAAGTAAATCCATACAATCTAAATACAATGATAAGTCCACTAATCCACCATCGACCAATTAATAGACTAAAGTACCAAACTCCATTTTTGACAATATAAAGCTGCAGTGGCAAGAGGCTGTATTTAAATGATCTATGGTCTTACAAATGAACTATGACATCTGTTACCACTAAGCAAAGAAAAAGTGGCCTTACTATATTTATTCCTTATCTGCTATGGGCAAAAATAGCTGATTTATTTGGTAATGAAACCAGTTTGTACCATTTGGGCGATGCCTCGGTTTGTGAGGATGTACCGGGCGTGAATCAAACCATACAACATCTCTGCTGCCTGCTCAATAAGATCACTCTGGTTTGGATTGTCCTCCAGCTCCTCATCTGAAATCAAAAATAGTTCCAGAGGAAAAAGAAATTTCAAAAGTACAGGAAACACCAAATTACAAGTGTAAACAAAGAAAAAAAAAGTAAAAATAGAAAGCATTAATGCCACAGAATACAGGAAATGATGTATTAAATTCTAGCTAACTGGAATGACTGTTCTGAGTGCCTTATTGGCCACAGACTTCAAGGCACTAATACAATATGTAAAATAAATGAAGATTTTTAAAAAGTGAATAATTTTTAAAGTTAATGGCAGCTCTAACACCTTTACTACAATGCTGTGTAAACACTACACAATAAAATGCACTGTCCCATCAGTCCACTCTAACATTTGTGTTGATAATCTTATTTTCCTTGTGGCCAAACCTGGTTCAAGGTCCAGGATCATGTCCAGAGCCTGTCGATAGTGAGGGACCTGCTCGTTGAGGCCCGTCAGGTTAAATTTATCCTGAATATAGTCTTCATCCACCTGGAAATAAACAAGAACAGACAGAACACTTGGTGGAGACAATATCGGTTTTCAACAATCTGGTCTCATAATTTCAGCAAGAAAGTAGAATGAAGTGCTTTTATAAATACAGAAGTGTTTCCCATTAATAGAGTAGGCTATGGTGGCCCCCCTGGTCTATAAGACTGTACAAAAATTGTGATACTAAATGTACTTTATGCTTCTAGTAGGGCTGGGTGATATGGATCAAAAAATATATCTCGATAAATTTTGCTATATCTCGATATACGATATATATCTCGATATCTGTACAGGAAAAAATAACCCCCTAAAACGGAAAACTGCAAAATATGCCAAATTCCACAAGGTCCTTTTTTTTTTTTAAAATTAAAGTGTAAGAGGTCGGCAGTTCATATAGGAACATTTAAGATTACAAAAACCCCTAATTACATAAATAATAATTGAACTGTTAAATAAAAGAAATAAAACATACTTCCTTTGTTTCATTCATAAATAAAACAACTCAACACATGCTCATCTTTGCATTAACTCTGTTATCCAAACCATAATCATGACCATGAGCTCATTTAGCAGAAGAAGCTCAGAATGTTCCTTATTTTAACAGATCCATGTTCCTGACCAGCAGTAAGGAGCTCTGAGGTTTCTCACAATCCACTGCAGATCAAACCCAACGTTTCCAAACACTTTTGTACAAGTTACACTGCAACAGATTATTCATTAAAATCTTCTGCATAAATAGAATTTACATTACTAAACATTACAATATATATAGCATAACAACTCAAGAGCCACATCAGCCCGTTTGAGATTATAGTGTTAATTTTTATTTTTTTTTTTGCAGCTTTGCGCAGACTTGTTTACGTTTTACAGAAACGAAACTTAAAAAGCGCATGGCTAATTTGCATAAACAGCGCACTCCACGTGCTGCTCATGGGATTCAACTTATTTTGGACTAAAGGACACGAGGTGGAATATGAAATGTGTTGCTGATGGCCTTGTCTGTAAATGGTGGAAAAGGTTCGTGGTGCTTGAAGCTTTTCACTGGCAGCAACTTTCGGCGTTCACGGCGATAGTGAGGAGTAAAGGAGACATGAGCGAACAAAATCAGGGAGGCGGGGGCGCGCGGGCGGCCACAGAGAAGACAAACAAGCGAAGCGGCGAAATCAAAATTGAATATAACCATTATATCGATATGTCCGAATTCATATCGAGTTTTTTAAAAAATCTCGATATATTAAAAATCTCGAGATATCGCCCACCCCTAGCTTCTAATACAGTCAAAAACATACAGAAGTAATTCTTTTTCATGAATTTTTCGATCGAAGGGGGTATACTCCAAAAAATGTATTAAATAAAATGATTCATATATATTGATTGCTTGTGCCACCATGTATGAACCACTATGTTAACTTGACCAAACAACACATCCGTGAGTTTCAGAATAATGCAAGAATTAGAGATTTGCCATAGGGATTACCACTTTACAACAACGTACCATACATTTTCAAGAAATTGAAACCCATGAATTGATATCAAGCAACCATAATAATCCCATAACAAAACAAATACATGTACAAGAACTTGCATGATCAGTCTAATGTTTTTTTCTGAAAATGTTGAGTTCATATTAAATGTTTAATAAATGAATGTTATAAATTATAATGTAATCTCTAAGGCTGGACTCACCTCGCAGAAAAACTCATTCCCTCTGAGTCCACAAAACCAAGAAATCCACGACACTTCTTCCGAGCTGCTCATGTCTGTGACCTGTAAACAGATTCACTTCATAATCAGATTAGAGAATTCATTTAATAAAATCTAAACGAAAGACCTACAAGAGATAAAAGTAGATGACGCTGTAAGTACTTTGCATGCGCTGATGCTAAGCTAACGTAGCTAGCATCACAATGTCAGCATTGACAATATCCGTCCTCTTTCCAATCAGACACAGTATTTTAAAACTCATGCTTCTCGTACAGATATTGCACTACATTCGAAGCCATAATCTAGTCAAGAAAGACCAAACATTTCATGTTCGGGAAGAATAAATATAAAAACCGGCGTTAGCATTTAGGCTACATACAGGCTAGCGGCTAAAGACTCCAATATGGCGCATCATTGTAAAGGGCCAAACAAACAGCAGCGCTTATCTTAGCTTCTTGCATGTTCCGTTGCAATTTCGACCGTAATATACAAATGATAAAATTGATGTACCTGTGTTTATTATTTGATCCACCTGGAGAATGCAATAGTCTCGTTTTAAGCGTGTTTTTGTGTAAATAAAATGGACACCGCCTGGACACAGGGAGATTCTTCTTTGGAGGTTTTCTTTAATGATGCTGAAGAGGAAACACTGAACTCCTGCTGCCCTCTTCAGGGAAGTGAGAACAACTAAATCAAATCCGCCAATGTTTTTCTTATTTCTAGAAAAATGCAAATATGTCAGGCCTAAATGAAGAGCCACGTTTTCATAAATAATTTAGAGCTAAATTACACTTCAAATGAACTTGACTGCTTTTAATGTCTGTCAAAAAAATCAGGCTTAAATTCATCTTTTATTGTAGTGCCATTTATTTTATCAACTAAATTCCATACTACATCTGAGCAGGGGTAGACATTTGTTCAAACAAATTCAACTACACTATGGAGAATAAATTACTTCTTTTTTAGAGATTAGATTGCAGAAAATAGTCTGAAATACCAGTATCATTATGATTTAAATGTGCCGGTAATCATATATATAAAATATTTCAATTAATACATCTAGCCACCCATACAATAAACTAAGATTATATACGCATTATAATTAATAAATTGTTGCTTTTGTCCAAGTCAGATGATGAATGAATGAGAGACACAAAGTCAGTTTCCATTAAATCAAAAGTAGTTTATTTAACTTTGCCTTCTCTGTATAACTTTTATTATAATAAGACACTTCTCTGCTTGTACATTGCTCCCTTGAACTAAAATGGCAACATTTGTTTGTGGGAATGTAAGTTGGGGTAGACACAAAAGAAAAGAAAACTTAGATACATACCAATATACATACATGTGTGTATATTATGCTTTCATTAATAAAACCATAGATGCTAAAACACCTCGCACCACTCAGCGTTTCCGTAAAAAGGCCGGAAACATAGTACAATCTTTTGAGTATTTTTCAGATACACTACTCTTTGTTTTTGTATTTTTTCTTCTGCTATACATACAATAATGCACACATCAACATGAGTAAGGAGTTAAGGAGGGATGTTGCATGACCTGCCAGTGTTAAAACAGCTAGAGTCAGAGTTTAGGCCGGTAACAGGCAAAGGCGAGCTGTGTTCATGCTCTCAAGTCAAAAAAGTGAAAAAGGAAATCTATCAAACGTCACCTGCCTGCTTTAAAAACGGCTTTTCTTCAATTAGTTTACATATACACACTGTCAGATGTATGTACGTGGATGTATTTAAGGAGAACAGTAGATTTCAATCAATTATACAGGATAATATTAAATTAAGTGATGGGCAAGCATGACAGAAGCGCTTGCCATTACATTGTTGTACTGTACCCCATGGTCCCCACCCAAGATCCGAGTTTTATATTTTTATTCCTTTATTTATTTGAGACGCCAAGAAGAACCGCACACACACGGATTCTACGCATTTACACACATACACGCACACACCAAAATGCCCAACGCGAGACATCCCAAAAAACTGTTGTCGGTAAACGAAACAAGACCCCAACTTACAGCAGTGATTTGCGAGTGCACACTTCTCCAACTCTAGGACATTTTAACTATTTTCAACATCACAAATTCAGTATTTTTCTGTATGAACACTCGAGGTTAGCATTATTCATTGCAGTGGATAAGAAAAAACAACAACAACCGTGTGGTGAAATGTAGGCGACGACTAGCAAGGTCACCCGAAAAGTCCAAAGTTGCATTCATTTAGCCCCATAAAAAGCACTAACTTCCGTGCATGTCTTGCCTACTTTTTTTCTTAAGCATTCATAACCTAAAAGTAGGCCAAACCAAGGAACTGAATGCATGTTATTGTACAAGGAGTGCTTATAAGAACATACTGAAACAATCCTATGAAAGTCACACACATATTTTGAAACCAGACATTTCATTTTTACTCATTCGTCTCCTACGTTTTACCTGAAGTTATTTTTGAAGTGAAATAATAACATTAGCTTGTCAGGAAAAAGCCACTGAGTTGATTAATACAGTCCTCAAATGGTGAACAAAACTCAAACGAGGGAGGAAGTTAGACTATTGTCCGTGTAAATGAATGTCAGTTTGCTGCAGGTTGAGAGATGCTACGAAGAGGCTTGGGAAAAAAGGCCTTTGAATTTTAAAAATGGACTGACAAAAAGCAATGAAAAAACAGCAGATCAGTGGCTAAAGGGAACTAGCAGAACTAATAAAGAATTAAGTCATGAAATAATATTAGTTTATAATGGTTTATAATGGTAGACAGTAGAAGCTTAATGGACTGAAATACCAGTAGCATGAAGGTCAGCTCTCAGTTTCATAAAAATGTTAGGAAATAGAAATACTATAATATAATGTTCAAGTCACAGCCCCAGTCAAAGTTTGTATAAAGAGCCAGCTAGCTTCCATTAAAGCTAAAATATTGTAAGTAAAGCCTGACTTCATACAACCAGGCTCTAGTTTCAGTCCAATGCATCCACTGTCTGTGGTCTAGACCAACTGAGGAGAAAATGTGGGATTGTTTTATAAAAGATATTTTAATGACCTGCTGTAAATGATGAAAAGAAATAGATCTGTTAAAGTAGAAACTGAACAAAGACAAGTCACAAACACACATTTTACATAGTTCTTGTTAAAAGATGACACTGCACTGCCCCTAGTGTCGCGGAGGTGCAGACAGACACTGGTACATAAATATAAAAGATCCAACACTGCTGATTATTCCCACTTTTTCACTCCACACTTTCGCATGAGTTCCATGTTTTCAGATTTCTTTGTGCTTCGATGCAGCAAGCGCCTCAGAGCCACATGCTTCAGTCCTCCAGAGACAGATTCACATCGAGCGGACGGTTGTGATCGTGGTCAGAGAGAAACTCAAACTGTACAACTCCATCTGCGGGACAAAGGTGTGGCTGAAATGTTCAAATGAATCACTTTCTATTTTTGGGGGAGGGCCAGTTTCCCCGTTTCTCTCCTCTTCCACTACCATTGCCCCCGGGGCCCCCTCCGGGGGGCATGCGGGGGCCTTTCCCTCCCCCTCCTCCGGGTGTAACCCTGCGGTTCTGCCGCTCCATGCCGGGCCTCTGGCTGGAGAAGCTTCTCTTGTTGGAGGCGGGCTCTTTACCCGACACATCATTGATGCCGGGCCCACCCCGCCCCGGGTGGTGCCCGTGAGGGTTGTACTTTCCCCCTGCGTCGCGCTCTCTGAACTCGGTGAAGTCGCTGCTCTCGGAGGCCGTCTCCCACTCCTCGTTGGCCTGGTCTGAGTTCTGGTTGGTGAAGTCTGGGGACTTGGCCCCATGGTGGTGGGGGCCCTGGTTGTAGTGGTGGTGGTGGTGGTTATTGGTATTGTGGTTGGAGTTCGGGGCATTGCCTGAAGGGGGCACTGTGGCCCCATTGGTTTCAGCAGTAACAGCATTAACAGAGGGAGAGGATGGCCGTCCCGCCCCGATCACACCCACCCCTCCGTTGATGCGCGCTGCATTCTCGCGCTCCTTCAGGCGCCTGAAGCGTGGGGGCTTGTCCTGTTGGTGCTGAGAGCGGCCATGGCGCCGGCGTCTTGGGGGTCTCTCGAAGCCTCCGGGTGGAAACCCACGGTTTGGGGGCAGGGCGTTGGGACCTGCAGGGTTAGGGGTGGAGTTGGACACTTGTGTGATAATGCTGCCATTTTCAGTGGCTGTGGGAGGGGGGGCAGGAGCAGGTATAGGTTGGGGCGGAGCCTGGGTCAAAGGGGGGCCTCCGTCACTCGTCTTCTCTTTCTTCTCTGAGTGTGCTCCCCGTCCCGTATCTTTGGGCGCTGGTGCTGGACCCTGCTGTTGCTGCCTGCGGCCTGAGGCAGACTTAGGTCCGCCGTGTGAGGCAGAGATGGGACCAACCCGGTGCCCTCCAACGGGACCCCCAAGGTTGCCACTGCCGCGGTACATGTTTGCCCCACTGCTGCCGCCTCTGCCTCGGCGGGAGGGCACACCTCGGGGGGTGAACACTCTGGTCTGGTTGGATCTGGGCGGGGCAGAGAGGGGTACACTACTTTCTGGCCCGTTCTTGGATGGTTTGGGATGGTCCTCTTTGTCTGAGGGGCCACTGGTGCCGCTCTCGCTGCCCGTCTCGGAGCCCCTCTCTCTTCTTCTTTTGGGGATCTCCTCGTACTCCGAGCCCTCACTGCGGGTTTCGCTCCTGTTGCGGGCTCTGGCAGGATTATGCTGGGACCGGTCGGGCCTGGGTTGCCCTGCTCCCTCCCCCTTTGAGTCTGGATGGTGCCCCACAGAAGAGCGGTAGTCTCTGCCGCTGCGGCCACTCATCCTTCCACGGGATGGCCCTCCTGTACCTGCACTGCCCGTGTACGAACCTCTATAGCCTCGCCCTCTGCCGTAGAACTCTCCTCCACGCCCTCGGCCGCCTCTACCTTTGGAAGCACCTCCATGTGGGGCAGACCTCTCAAAGGAGCGCTCCCTCTCCCTTCTGGGTAGACCAGAGGAGGAGAGCTCAGCATCTTTGGGACCTCGTCCGGATGATCGCTCTTTTCCTGTGTTTCTTGGTTTATGGTTTGTGTCCTCTTTTGGGGCAGGTGAATTCTGAGATACTGGGGGGGCAGACGCAGCTCCGTCCTGCTCTTTGTCTTTGCCACAGCTTGACTTTTCTCCTTCAGCTTCTTCTTTTTTAATTTCTTTGAGAACCGGTTTCTTGATGGGACCGGCCCGTTTGTTGGGGTTCCCTCCGGTTTGTTGGGGGGGTTTATGCTCAGGACCATGCTCATCTCTGTTACCCCTCCGGCCATGACCCACTGGGGCACCACTGCTCGGTCTCGGGCCCCACTGCGTCTCAGTTTTGTGTTCCCGAGGGCCTCTTTGGTTTGTTTTGGGATGAGGGTGCTGCTGCGGGTGCTGCTGTGGGTGCTGCTGTGGGTGCTGCTGTGGGTGCTGCTGTGGGTGCTGCTGTGGGGCCTGGGTTGGTGGGGGGCTGGTGGCCGAGTGAGGCGCATAGGCAGGGCCTTGTTTGTCCTGTTTTGGGTGTGTGGGACCACTGCTACGCTCACTATGGTCATCCCTGGGGGCGGGTTGTGGGTGCAGGCCTTTGGTCCCATCGTCCCGGGTCGATGTGGAGGAGGAGGAGGAGGATGAGGACAGAGCAGGGTGAAGCGGGGGGGAGGCGTCGCTCTTCTTTGGGGCCTCGCTGGTCCTGTCCCGGTCCCTGTCGTTCTTGTGGTGCATAGGGAAGTGTGGCTGTTGGATGTGAGGGGTGTTTTCGGAGGGGTGCTCTGGGCGCCCGTTGCGGTCGAAATGTTGAGCTCCCCAGATCTGTCCTTGCTGCACCCCTCGAGTAGGACCCTCATCCTGGTGGCCGAAGCCCCTCTCTGAGCCGCGCTGCTGTGGATGAGGCAGCCTCCCTCCCTGATCAGGGAAGTTGCTATAATTGCCCCGTCCGCTCATGTAGTGGTGTGGATGTCCTCCAACCTGCGACCCAACCGGAGGTGGTGTTTGGTTGGATGTTCCAGAGGAGTTTGGCTGCTGAATAGGGCCCAAACCAACCTCACGCATGCGATGTGGGGGAGTGTCACTCCTACGATCAAAACAAGGAGTACTTTGTTAGAGGTTTTAACAAAAAATAAAATTAAATAAAATACTATTATTTATTTTTATTGGGTCAGTTTACCTGGGTCCCTTGGTCACTTCTTCCTCATCCAGGGGCTGTTTCTGCCTTAAAGGAGATGTGAGGCTACGACCTTCTGGTGCTCCGGGGAACACCTCCGGACCCCAGGCCAGTTTAGGGTCCATGGGAGGAGTCCCACGATGAGGATGCCCCTGGTGCTGCTGCCTGTCAAAGGGGTCTGAGCCAGAGCCCCCTGAATCAGACCGTTCACGTCCAATTAGGCCTTTAAAAAAACGTAAAAGTTCAGCGAACTTTAATGCAGACCAAACCAAAGTGTGACTGTTAACACACAGATGCACTCACCAGAGGGGTGCATACCCGCGGAGTAGTAGTCCATGGGAGGCGGACGGCCCTGCATCATTCTAGGGTCCATGTAGGGCATCATCATCCAGCGAGGGTCAAAGTTCATGGGCAGAGGAGGGGGGCGCACCATATTCCCTGGCTGGTACATGGGACCCTGCTTTGGGCCTGGTCCCTGCTGAGGGGCAGGGCCCTGGGGCTGAGGGGACAGTTGGCTCTGAGACGCCTGCCACTGCTGCTGCTGCTTCAGGAGCTGCTCCTGGAGAGAGGAAGTGCGGGTCAGAAGGCTCCATGGCTCACACCATTAAAACATAAATAACACAGTAATTCAAACTGGTCATGTGACAGAGAAAAATCTGTTCACCGACTGCAATGTAAGAGCTTTTACAGCTCAGACTTATGTAGGTGAATAATGAATCCAGACAAACCTGCTGCTGCCTCTGGAAGCGCGGAGGCAGAGACTTCTGGTATTTGGAGTAGCCTTGTCCCGGGGGACCAGACTGTCGACCTCCTCCCATAACCTCCATCTTCACTTGGTCGCGTTCACCTCCTCGGACGTGAGCATCTCTGATGGGCTCTTCTTTAGCCTCTGGTAAAGGCATTTCCAGGACAGGCTGCTGAGGCTGCGCCACTGGTGCTGGCGAACACTGCTGCACATCTGAGCATAGAACAACACATAATCGACACATTGCGTTAGATGTAATCAGCTGAAATAGTTAGAGGTCTACATACAGTATCTCTTTGGATAAAAACTCTGAAACAAGCTCACCTGCCCCAGAGTCATAGCTGCTGTTGCTACTGGCCCTCTGCCTCTCGATAACTAGAGGGCCCGGTCCAGCAGATGGAGGCAGGGGGGGCTCCTCGGGGTCGACACAGGGGGAGGGTGGCTGGCTGGTGTTGGGGGAGGAGGCGGACAGCGAGGGGCTGGGGCTGCCTGCTGTGGCGGCAGTAGACGTCCCGTCGAGGCTGGGGGTCTTACTGCCGCTGGGACCCTGCTGCTGCTGCTTCTCATCAAGTCGTTTCAGTTTTTCAGCACAGGCAGCTCTGCGCTCTTCCTCCATACGCCTTTCCTCTTCCTCGCGACGGCGGCGGGCTCGTTCCACTGCTGCAGAAATCTCAGAGGATGACTGCTTCCTGCGCTGACGCCAGGTCTCATCCTCATCATCGCCCTGCGGCCCGTGGACCAGGAGGGCCTGTGGAGGGGGGCCTCCAGCTGCAGGGGGGTGAGGAGGGGGGCCTGTTTTACCTGGTACCAGAACACCTCCTTGGTTCAGCGACCGGTCCTACACATGACATTATTGGAACTTTAGACATTAGAAGGAGGTTACACATTGAACATTTTGTGGAGAAAAAATGCACAAAATGACACTGGGGAAAAAAATAAATCTAAAATGATCTGCCCTGAGCTGAGGTGATGTGATGGCACATGGCTGTGACTATGGCTGTCTACCTGTCGGTAAAAGGAGTAGGGTCCCTGTGCGAGGAGCGCCCCTGGTGGAGGGGAAGGCTGCTCTCTGGGACCACCCAGTCCAGGCCTGCGGCCCTGTGCATAACAACACAGTTAACCTACACTCACACTGTTTAAATCTGTCATGTGCTCTGACTGCAACATTGGCCTGCCCCGTACGCTCATGTGAAAGTTCAGAGCTGTACCTGGAAGTTTGGTGGAGCTCCTGATCCCCCCCAGCCGCTGCCCCCCTCCTCGGCCCAGGCAGCTTTACTAGGCGGGGGCAGGGGGCCGTTGTCGGCGTTAGAGGGAGGGGTGTGTCGCAGGTCATTGTTCTCCAGAGCTCGAGAGCGACTTGCAGCCGGAGGGGTGTCTTGGGGCCTCTGCTCACTGAAGAAGAAAAAAAAATCAAAGTGGTAAATTTTAATGCTGCTATGGGCAATAACCCAGTGATTCTTATGTTTAAAAGTTTTCTAACAACATACTGAGAGTCATTCTTTTTGTCAGCTCTGTCCTCCTCCACCTCTTCCTCTCCTTCATCATCACTGAACTTCAGTTTTGCAGAGTAATCTATCTCCTCATGTGCTCCTGCAAAACGCACAAAGACTTTAGAGACATGGAAATTAAAAGGATGGAACTAAAAAAAGTAAAGTGTAAAAGGTTCAGACCTGCCCAGCCCTCGTCATTGTCATGGTCCAGCTCATCCAGCTCCTTCAGGTCATCCTGTTTGAGGATGGAGGGCCGCTTCACTGCCTCTGTGTCACGGGGGCCTTGAGCCCTGTCCGGACCCTGGCCTCGAGCAAACCTAAGACAGACGGAATTTGCAGTGAAAGCCACAGATCCCACAGAGAAAGAGACATTTCATTGAAGTCTTATTGAGCAGGCTGTACCTGGGGGCAGGCCCTTCACCTGGCGGCGGGTATCTATAGGGCCCCTGAGGACCATAGGGGCCCGGGAAGGGCAAATAAGGAGGATACATCTGAAACATGAAACAGTCATTACATAAATCCCTTTGTGCTGAGTTTTAACATGAGAGGAGAGAAAGGAGACTTACGAATGGAGGCATGATTCCTCTGTATGCGGGGAAGCCCGGCCCTACAGGGGGCTGGGGCAGGGCCATGGCGGGACTGCCAGCCGGAGGGTTCCTCTGAGGTCCATGGGTCTGGTTCTGAGGCGGGACCCCCGCTGCCCCGTCCATGACCAGAGCCCCTCCAGAGCCCCCCTCCGCGGCCCCCTCCCCAGTGAGGGTCAGAGCCCGGCCCCCACCGTCCCGCCAGCTTGTAACGTCTGAGGTACACAGCACAGTCCATTAAAACTCATTTGTAGAAAACATTTCTTATGAAAAACAGTAAAAGATGAGCTCACTCTGGGGGCGGAGGCTTGGTCCGGGCCCATACCACTGATCTGCAGTGGCCTGTTCTTTGCCAGCTTTGTCCGGGTCTCCAGCCGCCTGCAGGGTGGGAAACTCCTCTCGAGAGAACGGCGACGGTAGGTTTGATGCCTTTCCACCTGCAGCAGAAGGGCACTGTTCAGAGTCTGCTGTGTGACATTTATGTAAACATATATCATGTACACATGTAGTATGTAGAGTATTTGAGGAATGCTCACCGTCCCCTGGTGTTCCATGTGTAACACTGGCCTGAGCCCAGGATCTTGCCCCTGCGGCCTGGACTGGAGCCGGAGCAATCGCCTGGAGAAATGGTACAATTTAGAACAGTAGCAGAGTATATTACAGTAATAGTACTACAGCAATAGTATTATAGTAGTGAGTGAATAGAATAAGTTGTACCTTGTCTGCTGGCGCCTCTGGGACCGGGGGAGTTCTCGGTTGGGTCGGAGCAGGCATCGGTGAAGCCACAGGCGGCTGCGGCTCCGGCTGCGCTGATGACAATGCATCGGTACTGAGGGCAGACAGGAGTTAAAGACATTCGAACAATGCACTGCATATGCAATATGGCTTTGAAGGATTTTATAAAACATTTATACACAGACAGTGACTGATGCTGAATCAACTAAAGAATATTGGTCTGTTCAAACATATTGTTGTTGAGGCATACCTCTTTGGGTCTGCTTGTTCCGGTTTGCTTGCCCATCCTGTGCCGTCTTTAGGGACGAGCGAGACGTTTGGGTCGTTGCCTTTGTTTTCTGCCTTCAGACTGGGCAGGTTGGCAGGAGGGGGCATACGCCGCGCGGAGGCAACTTTACCAAGAGACTGCAGGCCATGGCGGGGGGTAACTGTTGCAGAGGGCAGTTTTAGTGAGGAGGACACCAGAGGAACACGTTTGTTTGTCACTTCTGACTACAAAGAACTCTGTCCTCTTAAAAGATACTTTAATTGGGCCTAAAATTGTTAGACAGAGCAAAATTATGTTTTTTTCCTTTACAAATTCAAATACTTCAGTATCAAGGTTGTAAGGGTTATTAAAGAATTTTGTTATCATTATGTTAAAGACATGTGCTGTGGAAGCTTGGGCGCAGCGTAGGGCCAGCTGCTCAGATGGAGCAGAAGTCTGAATAAAACATGGAGTCAACACAGATGTGAAACAGAGAGGCTCTGTCTGTGCCTGAGGATTTCACTTTCCACAGATAAACAGCACAGAAGGTCAAGTGGGACTAGGGAACAAATATGTTTTTAAAGAAAAGGGGGTGTCAGGTTTACTCAAAGGAATACAAATGTTAAACTCTGTATTTTCAATGGGCATCAGTTATAAGCTTTGCTCCTCACATGAATCAAAAGAGCTAAAAAAGCTCTAAAAAAGTACCAGTAGTGTTGTTTATGTAGATTTAGCACAAAAAACTTATGTGTTGCTTTTTTTTTTTTTTTTTTTGGATACTGAAGAATGGTCTTTATAGGTCTTCATTTAACTAACATTAATTATTTAATAACTAGTCAGTAATCAAATGAATCAATAGCTGTACCCCAAACCCAATAGCTATAATAAGCAACCTTGAGAATAATGCACAAATATGAATTAAAAAGCATTATAATTTCCAGTCCTGACCCAACATAAACATGAATGGGTTAAACAACTGTGCAGATCTGTGTGTATAATATTTTCAGATTCAGCGTCTCTGTGTCCGGCTGCCACACACTTTATGAAGCTCATCTGTTTCCCACAATGAAACATCAGCACCAAAGCTTTTAGGAGGAGGATGGCTAATGCATCACGGAGATAGGAGCTGAAGAGGGCAAAGAGGCATCTGATGACTGTACTCTCTACTGGAAAAGAGACAGAGAGCGAGAAGGCTAGAGAGCGAGCAAGCGATAGACAGAGATAGAAGGGTTTGGGGAGGGAAAGAGAGAGAGTGAGAAGAAATAGAGGGAGGTAAAAAGTGAGAGAGAATGAATGGTGAGGGAGAGGTAGAAGTGCAAGAGGGGCAGGAAGAGAGACAGACAAGGGTGAGTAAGGGAGTGAGCAAAAGAGAAGGGTGAGGGAGCAAAGGGGTAAGGGGAGGGAAGAGAGATTAGGGATGCACAGATACTGGTATCGAATATCGGCACCGATCCAGGCAAATTTGCAAGATTGGGTATCGGTTCCATCACATGCACTTATCCCACATCCAGGTTCTCCTTATAACTGGTAGTAATAAGGCAGTTTACTTACTGATGTAGGCCCAGGACACCTAATAATGTTTGCGCTTAAATATGTTACATAATACAATCTGCTAAAATTTGTTAACGGTGTTTTGAGAGAAAAAATAAATCATAACATTTTCAATTCTGATACCTACACTGGTATCGGTTAATATCAACAGATACCTCAAGCTATAGTATCAATATTGGTACTGGAAATGAAAAAGCTAAATCGGTGCATCCCTAAGAAAGATAGATAAAGGTGAGTGAGAGAAGGAGAAATGGATAGAGAAGGGTAAGATAAAGAAAGAGAGAGGGGGAGGAAGAGAGAGGGGAGTGAGTGAGAGAGAGAGAAAGAGGTAAAGAGGTAGAGAGGGAGCGAGGGAGGGCAGTAAAGAAAAGCAGTAAGACTTCCCATCAGAGGGGCTTTCACTGCACTCTGAGACCAAATGAAAGTCAACGACATAAAGGCATCTGTCGGAGCGGAGACAGCTGACGGGCAGCCATTTTGAAAACTAATACTCCACAGGGAGCGGGCGAGGATAGAGAGGGCGATATATGCCAAGAATGAATGCTGTGTGTGAGACCAGTACCTGACGCCTGTGGCAAAATCTACTATATAAAATGACAATATTAATAAAACACTATTTGTTAAGCAGCAATGCCTAAAGTGAGCCCTAATAAATTTACTTTTACCTCAGTGTCATGGGGACTTGAATAAAGCAACCATATTCATGGACTTCAGCTTAATGTTTGTAGGTAATATTTTGAGCATTTGCTATTCAAAACATATATTTGCCTTTAAATGGTTAATCCCTAGAGCAAGATATCCCATGGATATCTCATGATATAGTATTATTATTATTATTATTTAAAATTTTTGAAGAAGCTGCTTCAGCTAAACAAAGCATGCTCACATTTATGTCTGATTGACATGATGGTCACTAGGGCAGGGTGATATGGGATTCCATTTTCTTCCATCTTATTGAAAACATAGACACACTTCAGCCATAAAGAGCAGAGTATCAGGACCACTACAGTTTTTATTTTGTGTCGATAGGACTGATAATTACGGAGAAATTTACATGTAAAATTTGGAATGAGTGTACAGTACATTAAGCCTAAAAGCAAGCACATGTGAATGCACAAGCTACTGCTATCAACAGAAACACGTGATGTCTGTGCACTAAATGAGGACTTAAGTTGCGCTCATAAACGGTGAGAAAATAGTCATTTACTTTCCGTAACTTGGATTATAATGAAAAGACGCACAAGAGGACAAAAACAGGGGACAAAAGGTCTGGATCAGAGGAAGGGAGCGTAGGGGGACCGGGGCAGACGGCACCGCACACAGAGGCATAGGGAGAGAGAGAGACTGAACTTTTTAGTCAGATTGGAGAGATACGCAGTGGCTCAGGTTTACTTTTTCTAAACAAAAGTGTAAATAATTGCCAGCACCATGCACTGTTATTGTCACATGACTGGTTGCAGACCTGCTGATTAAAATACACATGTGTTATTATCGAGATCAACCAAAGTAGAAAACGTGATCTATAGCTCTTTCAATTTTTGGCACCACCCTAATATTCCAACATGTTCCAATAAAAAGCAAATGTCCAAAGCACATTGGGTAGTTGCTTATAAAAGACTGAATTTAAAGGTTTGCTTAGACAAATGTTACACTGTCATTATCCTGCAAGAATTGTTGAATCATATCTTTAAAATGCTCGTCATTATTAGCAATTGTGTCAATCAAAATGCGTTACTGAGTTCTGCTGTTATGATTGTCACAGATACTCACCAACAGGCTTTTGTGTTTCGAGGCTCTTTCCTTTGTACGTATCAAACAGGTTGAGGGACGCATACTTTTTGCCTTCCTTCCCCTTTGCAGTTTGCCCAGAGCGCTCTGACATTGCGCTGTCCGCTCATTGAGTATGGTGAGGCCTGAGACTGTGGGAGATACAAAAGGGGGACAGTGGTTAGGTAACATAATGAAGTATAGTCTCTTTGATGATAAGAATGCATAGGTAGAAGCTTGGGACCCAAAACTCACCAATCTAATCTGTTTTTACTATAACTTCCATTTTAAAATTAAAGAAAGGGACTATTGTTATTGCACCATGTTTGAAGAGTCAACAGAGAATGGTAACAAGTAAATATATTCATTATTGAGTGTTGAATTTAAAATGAATCACAAATTAACACAGTGCAAAAATATACTACTAGTTAATAAATTCTTAAGAGTTCAATCTAAACATTTTATTTAAAAGTTAAATAATGCATTTAAACATACATTTAGAATTTGTCCATTAAAGTATCTTTTGAGGACCAGATTCTATTGCCGATGTAGAACACATAGCCCAACACATAGTTCAAAATTCATACAGTGACAGTAAATCTCTCTCAGATCACCAGAAACACCATTTTCCCTAAAAAATAAAATTAATGATTTTTTTTTTTTTTTTTTAAGTATGAACTGTAACCTGGTCTCTGTGATGATCCAATACAATAGCTGTTGATATTGTGCTTTAGCCTGAGATACTGGTGCCCTGTGTAACTGAACTGCACCTCAGTGAAACAATGGAATGACATCTACCCAATCCAGGGTGGTGTGAGTATGAGAGAGTTAAACAGTGCCCCCTCCTTGTCCCATTAACTACAATTAGCCGAGACAGACGACTGCGCCATGATGATTATGCCACAGAAAGAAAAGGCTCTAAATGACGAGGTGGGACACTGCCACAAAAAAACACCCCCTTATAACTAGGGATGGGAGATACAGACATGGATCTAGATACAATAATGATACTCCTATGATATTGTGGCAATCCATTATAAATGTGCTAAAATGCCCAATGCCCAGAGGCCCAAAACATACATGGACTGAAACTCAACGGTAACATTTCAGAAATGTTATTTTAAACCATAAAACACTACACTGCAGGTTTGTTTTCCCTTTTAATTATTGATCATGTTCTTGTTGCAATTCCTCCAAACACTCATAATATTAACCATATGTTGGGTGCAATAAAGCTATACAATCTAGAGACCACGAAAAGACAAAAACCGGGATCAAAAACAATCACCAAGAGACAAGTATATCCACCAGAGTCATCTGCCTCCCACAGACCAGCAATAATCCACGATAATTACCTAATGCACCACAAATTTGACAAAACAAAGACAGAACAATGCCTGACAGGACAGAGGATATGAGAGGGACACTGATTTCCACGACACAGCTAAAGTCACCAGGACTGGAGTGCTCCTCCATCACCAGACCAGATTAGGAAATTAGGTCGTGGGATGGTCGGTCAACTCCGTGTTCACGTTGGATTAACTCGGCCGCTCCACAACTGCAGGGACCAGACAGACACAGGCCATGGGAAGATATGGCAAAATACCAGCAATGAGACTAACAGTAAAAACGTACTAGTTCTGCACATACTAAAAACAAAACTGGGAAATAACCAGAAAAGTGATAAGCACAGACCCTTTATGATCCTTTGTAATAAAGAGTGACATCCTCCACATTTGTTTAAATAAATAGATACAGTAATAAATAGATAAAGATATAGTAATCATTTTAGTTATCATAATTTGAAACATTTAGTGTCAGAAAAGTATAATATACAATAGTCAACATAATATCACATAATCAATATGTAAAAAAAAAAGATACATTATTATTTCAGTCTTTGGGAGTACATGTTGACAAGAAGCAGGTGTAAAGTTGTGTTAGTGATTATACAAACCGATTTCACCATCGTAATGACAGACAGCACAAGATTATGACCTAATAATAATAATACATCTATTGGTCCAAATGCTTTACAATTAAAAATATAGCTGTAGTCGCTATTAGTAACTGCAAATTGTCAACAAGAAATGCTGTGTTATTATACTGACAAAGGGTGAACGGGACAGTCCCGTGCCCTGTGGCCCGTCTGCTCGGTGTAATCTAACGCTGGGGCAGCGTTAGCCCTGTTAGCCGCACTCCATTGATGCTTGCGCTGGGAGGGGACTCTGCGTTGTTTCATAATGTGTTTCCACTGACTTACTGAAACAATGTCTTATCAGCTGTTTAAGATGTGAGACTCAATGTGAATAACAGAGCACATCGTTTTTTCTAATGAATTCTAACCTATATATTGAGTACTACGCTGGAGGCAGTGTTATACGCAGAAAAGGGATTTTAAGGAGAGAACAAAACAAAATGGCGGTGGATATAGGCCTACATCAGTCCAGGCAAACGACACTTAACATCGCTCTATCAACTACTATAACTTACACTATCCATATAATAACACGAGAAAAGTGTTACTCTTCCACACATTGCCATTGTATCGCTATAGGTATACAACTGTGGTCGTTTTCATATAAAATGGATATCTGCCACGACCACAAGAAAATATGTGGGCCAATTGGTTTTATTGTTGTCGTTTCATCATTATTGGCACGTTCGTGCATATTTATTTTTATGAAACCATTATGTATAACTGTATGCAAGTTGATCCTAAATGACATGAACAAAAATAAGTGAATTCTGACGCAGCGGCTCCACTGCCTATACTCCAGAGTTTATGCGCTAATGTTAGCTTCAGGATGTTAGCAACAGCGTAGGCATAATTTTGATACAAAGTCTGTCTGTTTGTACGTTTCCACAGTTTCCCTAATTTTGAAGCACACACAAAAGTCAATCACATCTAAAATAGTGTCAGTTTAGCAAAACAATCGCACTTTAAATGTGTTAAATGTGTTATCCTAGCTTCTCACTGATGGTCTCAGAGATGAATGCATCATCCTGCAAAGTGCATCACAGGATGGTGGATACGGACTGAAAAAACACCGATCACAGGGGAATCAACAACATAGGTCTAAAAGATAAGAATTATATCACGAATCTAATTAGACATTCCGAACAAACAATTACCCACTAGTTCATCCTCAATTTGTAGTATTAGAGTAGGGAGTTAGTTCCATGGATCTATGGTTAGTTCCAAAATAAATAAGACCTGACCAGACTTTCCATAAATAATAAGGCGTGATGGATTACACGCATTTCAGAGAGGAAATCGGATGAATCAAAACATAAAGAAATCAAAATATACATTCTGTAACATTCTGGTTGCTAACACATGTAGCCAGGCTTTGCTAGCAAGCTAACAACAGCTAACACCAAAATAAAATACGAATCAAAATACATTTCTTAAATGTATGACTATTACCGCTTTTAAGAGACAGACTCGATATAACACTGAAATAGAGATGAGAGTAACCATGAGCGGTTTTTGGGCACTGACCTGCTCCTGTCTCGACTTGTCCCGAGCTTTTATCAGAATGCGGTTAGCTTCAGTTTTAGCTTTAGCTTTAGCCTCCGCTGTGTGTCACGTAGCTCTTAGCAATGACCCAGCTTCGAGCTAAACAACTGCATTACCAAACAAGCGCTATTTGGAGTACACCCAGCCCTCCGATCCAACGTTAAAGCATGCATTAAAGCGATAGTAAATACGGGACTTACTTGCACTCCTTCTCGTTTGTCCCAAATAAAATTAAAAGGGGAAAGGAAATGGTACAGCGGACTCAATCCGTCACTGAAGAGCCGTCAACGGCTACTGCCGAGAGATGGAGCCGTTTGCAGAGGAGCGTCCTCAGAGGGTTTAAAAATGCAAACAAAACACTTTACAGCGCACATACAGCCAAATATATATATCAGAAAATATGGTATGGAGTGTCATGTAAAAGCTCTACAAATGTTCTCTCGACACAGTCATTAAAAAGAGGTCAAATTGTATATTTTTTCTCATTTAACTGCATAAATAAATATATCCACACCACAACCTAACATATTTTTGAAAGATGCCATTTACACCAGAATTCCAAAAAACACAGAGCTGCTTTACACCACGATGAGCTGCTCGTGTTTTTGTAAACAATCAAATCTGTAGATGGCTCTTTTGACACTGCAGATGCTTCAGTAGCTAAAAGTGAACCGCCTAGGTGAAAATTAAACAAGTGAACGGTCACATAAGCTCAGACAGTACCCTGTCAAGTGGTTTATTTAAGAAGATTGTTGGGTTTACATTTACAATTAATGTATTAAATCAGATCTTTGTACACAATGGATTATTCTTCTTAACCACTATCTTCATAAGATAATTTACATTATACAAAAGTTTACTGTAGTATGTGCAGAACAGAATGTTTTCCATTTACAGTTCATTTACAAAGCTCTCAAAATAATTGTGTCACATCTGCGCAAACAAACAAAAAACAAGAAAAACAAACAACCTTTCACTTTCTCAAGATTAAAAAAGTACACTTTGTGAATGACCATAGCAGAAAACCATAACTGCAAATTAGAACACATTTTACCACACAGTTGAAGGTAATCAGACCTAGAAAAACAGATTTCACATAATAAAAACATTAAGAAAAAGCCTGAATCTAGACACATTCAATCATTGAGTCAAAACAATTTACATAAAAATCCCTTTTGTTCCTGAGAAAATGGTGTGGAAAAAAAATTGCTTCCGGTTCATCATTTCCTAAATGAACCCTGAGAAAGGAAGACAAAATGCATCAAAAACATATATGGGCCTAAGTACAACTTCAGAATTAAACAGCAGCTACAGAAAATGTTTTTTGAGCTGTATTTTGTAGTGGCACAATATGAAAAATTCAGAATTTTCTTCCTGTTAGTGCAGCAAAAATTAACTAACTTCATTAAGACCTACATCCAAATAATAGAATAGTAGCAGGCCGCTCTAGTATCTGGCTGGAATGGTCATCAGAAAAGTCATTTGCAACCGCCTTTCTCTATTCACTTATTAGCCAGCGGTGGAGCTTGTTGTATTGCTACTTTAATGGTAATATATGTAACTTTACCGGTGAGGGATACATTACCTGCTTGTCTATGTGGAGATGTTATTGCTTTGCCTGGAATGTTCCACTGAATGGCATTAAACTTGATTTTGAAGCACTTGAATTCCTACTTGTTAGTTGGCCAGATCACCTGCTTGTCTCCATGGAAATGGACAACTTTAATAATACTATACTTTGGAACCTTACAGCTGTGGAACTTTTCAGCTATGGAACCTTCCAGCTATAACATCTCCACCAAAACAAGTAGAGACCCTCTAACAGAAAAGTTACATAATGCATCTTTAATTTTAAGCTTTCACCTCTATAAACCTCCATAAAGATGAATCTTGACAAATGAAACAGTCTCGTCATAAACTTTGTGGCCCTTTTCGTATATGACATAAATGTATCTACGATCTTCGGCCGATCCGCTCCTTAGAGATGTGAGGCAGGAGTATGCACTGGGCCCGGGCCAAATCTGGACCGCTTTTTTCTCCCAAGATTTACCATGATTCAGTGACCAGCGCAAAGTAAGGTTAACTCCTAGAGAAAGAGTGAAGACAGACAATTAGACAAAATGTAAAAGACAATAGATTTGCAATAAAAGTAGACTAGACAAAGTTCAGTAATATAGATTGGGTTGATGCTTTTAGTTCTTTGTGAAGACTTTTAATTTCCTGCTTATTTTAGTCCTATACATTGTTTGAGGATTACATTGATGTGTAAAGCTCTAACTCTTAAGTGTAAGTAGCGTTTAGTCCTATAGTTTGGATTCTGTCACACTCTAGTCCATATACTTAAGTTCAACATTAGACCAAGGTTTTGACCATTTAGATAAATTTGAGTTGATTTACACCTGACATACTTTAGTCCTGGTTTCAGCCTAGTTTAGTCCTGAAGTAGACTTGGTTAAGTCCTGGTTTAGTTCTGCGTTTGTTCTGCTACTACTTGGTGTAAAATGTATCAGAATCACTAATCAATGTATGTAAACATGCTGTTTCACATGGAATGCTTTCACAGTATGACATTAAACCAGGTCAAGTTACTGGTCAGATCTGTGGAGAGGTGACGCAGCCAGCCCACAGTAACAATGCATATTTCCATAGCACTAGAAACACCTGTAGCTGAATAAATGCAAAATAGATAGACAGGAAGTTTAATGCCATATTGTACAACATTCCAGACAAAACAGTAACAAATTCATGGTGATAGACCCAGCCCAATAGAAAAGTGACACAGTGCATATTTAACAGACCCACAGATCTTCAATTATAATTTATTTCCATTAAAGGGGCCGTATTATGCTATTTACTTTCTCTGATAACAGTCTGTTCCACCTTGTGCTGTCATGTAGTAATACAGGAAGTACCTCCACAAATCTTCACTAGAGTCATTTGGACTATTTCAGACCTGGAATTGGCAAAGTCTAGGTGGAACAGAGCATTTTGAGCTTTGGAGATGCAGACAGACTAATAATAAAGGGCTACTCAAAAGAAACAAAACAGACACATTTAAAGCGCATGAGTCAATTTGCATAATACAGGCCCTTTAACTTTGCCAAGCTCTCTCTATATATCCCTCTTACTGTATGCTTCGTTGAGTGGGTTGGTGAAGTATATAATTCCGTCCTTCTCCAGAGCCCCAGCAGCCACCACTGGGTCGATGAGCTCATAGTCAAATTGCACTGTGTCAATGGGCAGACTCAGACCTCCATCATAACTCCGCACAATCACGCGGCATCTGCAGTGGTAGTTGTTCTGGTTTCTCACATTAATCACAATAGAACCATCAGACAGCTCCAGAGGCTGAAAACAGAGGGCAAAAGAGAGAGGAAAGGAGCTATGAAAACACTGAATATGAAAACTAACCAAGGATATACTGGTTTTATGGTGGGGCTAAGTAATAAATCAAATTTTAAGCAAGGTAATTACACCTTGAGCACTAGTATTGTGCTTCTTAAATGAGATGTGAATGCAAACATCATAACACATTTAACAAACACTAAATACAAATAAATTAAAATAATAAATATGACAATAATAATAATATTATTATTTGAGATGATTTAATATTTTAACCCAGTATGGCCCTCATTGCAGTGATAACTTTAAATCACAAGGGGGCAGATTACCACTACTGAAGAATAACCAAGACAAAAAATGTGTATAGAACTTTTTTTTTCTGGGACTAGTCCATGGACCTAATGACTACCTCAGTGCATGGATTAGTCCCCTTGGAAACAAGTAGGTTACACAGTGCAGCATTAAATACAACAGTACCTGGCACTCATCTGGGTTGAAGTCCAATGATTTCTTGGGCTGGTTGTATGGGATGCTTTTCAGGGCTGCTCCATTGTACCAGTTTTTACCGTGATCATCGCTTAGGATACAGAAAACCCCGTCTCCTTCTATTGTCCCATGTCCACACACCACCAGACGCCCCTTTGCTGGCTCATACCTCTTCTGTTCAGGAAAGCACAGAATCAATGAGTTTCAGAAGACGTAATATTTGATACACAATTAACCAAATTCTAATAGAATTTAGTCAATCCGCTCTATCCACTTGTTGTTCAAATGCAAAATGTCTGTTGTAATGCACTTTTGCAATTTGCATAGGTACAGTTGTATTTGATTTTTTTCATTACTGATACCTCTTTAAATGAGTATCTAGTTTTAGTGTCAATTAGCATTATGTGTGTCATTTTTACCTATTTGAAATGTATTATTATTTACCATATTAGCATACCTGTAGGGCTGTGCTGTAAACCGACTTTAAATCATGGCTGAGATATGGAAGGGTCTTTATTTAGAGTGCTCCAGCTAATACTCAGTCACTAAGAGCATGTGTTTACCTGTATCCCAGACCCAGGCCCGGGTGCGAATGCTTTGACTCCCAACTGTATGGAAAGGTTTTTTGGTTTGCTCCAGCTCAGTCCATCATCCAGGCTCTCCACCATCATGATACTGGAGGGTTTGCACTGGTACTCATGGAAACAAACGCTATAAACCAGAATGATGGACTCAAGCTCCTCGTCCACCACTACAGAGCCCAGGTTCAGACCGTCCGGCTGCTCACCATCGTCCACTATGAAGGCTGTGGGGGACCAGGTGAAGCCTATGAGAGAAAAGGACTGCGGTTATATATAATAACACATGGACTAAGGCTGGGCAATATGATGATAAAAATAGATTTGTCATATGATGAATGAATTTTGAATGAATTTAACGAATGTGAATAAAATGTGAATGAATGGAAAAGAATTGAATGAATTTGAACACAGTTATTTGAGTATGTTATTGTAGAATGGAGCAAGACACAAGTCAGAGAAAATAATTAAAATTAAATAACTGAAATTAAAACTGTGATCTAGAGTCTAGACCTAGATCACAACTCGCCCACCCCACATCACACGAAGTTAATAATAGAAATTAAAAGATTCACAATTATTTGGGCAAGTTGAATTATTTGGACTGGAATTATGGTTAATGTATGGGCAACACAAATGAATATGTGTGTTAAACGTAAACTAGTATTTTTTGTATATTTTATATAAGCTATATATGAACCGACTTATTGCATCTGCTGCATTCTGCAATACCTTTTTTTTTTTGCAATAATCAATAATCAGTCAATATTAATCTTGTTTTTTTAACACTTTTGGATATTTGACTCCTTTTCCTTATAATTCCTTTGGTATGAATGAGAATGTAGAATATGGATGGGACGAGACCATTTCCATAAGGTGAGAAGACACAAGATTGGGTCTACAAGAATGAGATGAAAATAAGAGGTTTCAAACATCTACTGTCACTTTTTTATTATAGATGTTTTCTTTATGTTACACTGTGTAACCAATTGCTCAAATAAAAATGAAATTAAATAAATTGTGAAATTCAGTTCTCAATTCATCTCATCAGCACTTAACCCCTTTTTGTCTATTCCAAAATGTAAACACATGAAAAGTCTCACAATCTTGAGGCAGTTTTGTCTCAAGAGATCTCATGGTATGAGATCTTGTCCTATCCCTATTGCAGACCACAGTTGTTGTTGGACTCTAGAATATAGCTGTCATACCTTTGTCCGTGGAGCGTCTCATGGCGATAAACTTGGCACCAGAATCACCTGCAGACTTCTTCCGTCCTTCACAAAACGCCAGCAGACTTCCCTGAGGAGTGAAGGTGAGGAGTGGAATCCTATAAGTGTTCACCTGACCTTGGCTTCCACTTATCCACAGCAACTGCTCCTCCATCACCAGTGGGTTGATCTGGGAATGAAAAAAACACAAAGGATTTAAAAAAAAACTAATGTAACTACAGATTCAATTTCTAACTGATACTTTGCAGTGACACTGGGGGTGTTCTACAAGTTAATGTATTCACAGACTGCTCTCCAGTTACAATGGAGACACAATGCACACATTAGCAAACACTGCCAAATAAGTTTCGTCATCTGAAAATTCAAGAAAAAATACAAAATGGATTTAAACAACACATTTGTTGTTGTTGTTGTTGAGCCTGTGATCAATACAAGCGTTCATGGTCCTGTTTAGGTGTTTGATTTTCAACAAAACTGTAAGAGTGACTGAATGACTGTAATGTTATTTGAGATGAACTTGCTTAAACTTGTTTAAACACACAAATAAGTTCACCTGTTTTAGTTCCAGCTAAAGTCATTTAGTTCTTTCTGGTCAGATTGTATTAAAACAAAGCTTAGCTCAAAGTCTGACATGGTCTCAGACAGAGTATGCTTACAGTTAGCATCACACCCTCAGAGAATATTGATGACATCAGCTGCAAAGTATCAATTGTCAATGATCAGCTTGAGTCTTTTTAATGCAGAGGTCTACAGCCAATTAGTAAAAGCACGTGGCATGGAGCAGAGTTCAGAATTAAGAACATATATTTCATCTTAATACTATCTCCAGGGATAAAATGAGAGACTTGACGCTGGCACAAAGGCTGACCCAACTTGTTTGTGCATTCACCTGCAGAGTCAGTATCACATGACACAATAAGATGAGCATAGCAGAAATGTAATTACACATGAAGCTTTTATAAACCAAGAAAAAACTTTAAACCGGGACTGAAGTTGGGCTGTAGGCATTAAATAGTTTAGTTGACTGATGAGTCTATGGTGTTTTAGACAACTAAAATTTTTATTTGTAATCTCATCATTATTCTGTATTTATATATGACAACAGCAGAAAGGAGAAGTGATTTGGGATTTTGGGGGGTCAGATAGGTTTGAGAGCTTTTGCCACCACCCCTTTTTAGTAACAGATAAAATTTAACAACCATTATTTCAGAAGACACCACCAGTTTAAGAATCATGGCTGTAGATTCTCAACAACATTTGGCTGGTTTTATTAATTTAGGTGTTAATTTTAGCTCTACATTTTGGCAGTACTGTTTTCTACCATCTTCTCCAAACTAATTTCTCTGATTGAAATATAAGAATGAGGAACTATAAGCAACTATAAGCTCTAAGAAATTATATATATATATATATTATATATAATATTAAACAATGCAGTGCCATAAGAAGCTTGTAAGAAGACCGTGAATTATACAGATATGAAATTTTAAATCACCTATAAAATCACAAATCAGCATGTTTTATTGAAATTCATTACATATCTATAAACTACTACTCGTAAGTGTTGGTGCAAAAACATAGCAGTTGGGTATTTTCAGTCTTTACAGTTAATTATTAACGAAAATAGCACGCTGTAAGTGAACTCCTATAAACAAGACACAACACACCTAGTGGTGGAAGAAGTACTTGATTTTGTTACTTAAAAGTTCAGATAATGAAGCAAAAAATACTCAAGTAAACATAAAAATATCACATGAAAAAAAAATCTCCTTAAGTAAAAGTATTAAAGTTTCAGATTTTGAGATCTGATAAAGCTTAAATGTAGTAACTTTAATAAATACTTGTGCTGAATTTTGTTAATTAGAAACATCTACAAAATTTACTCAAGTACAGAGTAAACATTTTTCTACTTTAACTTTGTTACATTCCACCACTGTACAAAAGATCTGCAAGAATGCTTTTTATTTAGAGATCAAAGTTTCTGCAATATAAAACTGGATAAACTAGATCATGGTTGCCACATATCTCGCATAGAAAACAAATAGTAGGCCTCTATGTTATTTGATAGGCAAATGGTGTTGTGGTATCACCCCCATTCAAAACAAAAACGGAAAGGCCAATTTTTTCACCAGTCAAAACAATAGAAAACAAATGAATGAAGATTTTAGACATGATGTGAGAAATAAGAGCCGTAATAACAATTCATTAGCCTGCACAATGGCTGGTTTGATAGTTTACAAGTTAAAGATTTTACCTCTAAACTGCAGTTAGAGATCCACGTTGCGGTGAAAAATAGAGTCAGGATCACGAGCCGAGCCATATCTGTGCAACAGGAGCTGGCATTAACGATCAGAGAAGAAGGGTGACGGTGTTAAAGTGAAAAGAACCCAAAAGAAATGGACGAAAACGAAAACAAAGAGAAAGAAAGCGACAAAGCAGTCCCTCAACTCAGCCCCATTGCATAGTACAGAAAAAGTCACGTGATCAGAGAGGCGGTCACATGATCACTGTCGTTCACTAAAGCGGAAGTTGGGATCTATCGAGTAAAAAGGAAACATATAACATTTCGTTTTTTTAGACAATACAGTAAATTGGTATTAATGTCCATTCATAGAGTTAAAGTGTACACATTTATGGAAAAAATATCATAATTTAACTTAAACAAAAATTAACTGTTAAATTAATAAAATGCTTTCAAAACTTGTAATTATGTAGTCATACTTGGTAGCTGAGGTCACCATGGTAACTGCTGAACGTTCCACCATGAAGATACATGTGAAATACCTCCAGTGTGGTGTCACTGCAAAGTATCAAACAAACACAATTTCAGATTTATTTATTTTATTTTTTATTTTATTTTTTGGCCTATGTGTAATTATTCTCTGTCTATGTCTATGGTGCCCACACAAAAAGTGAGATGCATTCTCCAATATTTACTACACTGTTCAGTAGCCTACAATGATCCATAATGTTTCATAGTGTCAGCTGTTCCATGATATGATCTTGTTTTAATTCTCATAGCTGAGTGTTACATTTTAATGAAAAAGCCTTTATTCGTATATGCTATACTTGCAAACATATCATTAGTTTATATTTTGTCTGCATGTCCATTATACATTTAGTAATTTACAAAACAAATCTATACATTCATTTGATTTTTGTTCCAGTAAAACAAGTGTTTCCTCATAGATTTTTTATTTTTATTTTTTTTAGATCTACCAATCACTGCTCACAATTAAATATTAAACATAGCTTTCTTGTTTTGGGAGTTACAGAGGTGTGGTTCAAATGAGTTCATCACATAATTTACTGAGGTTAAAGAAGGAAGAGAGTTTTCATAATAATAGGCCTACTATTATTCATGTGTCTGAGTATGTTTTTAATCAAAGTATATACAACAGTTTCTACAGTGTTTTTCAAACTGTGGTAAGCTACATATTCCTTTGCTGTTCAATTTTTTTTTCTGATTTAGGTTTATAATGAAGGGTTACTCAGACATGTGTGAGTGAAACAAAGCACAACTCCAGGTATGTTTTGATGAGGTAACAGCATTCTAACATGGCTTAAAGCTCACAAGATTACATTTTGTGTAATAGGACTTTTAATTCGTAGTCAGGTTATATCGACATTTTTGTCTACCTTGTCCGTATAGGCGATGTCTAGTCCTATTTTCGACCTGGTTTGGTCCCTAGAATAGTTTACCTGGTCTAAAGTAGTTTTTTTCCCCCCAGAAGGCCAGATATTTTTGTGAGTTGGTATTTAATGGGACTGTTGTATTTTAAGTAAGAAAGGTGTGCTCTTCACGTGACCCAACAAAATACCCATGTTCTATACAGTATCCTGTATAGATTTTGACCACAGGAGGGCGCTATTTGACCAAATTACAACATAAACTACTGATTCACTGCCATCTGCCAAGGAGAATCCAAAATGATAAAACCAACAGAATGTGGGGCACTTTTATAAAGGATTAAGCTGAATATTGTTCGTGAGCACAGAACACAAATATCCAAGGGTTCCAGAATGAAAAGTTAGCACTGTTGTTGTAGCAAACATCAGTTTATATATCATATGATACCTTTGGAATGGTGAAAAATGTCAGAATAGAAAGCTGAAACTCATAAGTAGGTATAACATTAAAATGATGCTTATTGCTTAAAGATCCTATCTTACACAAAATGGAGCTTCATAAACACTGATGTTAGAATGAACATTCTAACAAGACCTGAAGCTCATAAAAAGCTTCAAGTCATGTTAGAATGTTATTGCCACAAAAACATACCCGGGGTTGTGTTTTGTTTCATTCACACATGTTTGAGTAACCCTTTATTATTCTGTTTTCACCTCCAAAGCTCAAAATGTTCTATTCCACCTAGTGATGTCATGGAGCTGTAGTTAATAGCTGTCTTATATTTTGTTCTGTAGAGCTTGACAATTCCAGGTATGAAATTATCCAAATGATTCTAGTGAATCTGTATGGAGTGTAAAAACACAGTGGAGCTTTTCTGATGTATTACCACAAGACATCACAATGTGGGGTGTTTCCTGTTTGAGAGAAGAACTCAGCTTAATACAGGGGTTATGAGTTAAACGTGTGAATGACACACAGCACAATCCCAGATATAGTTTTCATGAGGAAACAACAATATAACATAGACCAGAAAATAGTGTAATATGAGCACTTTACAAATAGTTTATTACTAGTGTGGCTGTATATCACATAAACTAAACTGAAGATGATTTAGACTTAAAATGGAAAGTTAAATTTATCTTAATGGCGTGGTGCTGTCAAACTGGATAACCTCACAAAATTAGGCTATTTCAGAAGTGGCACATTTTGCATCTTAAAATGAAATGAAAATGTTAAAACTAATTATTTTAAAACGGTGCTTACAACAACAAATGGCCGAACCTGATTCAGTATTTGCCAACCCTTTGACTGTCAAACAAAGAGTTGCCCATGTGCGCGTATGTGTGTTTTGTGGCTCCTGTGCATTGCAAAAGTTCATGATAGTCTTTAGAATATAGGATAGTGTTTCTTAAAACCTATTTACCTATTGCACATTTTGTAAATAGTTTTCAAAGTACCACCTCATGACATTTATCTTAAATTAACAAAAACCTAACAAATCCAAGCCCGGGGAAATGTGTAAACTAGGACTAAATCTGTAAAAGTCTCCATTAAAGCAACCAAAACATAACTAAATATGCCAATTAAAATAATGTAATAATTAACTATAGTATATACTTTGGCTAAATAAAAAAAACTTATAATCATAATACAATATTTCTGATATGCTTATTTCTTTGTTTGTCTTCTGCTTGTATTGAGAGTTAAAAACACCACAGTGGGGTTGCAAATTAGGGTTAATGTTATTTATTTATTTATTTGGCAGGAACAGAGAAGTCAGTATAATATAATCAGTAACAATCTGTGTTTAAATTGTGTTCATTGTGTTCGCTTAAATGCCCTGATTTGTTCTGGTCATTTAAAAAATACACAGAAATAAATGAATGAAATGGTTAGTGGATTTGACATGACCATAATACTGGAATCTGTTTTTATTTTGAAGCAGGACAAAAACGTGTTAGGACTAAGTAGTAACCCCAGTCACAGTGAGAATGTATGTCCATCAAGGTCATTTTAATGTTGTTAAGTGATGATGTCACTTCCGGATCCAACCAGAAACTTCACTGCCTGATTTCAAGCTTTGTTTTTGTTCCTTATTCATTAAACAAGAGACAGTTACCTTTCAAAAGTATATGTTTAACCACAAGATGTATCAAATATGTAAATAATGTTGTAATAATCTATCATAATATAGGATTACCAGTCATCTCCAGCCTATAGCTTCTTACCTCAACCTCCCTTGTACATTTTCTGTTACAGTTTCAACTATAGAGCCTTGCTTTAAACGACTGCAGGCTTTTAATGCAAAATGTGTTGGTAAAAAACAAAGAAATTGTAAACATGTTCATTGCTTTCAATCAGCTGACAGACCCGGAAGTAACTTCACACTTTAGACATCTATAAAAACGCATTCCACTTTTAGCATTATAGCTACAAAGTCCATCCATCCATTTTCTTCCACTTTATGGATATTATTAACACTTTTATTTATTTTCTAAACTGTCCCTACCCCAAAGATAGTTGTCCTTTTCCTCAACATAGCCTATAGCCTAATATAAACTAAAGATATAATTAAATGTGTTTTTATTAAAGGTTCCATATTATGCTTTTTTCTGATCTATGTTATAATGTTGTATGCTCATCAAAAACATGTCGGAGTTATGTTTTGTTTCATTCACATGTTTAACAAACCTTGCATATATGAGCTGAGTTCTTCTCTCAAACAGAAAACTTCTCCACCTTGTGATGTCATGTGGTAATACAAGAAGTGCTCCACTGCGTTTTTCACACACCTTCACTAGAATTGTTTATATAATTTCAGCCACTGTTTCACTGTTCTACCTAACAAAAGGTAAAAAGTAGTTGTTAACTTGAAAACTAACTCCAACTGAAAACTTCAAATAATTTCCCTTGTGGATCAATAAAGTTTGTGTAAGTCAAAGTTGAAGTCTAACACTTTATGACATCAGCATTTTCAGCTTTAGAGATATAGCCAGACTAATAAACAAAATACAACTGCAGGTATGTTATATGTTGTATGTTATATGTTGTATATTGTATGTTGTATATTGTATATTGTATGTTGTATGTTGTATGTTATATGTTGTATGTTGTATGTTGTATATTGTATGTTGTATGTTGTATGTTGTATGTTGTATGTTTTTGATGAGGTAATGGTTTGATGAGTAATATAAGACATTTTATTTAGCCTCCTCTTTGGACATGAACAGTCTAGTTCATATCATTTAAATTCACAAATAAACATATTTCATCTTGAGTCATGTCAGATTAGAGATTTTTTTTTTTTTAAATGATGACAATGTAAGTTCATAAATTACATTCTAATAACAAATACAAGCTGTCAAAAGTGCATTGTTGAGTCTTGTGTGTCATTTAAGGTACAACTCTGAACTTTTCCTTGAATGAACCTGTCATATTTCTTTCTAACAATAACATTGACATAACATTTCTCCGCCTATTGTTACTGCTCTTTTACATTCTCTTTCTTTCTAGGGCAAAGCAGAGGTGCATTCCTAGTGCAGTCATGAGGCACAGCTGATCTGAGTCACACGCCTCTAAACAGGAAAGCTCAAAACTAAACACTTACGCTGTATCTGGGAGAGGGGACTGACTACAGCTGCTATGAGGACCATATGAAGCTCGTAACAATGGTAGAGTAAGGAATGGATGGCTACTTTCAAAACAGGTAAGGTATTATTTCCGTTATCAGTTAGTTTTGTGCTTGTTCTGTCTTTGCTTACTGTGTTTTCAGGTTGAGAGAAGAGTTAAATATGCAGGGTTTGTGAGTAACACATGTGAATGAAACAAAACACAACCCCAGCTATGTTTCTGATGAGGAAGGAAGATTATCACATAGATGAGTAAATTATATGGGTGTAATATGGGTGCTTGTTCTGTCCTTGCTCTTACAATGCAAATAAATAAATACATACATACATTTTTTAAATTTTAGGGTTTTAACTTTTTATGCTTAATTTGAGATTGGATTAGCTGTAAGAATACAGTCACTAACATGAGCTAAAGAATATTTTGTTTGATAGAACTTCAAAAATGTAACTCTTAACATTGTTAGGTGAATATATTGAATGAAGGCATAGAATTCCTTGGAAAAGTGAGTCAGTAATGAATGACTTATAAGATATTACGTGAATGAGAACAAACTTGGTAAAGATTGCAGTGAATTTTGATCTAAATATTTAATTTTCTGTTGTTTTCTTTGTCAAACATCAACATTATTCAAAAATCAGTACAGCTTAAAGAATTACACCTAAGAATATGAAGTTAATCAGTGAAAGCAATTATACCATTAGGGTAAGTCTACTGTTAACTGTTAAGGCACAGTACATACATTTTTTGCCAAAATAAACTTTCTATTTCCATTGAGCCATGTAGGCAAAGTGTCACCTACAGAAAGTTACACACTGTACCTTTAGATACATGAAAGTAAATGGCTCCAAGTTTTAGGAAATGTAAAAAGTGAATTAACTTGCGCAATGTAGTTTCAGAAGTTTGAGAGCTGCCACCATCAAATTTGTGGTTTGACTCATAATGATTCTGTGGTTTTGTCACAGGTTTGAACAAAAAGATTTAACTAAACTACTTACTGTGATGGTAAGAATACTGTTTTTATATACCTGTGCATTTATAGTTTTCAGTTTACAGTTAAAACAGTTAAAAAGATCAATTTTAAGTTTTAAACCGAAATTTAAAAAGTGAAACTACATTGTGGGCACTTGACTGATTACAAGTACTGGCATGCCTTCTGCTAGTTGTTTTTAAGTATTTTGAACTGCAGTAGATTTACATAGAGAAGAGGCAACAACTCAAAACAAGAAATAAGAGATATGAAGTTGAGATGTAGGGTGGTTTTATAGAGTACAGAGCTATTATGTAATGCAATGCAAGTTTCTCAGCAACAAGCATTAGTATTAGAACTTGGCTACAGAGATGAATTTGCATACATTGGTGTTTATATAAAATAATCAAATATGTTTTTCGATTGGCATATCCATTGTGGCTGTGAATTGACTTTGCAGTGGCTCTTTTCAAAACTGCAGACAGGGAAATGGGTCAAGCTAACATCACGCCTTTGAATTTCACACTGAACTTCAAAATGTGCTGCAAAAGTGAGTATGTGTGTGTGTGTGTGTGTGAGAGAGAGAGAGAGAGAGAGAGAGAGAGAGAGGAGAAGACAGAAAGAGGGGAAGAGAGGGAAAGAAAAAGGGAGGATAGATAGAGGGAGAGAGAGAAAAGAGGGATAGAGAGGGGAGAGAGAGAAAGAGAGAAAGAGAGAAAAAGAGAGTGAGGAGGAGAGAGGGAGAGATAGAGACAGAGGAAGAGAGAGACTGAACAGGAAGTATGATATATTTGTCATGGTACAGAGCTGAGTATAGTACGATGCCTGTCTACTTCTGGTTCTATAGTTAAAATTACATTATGTAACTTTTCTGGTGGATGGTGCTTCTCAACATATATGGGATTAAGTTTATCTATCACCATGGAGACAAGAAAATAACACTATAAAGCCAAGTCACAGGTGAGATTTGTAGAGTTGCAAAGAAGAATGCATGTTTATCAAGGTTTGTTTGAGCTGTAAAACACTTGCAGTTGAATACAAGGTACATACATTTAATGCCATACTACTCCTTTTTTGACAGTGTTTGCTAGTGTGTGTGTGTGTGAGTGCAGTGTATCACCATGGTATCTGCTTGACATTACATCACAGAGATACATGCAGAACATCCCCAGTTTGATGTCACTGCAAAGTATCAACACAATCAAATTAAAGGAAATACAGAAAATGTGAAAATTAAACAAAATGCATTTCAAACTTTTGCTGTTCATCAAGTTTCAAACTCAAATTTCAATCCAGCTATGTTTTATGTTCATAGGTTATGCCATATACAGAAGCTTTAAACCCTATTTCATTTCATTTGAAAACTCTATGGCAAAATGAATGCCAGTTTAATCTTGTTGTGTTTTTGCAGATGTGAAGTCTCCGTCAGAGGAAGTGAGCTGTCGACGGGAAGGACCCTAAGGTGCTTGTGTTATCTTCAGCTAACACACGCTCAGATCAAATGTGATTATTGTGAAACTGGAACCAACTGTGGGTGAAAGGTGGAGTTTGAAAATAACATAGAATTCAAACTCAAAGTAGAAGTTGCCAACACTATCAACCAAATGAAGAACTCAGCTAACGTATCTTCTGGGTTGAGCAAAAAGTAAAGTGAGTAAAGAATGTAACTAGCCCTAGAGTAGACTACTACTATTGTTGGTACTGCTCAGACAGATATTAACATTCTTGACCTGGCCAGACTGCCTATAGGTCAAGAATTTCAATCCCTATTTTCAATTCCTATGACTGATTTCTTTGTTTTTTTCTCTACCTACATTACATGGTTAGACTTATATGTTTAGACAGCAAATTTCTCAAAAGCTGTTAAAATTATTTAATTATATTCAAGATTTTACAAAAAATTTTGCCTAGTTTTTTCTAATTTTGTAATTTTGGTGACTTTTTTTATTTGCTTCCTGGTTAGACACTTGGAGTTGATGTGACAAAGGTAGAGATATGTTACCTAATGTTAACAAGGGCCAAAACATGTTACTCAATAGTTATGATTAGACTAATACAAACAAATGACAACACTGTTATTTTGTTTAATCAATGCTTAAACTGTTAGAAAATACCCTCCTTGTGCATAAACTATCTCTGCATTTTGGCTGGACTTGATAACATAGGTAGAGGGATTTTGTTTTAGAACTCACTGCTACTTGATGTATTTTCCAACTGTTTGTTCTCTACTTTTCTTCACAAACTGTTACTTAACTGATGGGAAAACATGATAAATATTTACCATTGGTACTATCCCATCAAACCAAGTCACAATTAGAAAAATATATGAATCTGTCAAATGCACTTTAAGGTAGTTTTTGAATTTTACAATTTCACAAAATCAAAAAACAAGCGACAGTAGCTCAATCAGTTTGTGTTTGTCCACTGATCTGAAGGTTGGCTCTCAACACAAACAGATCCACTGGTCCATGGCGTTGGTAGTATGACCACAGATGAATGCTGTTGCTGTGTCTTTGGGCAAGACACTTAACCCACCTTGGCCCCATTGTGTGTGTACACTGGTGTATACCTGTGTGAATGGGTGAGTGGTTCCTTGATGTTAAGTGCTTTAAGTGCCTTGAAGGTGGAAAGCACTATATAAAATGAGACCATTTACTATTTTACAATATAAATTATAAGTCACACTTTTACTCTAATTCACAAAAATGGACATCAAGAAACCCGAAAATTCAAATCTCACACACATTCACAATGTCTTATAGTGCTACACTTTCTACAGTAGAGACTGAAATTACATTTTTTTGGCTTCTGAAAAGGTCATAATTGTTGGTTTTCAGTCTTTACGATTATAATACAGTCTTCTACCTCAAGTATATACTCCTAACTATGGAAAGGAAATTCTATTGATACTTGTTCAAATAATTATCTAGTTTAGATTTTTTTTTATTGATTAGTATCTTGGTACTGATTTGATTTTTTTGAACAACCCTACTGCCAGCTCCCCATGACCCGCACCCACAGTCACAAGATAAAGGCACCATCTTTGCTCTGAGCATGAAAATCCACTGAAAAGTTTCTTTTTTACTTTATCCTTACTGACTCTTCCACTTTCCCAGGCTCTGGTGACCTCTGCAAGATGGCTGATCATAGAGGGGGTGCGATCGAGGAAAACCAGGTTCAACCAGTCAAATCTCAGGCCAACAGCGGTGCGGACAGATACTTAAATGGTATTGAAAAATTATGTATACATCTGAATTCAGCAGTACTACTAATACATCATATTTCTATTTCTGTTTATACATATTTATTATTATACTGTGGAATAGGGATGGGACAAGATCTTGTGAGAAAAATTGCCTCAGGACTGTGCACACATGCGAAAAAATTATCTTGTCAGTTTTTTTGTTCATAGTTTTACATTTACCTAGGGCAAACATGTTTACCTTTCTGAATAACAACTCTTTAGAGCCTGTAGTACTAAAAAGCAGTGATACAATGACAGCAAATCTACAACATTAAATATATAAAAAGTGAGGACAAAATTATGAACAGACCCACACAATTTATTTGTAAATTACTTGGGAAAATTGTGTGAAAATCTTGTCTTGCCCAGGAAAGATTGTGTCTCGTCCTACCCCTATTATGGAAGTTTTCAGGCAATTTGTGCTTTGAATTTTACCTTCTTTTCTTTGCTGTGCAATTTCCATTGTAGATGAATAAAGTTTTTCTAAGTCTATGCCTACATAAATGTTTCTAATGCTAGTGTTTGTATTTGTTTAAATTACACAAAATTAACTGAAAATTGTGAGCTTTAAGCCATGTTAGAATGTTGTTACCTCCTCAAAAACATACCCAGAGTTGTGTTTTGTTTCATTTTCACACACGTTTGTATATTAGTCTATATCTCCAAAGCTCAAAATGCTCTGTTCCACCTTGTGATGTCATGATTTGGTAGTTTTCAAGTGAACAGCTTCCTTTTATCTTTAGATTAATAGAGAAAGCTGAAATGATCCAAATGGTTCTAGTGAAGGTGCATGAGTTTAAAAACATAATAGAGCACTTTCTGTATTACCACATGACATCACAATGTGGAATAGTGTTTTCCATTTGAGAGAAGAACTCAGCCTAAATATGCAGGGTTTGCGTGTTAAACATGTGTGAATGAAACAAAACTTCAGGTATGATTGTGAAGAGGAAACAACATCAGAAAACATCAATATAGGCCATTTAACCTTTTGTTTAGTGAATAGTCTCTGGTTTGGTCTTTTTCAGGTCAGTGTGTGTTGTCGATTTCGAGTGGCTCCATTTTAAGCCCTGGTTTTGACCTGGAGATGTGCCGCAGTCGTCTGGAGATGAACGGTTTTCAGGTCAGTCCACAGGTTGGCACTTGGAGGCATTAAAGTTCATATGACAGGTTAGACTCATTATTTCACCATAACATTATTTAAGATCAAGTTAAAATCTTGCCTATTTTTGCCTATTAAGTAGATCATTGTACTTCCTGGTTGGAGATGGCAGGAGGTATGACATCGACGTAATGCCATAACTGTTATCTAGCAACCATAAAGTTAACATGGGTCCAAACTCATCTAATTTAGGATTAGATTGATAAAAAAGTAAATGACAGCACCTTTATTTTGTTAAATCAATTTTCTTATGTTACACAAAACAGACTCTTGTGAACTTTAAGCCATGTTATAATGTTGTAACCTCCTCAAAAACATACCTGGAGTTGTGTTTTGTTTCATTCACATGTATTTGAGTAACCCTTTATTATTAGCCTGTCTACATCTCCACAACTCAAAATGCTCTGTTCCACCTTATGATGTCATGTAGTGGTAGTTTCCAAGTTAAGAGCTACTTTTTACCTTTAGATCAGTAGAGATTTGCAATTCCAGGGGTGAAATGATCCAAATGATTCTAGTGAAAGTGTAAGGAGTTTAAAAACCCAGTGGAGCACTTCCTGTATTGCCACATGACATCACAAGGTGGTAGAGGGATTCTGTTCTATATTTCATCTCTTCAACTTTTTTTCACAAACTTCCACTTAAATTATGTAAACTAATGATAAATATTTACCACATGCAGATACGATCCCCCCCCCAAAAAAACAAATCCAAACAATTGGGAAAACATGAAAACCCGTCATATGCACTTATATTATTATTGCGATATACTGTATATATAAGTATTTTGCATATACAGCATAAAAGAACAAAACTGGTTGAATGTTTGGCCAGTCCATTTGTAGTTTCAGGAAGTAGTCATTATAAAAGTATTCAAGACAGAGAAGTGAAAGATTTATAATTGCCTTTGTTTTGCAATGCCATCTTGGGTTAACCCACATTGCTCTCTTGAACTGGATTCTCATAAAACTCGTGACAGCAGGAAGAAGTTAAGGTTAAAGTGGAGATCAGGCCAACTTGTAAATGTTTTACACAATAGAATTTACACATTAAGTTTGCTGATAAATACTGGTGCTGTGTAACTTCTCTGTTGGACGGTCTGCCACCTGCTTGTCTCCATGGAGATGCTTTGCCTAGAATGTTCCACAGTTTGGCATTAAACTTAACATCTTCACTGAAAGAAATATGGAACGCCACTAGGCCAGTTTGCAAGTCATTATCTAGTTTTTGTTTTTTGAGCAATAAAAACCATATAACTAACCATATGCTTACTCGATTACATTTATAGTCAACTGTGTAACATTCCAGGATAAGCAATAACATCTCTGTGGACCCCATGATCAGGAAAGATACTGGGTGGAGCTTTAATTATATTTATTTTTCACAGATCCCAGAGTCAGATTTGGAGGTTCCTCTGAAAACTGCCCTTGATGTCCCTTCAGTAAAAAGATACATCACCTTTAACTCCTCCCTCTTTCATTTCCTCATGGCTCCAGTGAGTTTAATAGGTTTAATATCACATCTTGAGGTATCATTATGTAATTTGAACCCAGTGAGATTTTCCACATATTTAATAGGTCTACATATCAATCCATATTTAAAAACATATTCCATAAACAAAAATAGTGCAGATCTTTTTTTACATGATCAAAAGAATGAACAATATGTTTAATGTTAACTAATACAATTCCCCTCTTCTCCTGTGATTTTGGCTGTTGACTCCCCCTGCTGGTGATATGCTTTTTTAAATTGAACATGTCTTAATTAGCGGTCCATAAATTTTCTGGTGCTGGCAGGTCATCTGCATGATTCCATGAAAATAGAAAGTAAAAAAAAACATATTTCAGAACATTCTCCATGGAGATAGATTGGTTTTATGCCATAATGTGGAATATTATAGCCAAAGGAACAACATTTCTAGAGACAAGCAGACCCTCTTCTAGCTCAAGTCAGGTGTGTAACAGTCAGGATTGTGAAGATGCAAGTCCACTCAGAGTAAGGACGCATGTTTTTCTACATTTTTCAGAGCAATAATTTTTTTTGGGAAAAAACAAAAACTTGTTGTTATGGTGATATAGAACAGTGATTACCTGTTCCCAAAACTACCTGTCCGGTTATTCAGAAATAATGCACATCATTTACCTTTAGAACTCTCACTGACCATATAATAAAGAAATAAAACGTGTGCTTAGCTGAGGTATTGTGTATTGTGTTTCATTCAAAGTCACTCTCAACCTTTTGTTCCTCCTATATTCACTCAATACACCCAAGTCACCACCTGCTCTTTATTTGTATTTGTAACTAAAAGTACAGATACCTGAGAAAAAAATACTCAAGTAAAAGTATCACATGAAAAAATCTACTTAAGTAAAAGTATTAAAATACTAAAGTATTTTGTAGATTTTGAGATTTAGTCTTCAAATGTAGTAATTTTGAATTCAAAAAATGTTGGTTTGTTCAACAGAAACTACTGAATCAATCTTTTTTATTTGTTGTAATTATTTTTTTTCTCAAATTATGAACACGTTAAAACTGCACTGTACTGCACTGTTCATACCCACAGTCAGAGACACTTACTGTGCTGTATGTTGTGTACTGCTCAGGTGCTGTACGTGGTCCTGTGGTGCGCGGTCTTCTCCAGTCTGCACACTTACATCACCATCACAGATTACTGGGTCCTCTGTCTCTGCGTGAGTCTCGTCGCCATCTTCCTCACCACCGCCATCATCTTCATACTCCACCGTAGCAACAAGAAGGTAACACGACCAAAACTTTACACAAGCAAATAGTTAAAGCTGCCTTGTGTAACTTTTCTGGTAGAGTGTTGTTTGTTTCCTTGGAGATGTTAATGCTTTGTGTGGAATGGTCCGCAGTTTGCCATAATGTTAGCCTTGCATTCATTCAGTAACAGGTGTTTTAACTGCTCAAAAGTACTTGCTTACTTATTGTGAGCGGATTGCCTCTCCACAGATCTAAACTGTCAGTTGACCTTGCGTCGTCACCTGCTTGTATACATGGAGATGGATAAATTTAATCCTTCCAGACCTAAGGGTAATTTTAGTACATCTGTCCTCGCCTGGATTTTTTTCTTAATTTTGCTATTAAAACTCCCCCTTTTACCTCCTAATAAAGTATTATACATCCTTTTCAGTACAACCTGTTCTTTCACAATCTGCATGTTGTAATTGTGTCATATGGCTGTAATAAAAGCTATAGGACCAGAAAGTAATATTCATACTCCTTTATTCAAAACACACAGCAAATATGGATAAACAACTTTTTAGACATAAAAAAATGCTTAGTTTAGGGTCTTGGCTACAAAAGTGCAAAATATCAAGTCTGTAGGTCCCCCTCAAAACAAAAACAAACAAAAAATATATATATACATTCCTTCACTGGTACCAATCATGGAAGCAATTCTTATCAGGGGTGGCTAGGGTTGTAGCCCTTGATGAAGCTGGGGAGGCACTTGAAGTGGACAGCATGGCATTAAACAAAGGAAAGGGTGGGTGCTTGTGTAAAACGTATGTGTTACATAAGTCTAGTGCAGCAGGAGAAAACACAGTAAGTGTACAACCCTATCCCCCACTTAAATGGTGTCAAGATATTATGACCTCACTAATTAGAGCAGCCACACATTCCAAACGCATAAATACGCATTACGCATGCAACTCGTTGGGTACTTGTGTTACACATGTAGTTGTTACAAACAACAACATACATGTCCTAAATCTAGTGCAACACGGGTAAAAAGTTGTTTTCAGTGTATAATCCCATCTCCCACCTAAATGGTTACTGTTATCCTCCGCACGCACCAAATAAAACTTTATCCAAACAATACGCAAATACGCATTATGCACGCAACTATATGTTTTTACGCCCGTTTACTACAAGCGTTGCGCACTGTTTGCTCGAAATAGCTGTGAACTATTTGCCACTTACTCTTCAGCAGGGTCCAGACCCTCCAGGTAATCCAACTCCTCATCTGTGTGAAAACTGTCTAAAGTTCGGCAAAGTTTGGGCAAATCAAAATGGAATGAGCGCGTCATGTGCCCAAGAACAAAGTTCCTATTGGACACTTGTTTTCACCACGTCACCACGCAGCTTGCGTGTGACGAAGGATGATGCCGGAAATATGCTCATATTATTTTAATAGATCCATGGAGAGCCCGCTATGGGAGAGCCACGGCTGTCTACTTTCTGAGAAAAAAAAAAAAAGTTTCTATCTTTTATGGTTAAAAGTTATGCGCGGTTATGTAAAACATGTCTGTCTGGAAGGGTTAAAGGGCCCATATTGTTATGTTCTTTTCACAAACTGAGAACACTCTGTTCCAGCTTGTGATGTATGTTTTTAAACTCCATACACCTTCAGTAGAATCACTGTAAATATTTTAAATATAAAGTTGTTAACTAGAAAACTACCGCTTCATGACATCACAAGGTGGAGCAGAGCATTTTGAGCTTACGAGAAGTAGACTAATAATAGACTATACTAATAATAAAGAATTATTCAAACATGTGTGTATGAAACAATTCCATGTATATTTTTGATGAGTTAACATTTTAACATGGCTTAAGAAGATTTTATTTTATTTTTTTCATTATATAGGACCTCCAATAGTAATAGAAATAGCATCTCCATGAAGACAACCAGGTTGCAGACCCTCAACCAGAAAAGTTACACAATGTTCCTTTAAAGACAGAAAATGTAGGGATAATAATAACCTCATTTATACAGCACTGTATATAAAGTCCTTGTGCCCTCTGCTTGCAACTATGACAATTTGTAAAGTATCCATACCTGTAGCCTACATATACATGATTTTAGATTGTAAAATGATCAAATAATGCCGAGGTGTCCAAAATACAATACAGAGTGCCAACAATAATGAATAATGAAATGACTTATTTATGAATACTTTGCTAATGATTACTTTATTGTTTGTGTCAGATCAACATAAATTTGGATGTGAGGTTGATCGCGGTGAATGAGAGGCTAGTCAAACACAAGCTGTTGGTATCTGTGGCCGATTGGGTCGAGAACTGCACCAGTAATCTGCAGGTGAACATTAGAACATATGGGTTTTAAATAACTATGTATAAAATGCAAGCTAAAATATCCTTTAATAATGTGTTATGGTTATGATTTGTTTAGCTGTATTTTGTTTACTGGGACATGTCGCGCTGTTTGAGAGCTTTGACTGAGACCTTAGAGGAGCAAAATTATGAATCCCAAAATATTCAGGTGAGATTATCCGATTCTCTTTACTTTATACATTTCTGGTTGTAGTCAATTTGTGAATTGTAGTATTTTTTATTGTGTTGAAATTGCTAATAAATAATGCATGGGTTACATAAAGCTGTATATTGATTACACTCAGGTACACTAAGATCTTTTCTTTCTTCTTGGTTTTTCTGTTTTGAAGCTACCATCTATAGTTTTATGAGATGTTTCTAATTGGTCTAGTGGTGAAGAAAACAACAGGGATGGGTCGGCCAGTCTAATAAAGGATGGTAGCTTTAAAATAGCATTTAGCCTTTTTTACCATTTACCTTTACTCTCTGTTAAATGTACACTCTTATCTCATTCAGCTTAATTTGTTTAAAATGTATTAATTATGTATTTATTTTGCAGAATAAGCTGAAGAAGAGGATGTCTCACCTGGTTCTGGTCAGTGAAGTCTCACAGATCAAAACAGAGACAGAAGAGGGCGATGTGGAGCAGGGCACAGACGAACACAGGCCCCTGCTGCAGGAGGAGCCAGAGCGAAATACCTCCTCAGACCAGAAGGGCGCGCACCAACTCACCACCAGCCTCAGCCTCGTCCCAGACACAGTGCTGTCTGCTCAGGTAAAAATATTTACAAAAACTCATTATAATACATTCATTCAGATTCATGAATACCTGACTTGGAACCTGAGATCCTAATGCTATGAGGCAGGAATAGTGTTAAAGGTGCAATCTGTAACTTTTCTGATGGGGTGTCAGCCACATGACATGGAGATGAGAAGGTGTCACCACAAAGCAAAGTTAAAGGTTAGATTTGTGGAGAGGTGATCCCTCTCACAGTAACAATGCGTGCCTAACAAGGTATTTCTGTGTAACATAACACATGTAATTAAATAAATGCAAGCTAGTTTAATGCCATACTGCATAAACATTTCCATGGAGACTAGCAGCCCCAACAAAAATGTTACATGGTGACATTATTATACACTTATATACAGTGTTGTGCATGAACGAGTTCAAAAGAACGCGTTCATTGAACACGTTCATTTTTCAGTGAACTTTGAACTGAACGCAACACTTTTGTAAATCAAGAACTTGAACGTGAATTTGTTCAAATTATGTGTGATGAACGACGTACGTCACTGTTGGGGTTCAGTTAAACGTCGGAATTTGTTTTCACCTGACGAGTGACGATCTGCTCGCACTTCACCTCGCGAAACCACAGCCGCGTGTCGCGAAGGCGACTCCACCGGCAGCTTTAGCGGAACGTACGGGCTCTTGTGTCTCTCAATGGGAAGTCAATCAAACTTGACTGGGCGCGTTTAGCTGCTTGTATTTACCTTTTGTACAGGCTGACCACGGCAAACGCAAGGATTTCAAAAGTACATTTCAAAGCACTAATTAACAGTCTATGTGGATCTGGGCTCTTTCACATGATCCACAACTGCCCAGGGAGCACAATGTGCTGATGGTAAATGCACAAATACAACAATAGATACATGCTCTCTGTGTATTTTGACGGGGATACGCGCCTAAGCTCGTGTAGAGCGTCAAAAAATAGGATGGATCCTATTTTCTGAAATCTACACGCACAGGATGTGCTGCTCTGCGCGCGTATTATTTTACTTGGTACATATGTCAGTAACGCGCGTCACAATGCTTTTTTAACCTGGATTGAAATGGTGGCTTTTTCGTTTTTCTTCATACAAATTTGCTAAAATCACCGCGATATCAGCAGCGGTGAAACGCCGGAGGTGCGCCCGCGTAAACCGTGATCCTGAGCGAAAGGACCGACGCAGAAGTCCGCGCTCCACCGAACTAAACGCAGCTGACGCCCGATCGCACTCGGGGTTCTCTCAGGGGCGGTCCTAGATTCCAAGTTTTAGTCCAGGATTAGTCCTGGTTTGGTCCTGGTTTAGTCTTGGTTTAGTCCTGGTTTAGTCCTGGTTCAGTTCTGGTTTAGACCTGGTTTAGTCCTGGTTCAGTTCTGGTTTAGTCCTGGTTTAGTCCTGGTTCAATCCTGGTTTAGACCTGGTTCAATTCTGGTTCAGTCCTGGTTTAGTCTTGGTTTATTCCTGGTTTAGCCCTGGTTCAGTCCTGGTTCAGTCCTGGTTTAGACCTGGTTCAATTCTGGTTCAGTCCTGGTTTAGTCTTGGTTTATTCCTGGTTTAGACCTGGTTTAGACATGGTTTAGACCTGGTTTAGTCCTGGTTCAGTTCTGGTTTAGACCTGGTTTAGACCTGGTTCAGTCCTGGTTCAGTTCTGGTTTAGTCCTGGTTTAGTCCTGGTTTAGACCTGGTTTAGACCTGGTTTAGTCCTGGTTCAGTTCTGGTTTAGACCTGGTTTAGACCTGGTTTAGTCCTGGTTCAGTTCTGGTATAGACCTGGTTTAGTCCTGGTTTAGACCTGGTTCAGTTCTGGTTTAGTCCTGGTTTAGATCTGGTTTAGTCCTGGTTTGGACCTGGTTCAGTTCTGGTTTAGACCTGGTTTAGTCCTGGTTCAGTTCTGGTTTAGACCTGGTTTAGACCTGGTTTAGTCCTGGTTCAGTTCTGGTATAGACCTGGTTTAGTCCTGGTTTAGACCTGGTTCAGTTCTGGTTTAGTCCTGGTTTAGACCTGGTTCAGTTCTGGTTTAGTCCTGGTTTAGACCTGGTTTAGCCCTGGTTCAGTCCTGGTTTAGACCTGGTTCAATTCTGGTTTAGTCTTTGTTTATTCCTGGTTTAGACCTGGTTTAGACCTGGTTTAGTCCTGGTTCAGTTCTGGTTTAGACCTGGTTTAGACCTGGTTCAGTCCTGGTTCAGTTCTGGTTTAGTCCTGGTTTAGTCCTGGTTTAGACCTGGTTTAGTCCTGGTTCAGTTCTGGTTTAGACCTGGTTTAGTCCTGGTTCAGTTCTGGTATAGACCTGGTTTAGTCCTGGTTTAGACCTGGTTCAGTTCTGGTTTAGTCCTGGTTTAGACCTGGTTCAGTTCTGGTTTAGTCCTGGTTTAGACCTGGTTTAGTCCTGGTTTGGACCTGGTTCAGTTCTGGTTTAGTCCTGGTTTAGACCTGGTTTAGTCCTGGTTCAGTTCTGGTTTAGACCTGGTTTAGTCCTGGTTCAGTTCTGGTATAGACCTGGTTTAGTCCTGGTTTAGACCTGGTTCAGTTCTGGTTTAGTCCTGGTTTAGACCTGGTTCAGTTCTGGTTTAGTCCTGGTTTAGACCTGGTTTAGTCCTGGTTTGGACCTGGTTCAGTTCTGGTTTAGTCCTGGTTTAGTCCTGGTTTAGACCTGGTTCAGTTCTGGTTTAGTCCTGGTTTAGACCTGGTTTAGACCTGGTTTAGTCCTGGTTCAGTTCTGGTTTAGACCTGGTTTAGTCCTGGTTCAGTTCTGGTATAGACCTGGTTTAGTCCTGGTTTAGACCTGGTTCAGTTCTGGTTTAGTCCTGGTTTAGACCTGGTTTAGTCCTGGTTCAGTTCTGGTTTAGACCTGGTTTAGTCCTGGTTCAGTTCTGGTATAGACCTGGTTTAGTCCTGGTTTAGACCTGGTTCAGTTCTGGTTTAGTCCTGGTTTAGACCTGGTTCAGTTCTGGTTTAGTCCTGGTTTAGACCTGGTTTAGTCCTGGTTTGGACCTGGTTCAGTTCTGGTTTAGTCCTGGTTTAGTCCTGGTTTAGACCTGGTTCAGTTCTGGTTTAGTCCTGGTTTAGACCTGGTTTAGACCTGGTTTAGTCCTGGTTCAGTTCTGGTTTAGACCTGGTTTAGTCCTGGTTCAGTTCTGGTATAGACCTGGTTTAGTCCTGGTTTAGACCTGGTTCAGTTCTGGTTTAGTCCTGGTTTAGACCTGGTTCAGTTCTGGTTTAGTCCTGGTTTGGACCTGGTTCAGTTCTGGTTTAGTCCTGGTTTAGTCCTGGTTTAGACCTGGTTCAGTTCTGGTTTAGTCCTGGTTTAGACCTGGTTTAGACCTGGTTTAGTCCTGGTTCAGTCCATATACGGCGCAAAAGTTCAGCATCTTAACAGTTCTTTTGGTGAGAGTAAATTAAAAGTGCTGCAATAGTCATGTAATGTTTTACATTTTAAATACAGTAATATTGTAATGTAACAAATGACTCTGAAATGACAGTAACAAGTCATAAATAACACATTACAGTTTTAAAGTCACTTGTCCAACAGTGGATCTTGTAAAGTTGTTGTAAACTAGAAGTCAGTTTGAAAAATAAATGCAGCCTTTCATTTACAGATCTCATCTAAATATAAAATGAACTGAACTTTGAACTAGTTCAAAATTAAAATTGTGAACTATGAACGTGAACTATTCACTTTGAACAAGTGTGAACTGAACTTTGAACTAGTTCATGAAAAGTGTGAACTTGCACAACACTGCTTATATATATAATGGAGTCTATTTTGCCTTTTTCATCTACTGGCAGTGGTGAGAAGAGTAGAATGTACTTATTTATAGAAGACTAAATATCTGCATTTAATGTATCATATTACTCAAATCATTCTTATGAGCTTTCAACCATGTTAGCATATTGTTACTTCCTGAAAAACATACCTTTTTTGTGGAGTAGAAAAAACAAAGTTGTGACGATCAATACATCTTTTTTTCTACTCCATAAGAATTTAAGCCCTCTGGTTTGATGAGCACCTGTATGCGTATTTTTTTGATACAGTGCAGCACTCCAGTATCGTTATTTTTATTCCTGGAGTTGTGTTTTATTTCATTCAACTGTAGCCATTTATTATTAGTTTGTCTACATCTCCAAAGCTCAAAATGCTCCACTGCACCTTGTGATGTCATGTAGTGGTAGTTCAAGTTAACAAGTGGTAGTTTTCAAGTTAACAGTTACCTTTACATCTTGTTTAGTAGAGATTGGCAATCCCTGGTCTGAAATTATCCTAATATTTCTAGTGAAGGTGTATGGAGTTTAAAAACACAGTGGAGCACATCCTACATTACCACATGACATTACAAGGTGGAAGGTGTTTTCTGTGTGAGGAAAGAGCTCAGTCTTAATATGCACTGTTTGTGTGTTACCATGTGTGAATAAAGCAAAACACAACAGGTATGTTTGTGATGAAGAAACGTAACATAGATCAGAAATATGGGCCCTTCAAGAAATATTTAGTTACTTCCCAACATTACCTCCATAGCTAGTTGAAGATTTCACCTCTGGTCCAGTCTCTTCACTGGCTGTATTTTAATGACTAGAGCTGCAGATGTCGAGCTGTGATCAGGAGCTGGACAGATGACCAAACTCATTAGTATGCAAATGTATTCATGAACCTTCAGAGCCTTCAGTATTTTTCTTTGAAGATGGGGCCAAATATCTTAGGTGAAGAATTTTTTGATGAAGTTTTGAGTTGCACATCTGCTCGTATTGGAACAGATGCTGGATATCTACCGGTACTGCCTGAGACGAGCCTTGAGCTTTATATAGATAAAATAAAATAAATGTGATGGATTTGTATATAGCATTTTTAATGCCATTCTCTCATAGCTGCAGCTGTCCAGACTCAGAGGCAGGCAGACTGAGTTGTGGGGTGGTTGTTATTCTTTCCCAATGGCCTGTCTAAATGCACATCCACTGTAATAAGGTTTTAAAGTTGCTGTCTTACCAAAAACACAACAAAATTACAATACAGTGCTAGTAACAGAGAATAAACCATCTTCTAGTTCACACACACTGTTATAAAAAAAAAAAAATGTGTTTCTCACCTTCCACGGTGGTAGGTCTCTCTCACCCTCATTCAGCTCGGGTCCTCTACCAGAGGCCTGGGAGCTTGAGAGTTCTGCGCAGTATCTTTGCTGTTCCCAGTACTGCACTTTTCTGGACTGAGATGTCCGTTGTTTTTCCCGGTATCTGTTGTAGCCACTCTTCCAGTTTGGGGGTTACAGCCCCGAGTGCTCCGATCACCACAGGCACCACTGATGCCTTTACTTTCCAGGCTCTCTCCAGCTCTTCCTTGAGCCCCTGGTATTTCTCTAGCTTCTCGTGTTCCTTTTTCCTGATATTACCATCGCTTGGTATTGCGATGTCAACCACCACGGCTCTGCTCTGTTTCTTATCCACCACCACTATGTCTGGTTGGTTCGCCATCACCATTCTGTCAGTCTGTATCTGGAAGTCCCACAGGATCTTGGCTCGGTCATTCTCCACAACCTTTGGAGGTGTTTCCCACCTTGATCCTGGGGTTTCCAGCCCGTACTCTGCACAGATGTTTCTGTACACTATGCCCGCCACTTGGTTATGTCGCTCCATGTATGCTTTCCCTGCCAGCATCTTACACCCCGCAGTTATTAATGGGGTCCAGAGGAAGAGGTGCTGGTGGGACCATCATGGCAGGACAAACCCCTACATGGGGCGTACCACCGGAACATAACTGAAGTGGCTGATATCAAGAAATCCTACCAATGGCTTGAGAGGGCTGGTCTGAAGGACAGCACAGAGGCACTGATCCTGGCTGCTCAGGAGCAGGCCCTGGGCACTCGAGCAATAGAGGCCCAGATCTACCACACCAGACAAGACCCATGATGTAGACTGTGCAAAGAGGCTCCTGAGACAGTCCAGCACATAACTGCAGGGTGTAAGATGCTGGCAGGGAAAGCATACATGGAGCGACATAACCAAGTGGCGGGCATAGTGTACAGAAACATCTGTGCAGAGTACGGGCTGGAAACCCCAGGATCAAGGTGGGAAACACCTCCAAAGGTTGTGGAGAATGACCGAGCCAAGATCCTGTGGGACTTCCAGATACAGACTGACAGAATGGTGATGGCGAACCAACCAGACATAGTGGTGGTGGATAAGAAACAGAGCAGAGCCGTGGTGGTGGACATCGCAATACCAAGCGATGGTAATATCAGGAAAAAGGAACACGAGAAGCTAGAGAAATACCAGGGGCTCAAGGAAGAGCTGGAGAGAGCCTGGAAAGTAAAGGCATCAGTGGTGCCTGTGGTGATCGGAGCACTCGGGGCTGTAACCCCCAAACTGGAAGAGTGGCTTCAACAGATACCGGGAAAAACAATGGACATCTCAGTCCAGAAAAGTGCAGTACTGGGAACAGCAAAGATACTGCGCAGAACTCTCAAGCTCCCAGGCCTCTGGTAGAGGACCCGAGCTGAATGAGGGTGAGAGAGACCTACCACCGTGGAAGGTGAGAAACACATTTTTATATATATTTTTATATAAATATATATATTATATATATATATATATATATATATATATATATATATATAAACTGTGGTGCCCAATGAGGTTGTGGGACCTCTGATGGATAGCCGCAGATCACACTAGCGAGTAGTAGAATGCATATGCACAAAAAGGACTATGCAACACTGCCAAATCCTGTACAGATTAAGGAAATATAATTGGTGAAAAAAGCAAGTACAGAGCAGTGAGTGTATGCTGGTGGTGATGAAAATGGGGATGACATCTAACATCAAATACAACTTCGAGAGAATAATTAAGAAGAAAACTCTAATATGGTTAAAAGCTCTGAAAAGTCGATTTTGCACAAGTAAGCACAAGTAGAGGACCCTCCACCAGGAAATAGACAACGACTGATAATTGTAACTATGCTACAATTGGGCATTTATACAGCCCTAATTACATCACAGTATATTTAAACCCCTCCACTCTCTCCCTGTCTGCAGGTAAAAGCTCAGCAGCTGTTGATGACCTACAGTGCATTGTACATAAAGCTGCTGGTGTCTGAGCACCTGTCAGGACCGTCCCATTACAGGATGCGCCTCAAGAGGAACCACTGTACTACAGCCTCTCTGTGTCTGTGCCAGTTCATCCGCAGCGAGATCCTCCGGTAGCACCAAACTTCATCTGCAAATATGGACTTTTTATACTTAAGTTATTGTATTTTATAGTTTTTTTGTTATGTGTTTGTGACATTACATTCACAAATGGACATTGATGTTACACGCTGGTTGTAGTTAGGTTAAAAACCTTCACACTCTTTGCAGAGGAACTTAGACCTGTCATGCTATTTCTCTGTCCCACAATCTATTATGTCTTGTGATGGAAAAATATAGTACTTAGACATGCACATTTGATCTTTATTTTAACACAATCTGAACAGAAAGAACCGACTTAGCTGGAATACAACAGGTGAGCTGATTTGGGCTGTTAAACAAGTCTCTCACACATAAAATTACAGTCAAAAGTTAGGGTTAGCCAACAGTTAGCCACACTTTTTGTTGAAAACCCAACACCTAAATAGAACCATGAACACTCATATTGATCACCAGCTCGCGAAAATCGGTTGTTTAAATACTTATTGTATTTTTTTTTTCTTGAGTTTTCAGACCACCTAAAAAGACCTCCAACATGATGTCACTGCATAGTATCAATTTAAGTAGATCTCTTTGATAACATTAGACAATTGACATATCAGATCTGTACTTTACAATTACAGATATTTTAATGTGACAAATATTTTACCATATCAAAGTGAAAGACTACATTTTCCTTTCGTACAAATTATGATCTTCAAAATTTTGTGAATCCATGTTCCATGTATTTGAACTTTTGTATTTGTGTCTGAGTCTCTGTTCAAATGATGTCTGTGTCCCTGACAATCACTGCACAGTGCACATTTTATTAAAATTATTTGTAAAAGAAACATTAAACACATGATTATTGTGAGCTTTTTGTTCATATAACATTGCTTATATGAAATAAAATATTACTCAACAAGTTAAACTAAACCAACTGGACTCACCACCCACCTCTACAGTGGGAGTCACAGTTACTAACAAGCTCTGAACGAGCTCCTGGTTGGTAGCGGTTTAATTTAACTTGCTGATTAATATCATTTTTGCAACATTTTAAGGAAGTGTTCCTATTTGAAAGATATTTTGTTATAAATAGTTTATTGCTATGGCAACAGTTTTTCATGATTCTAAAACCCATGGACATTTATTTTAGGTTTATATATTTGTTTGTTTAAAAATTGGGTTATATCATAGAATTCCATGTTCAGTGGAACAATTATTGCAGCATTGCCATAGCTGATATTTTGAGCCATGTTGTATTGTATAGTGCAGTTCAGTCATAATACTATTGGTGAGATCCATATAATTTCCTGTTTCCTTGGTGACCACATGGCGTTGTCTCTCGCTTCTGGAGATGACAGCTGACAGGAACCACAGGCCGACTCTGTCACAGCCCCAGAGCATGCTGGGAGTTTGAGGCAGAGGCCAGGACACGTGCAGAGAGAGGCCAGGTCCAAGCATCTCTGACTCTGCAGTTAGCACAGGCTGTTAGCGCGAGCTGTTAGCAGGAGGCTAAACGGACATCTGTGAAAACACCACACTGTCACACAGACAGAGCAGAGCTGGGTCAGGATTCTGAACTGCTCCAATATGAGGCTGGTTTAGACTGGGCCAAATGTAAAGGGGTAAGGCGTGCATGCCAAATGAAGCCAGATTTTGGAGTTGAATTTGAAATGAAAAATTTGAGAGCAAAAAAAGTCAAATAAACATTGTGAAAATGTGCTGATTTTTTATGATTTAAAGCTCCCATTGGTAACTGTGATTTTTTTCACCAGAAAATGTCAGATGTGACACTGGCTGACTGCAGTATGATAGATAGCATCTAGTGGTGATATGTGAGAAAACAACACGAGAGGGTCGGTCAGTTTAATTACAAATTAGGACTTTAAGCGTCATTACAGTTGAATTTACGCAATCACAAATCAGATCATAAACAGATTACTTATAATAGCTTCTCTTGTTCAGGTACTGTAAACATAAGACTGTTATCTTATATGTATATGTATATGTATATGTATATATTTATATATGTTTCTACAGTGGACAAAACACACCTGCCTCCTGCTGAACACAACTGAGACCAAGGAGATGGTGGTCAGTTCTCCAAGTCCACAAATCATCTCCAGACAGTGGACATTGAGCAGGTGTAAACATTTACATAAATATAATTTACATAAACATTTTAGTGTTCAGCTTGACAGCAACCTTAACCGGTTTGTTAACATCCAGAACTGACCCTCCAGTTTTAACAACTTATTTTATTTATTGAATGTGTCTGTGAACTGTGTAACTCCAAAAACTTAACTGAATATTTGAATTTCCCTGCCAGGGGATGAACAAATCTATCCATCTATCTATATATCTATCTTATATAAGGTTAGAACAAAGTGTGTCTTTCGGTCTCTGAATTTAAGATAATTTGATGCACTTATAAAGTGAAAATAACCGTTTTGCTTATGAGAACAGATTTCTATTAATTTTCTATCTATACATTTCAATTCATTTCCTTTGCTTTACAACATAAACTACAAAAAGCTCTAAAACCAAATAAAATGAACACAGAACAGAAAATAATCGTTCCAATATTTGCCACTACATTGTACCATAATGTTGATTTCCTGTGCCGATGTGACAGACTTTAATTATCACATGACATCACAGGCTCCTACAGTGTAATCCACATGTGAGAATCGCATGTGACTGGAGACAGGAGATGGGCTGAGAGATAGAGCGGTGACTGAGAAAACCGGGCCAACTAAAAATAGAAACAACACAACGGAGGAGAGGAGAGGACAGAGGGAGAGAAAATGCAAGAAATTGGTCTAAAAAAATTACAATTTCAACTCTTTATTTTTCTTCTCTTCATTTATTTAGACAAAAACAACCAATGCATGTGCAACAATGAACATAAGATTCATTTTAACATGGTTTAGTCCCCATTAGTACCACAGTAGTACAATTTACAGCAGCTTTCAGTTTGGACAAGCAATCTTTGCATTTACAAGCAGAAAATACAAAAGAGTTATAATTTAAATAAGGGGAAAGAAGAAGGAGGAAAACTATGCACTGCAAAAATGTGAGTTAAAATGACTGGAATTACATCTATATACTATAACACAATTAAATAGCATTGTTATAGTTAATCAAGGTTTTGGGGTTTTAATTAAAGGTCCTATATTACGCAAAATTGAGCTTTAAGCCATGTTATAATGATGTTACCGCATCAAAAACAGACCTGCAGTTGTGTGTTGCTTCATTCACGCGTTTATGGAACCCTTTATTATTTGTCTGTTTACATGTACAAAGCTCAAAATGTTCAGTAGAGATGGGCAATTCCAGGTTGAAACAATCCAAATGATTAAAATGAAGGTGCATGAAGTTAAAAAATACAGGGGAGCACTTAGTGTATTATTAGTGTGTTTTTTCATGGGAACTCAGCCTAAATATGCAGAGTTTATGTGTTAAACATGTGTGAGGAAACAACATTATAATATAGATCACAAAATAGCGTAATATAGACCCTTATTTCACATATTTCAGTCGGGTATAGATAGTTTTCTGGGCAAGTGGTATGAGAAAACTATAAAAACAAGTCAACTGAATTTGTGAAAAAAGAGTAGCCTACTAAACTAGCAGAACATTTATCTTCAGACAGATAATGCATAACTAGTCAAAGATATTTGTAACAAGTCCACAGACATGGACCAACTAACTAAATAAATCTTAACTATTCAAAGTGCACTAGCTAATTTTCTGGTGGAGAGTGTGCCCCCTGCTCGTCTCTGTGGGAATATCATAGCTTTGCCTGGAATGTTCCACAATATGGCATTAAACACAGTGGAGAAAAGTAGATGCCACCATGCCAAGATCTGTCAGAGAGTTAATTTCTCAAGGTATTTTTGAGTAATAAAAATACATGGAAAAAATAAAATAAATAGTAGATATTTTGAATACCATACTATGGAATATTCCAGGCAAAGCAATAATATATATCCCTGGAGACGACCTCTTTTTGCAGTGTATAGAATAGCATAGAAGGTTAGAGGAGAGGGGCTAGCAGCTAAAGCCATCTGTACAACACCAGTCAAAGCAGATATAATTACATAAAATACATGACTCTATTTGTGTCCATTGGAAACACTAATATATGCAATAATAATAATATCGTTAATAATACTTTTCATATAATTTAATTGTGGAAACAGTAATACAGGAGATATGTCATAGGTCCATTTGGAAAATACTGGTTTGATTGAGAGGAAAGTGCTGAAGACAATTATACGTATATTTATAGAGTTTTTGTATAGTCTTCTCTTAGCATGAAACATTCAATATATCTTTAGGGATAGTCTTTTCAAGCCACTGTGATGAGAAAATATCCATTCTTATGTAATACTCTGAATCAGAAATGATGAAAGTGAATGATAAATAAACTGAAAGATTGCAATATTAGATTTAAAATTTCAATTCATTTTTATATTGGTTAAATATAAAATAGAATATTCAGTATTCTCTCACATAACAGTTTTGTCCTGCAATGTTTACAGTATTTTCCTCCAACTTGTAGCATAGCCAAGTATTCAGATTCGAAAATTTAAAAATAAAAAGTTGAACTACTTGCTTCCCCATCTTCAGTTTGTACATGCTTTCATACTTTGCATCTAATGTCATCAACAGTCCCTGGGGGTGTGGAGCTAACTGAAAGCACTACTGTTAGAAGCTCAAGTTAGACTTTAATCTGTCTGATCTTTATTTTAACACAGTCTCACAATCTCAGAACTGGCTTGGTTGAAATTAAAACAGGTGAGATGATTTGTGCTGGTGAACAAGTTTCTCACACGCTCTTTTTGTTGAAAATCAAACGCCTGAAAAGGACCATGAAAGCTTGTATTGATCACAGGGTCCTGAAAATGTGTTGTTTAAATCCATTTTATATTTTGTTTTGAGTTTTCAGACAATCTTAAAAAAAAAAAAAAAAAACTGTCAGTGTTGCTAATGTGTGCATTGTGTCAGCATGGTAACTGCTGCAGAAGAGATACATGTAGAACACCCCCACCTTGATTCAAACAAACAAATAAACAAACAAAAAAACAAAACCACATTACCAGCTAAATGTGTTCTACCTCTACTATTTTAATTACTTGAGGAAATCCACTTCTTCCATTTTTTCATTTTTCACTGTTGGACCACTTTTGGAACCAACCAGGAGCACCCCATGAAAACTGCATTTTTAGCCCCAAATTCAAATCCTTTCCCCTTTTTTCACTATTTTAAGAAACTTACAGGACAAATTCTATTCATACTACAACATGCTTGGATATTTGTCTCTTCACTTTGGCAATAATTCATGTTCAGAGTCTGTGCTCATAATTGGCTGGTTTTGGGAAATACCATGAGGAATCTCAGAGGTTTGATATTAAAATAGCTGTTAAAACATGAAAATGACATGCAGGTAGTGGCACTAAAAGCATTTGTTCATTTACATTATTCAGAGGTATAAGATGTGCAACACAAAAAGGCCAGAACACTTTCAATTCTACATGTGCAACACATCATCTAAACCTTGAGAATAGAGGGGGTATTTTACATTTATGGGGTATGAACTGCTAACACAAAACATATTTAGATCACCATGTTACCTTTCATAGTGCTGTATGTGCCAAAAACAACAAATTAACATTCTTCATCTGGTTTGTAAAGTTGTTGTGTACAATTTTGTATCTTGTTTTTGTATATTTATGGAGAATTGTCGTGTGGGAGCATAGATGACGTAGGCTTGTGGGCGGAGCATTGCACAGAATCTTACAGCTAACCACAAAGAGGGTTCGGATAGGGCCTGGAAAAGCTTGTTAAAATACTCAAACATGCATGGATGACATCTAAAACCTCTTTTTTGATGAGGGAACGTAATAACATGGTAAAAAAAAAAAAAAAAAAAAAGCATGCTGATTGTGCTGTGATAGTGCTCTGAAGGTGAAGTGACTTTGCCCAGGAAGCAAAACATGTTAATACATTGTTGTTGGTGGATATAACATTTTCAGAACAGTTAGCAGTTAATACCCCATAGAAGTAAAATACTCCCCCCTTTAACTGTCTCCTTCCTCTGAACTGAGCTGACAACCTTTCCCACAGTATCTCATAGAACCACTTTAATGAAACACTAAATTCTACCTTAATTAAATAATATCTCACTATAATTCTAGAAATACTTTTTGTGTCTAAAATCTTCTAAATACCTTGCTAATGCACATAAAAGTCTTTACAATATAAGCAGCTGTGTCAAGTCTCAACAAAGTGCAACGTCATCACAAAAGATATCAAATCGTAGCCAATCGTAAAGTGTCATATGATGTGATAACTCTGCAAATGACAGCATAAATACATAAATAATTGTCAATAAATAAAACAATGCCATGTTTAACAACCTTTAAATAAATACATGTTTGGTTTTGTCTGTACATTTGGTGTGTATCGTCCCTTCGGTATAATACAGGTTTGATCAGCTATAACGTTATAAGTTATAAGGACTGATCTCTGAAAACTGCTAAATAAAATAAAATAAAAATGTACCAACAGATCAATGGACTTGTATTTCTGACTTCAAAACATTGTAGTTGAAATCAAAGACCTATTATTACTTTGGCAGATTAACTTTTAAATAAATCAATAATAAAACTAGTTAGGGATATCACAGGAAGTATAGTATTTGTAAATGAAACTACACTAATCCAAACTAGATTAATATTCTGAACGCAAGTCATTTTAAAGGCACACTATGTAACTTTTGTGGTTGAGGGTCCACCACTTGATCATCTCCTCTCTATCTCCATGAAGAAAAGTAGGAAACACCATCATATCACCATAAGTATTTTTCAGCAATAAAACTCTTGTAATTGAATAAATGCAAAATAGAGTCCCACACTGAGGAAAATTTCAGGCAAAGCAACTCTATCTTCATGGAGACAAGCGGGTGCAGGACCCTCCATCAGAAAAGCAACAGAGTGCATATTTAACATTCTCTTATCCAACTGTGTGGCCATGATAATTTGGCAGTATTAAAGAGATTTGTTCCTGATCAATAAAAATGGCACATATTTTTTTTTAAACAAATTAAATTACAAAATCTTAAATCTACAAGTCTGTATCCCTAAGTTGAACCACAGGACTTAGTCCCACAAACAACAAAGGCCCCAATGAATAAAACAAAAGAATAAATAGTTAATGAGAGAAGCTTTGTTCCTCCGCTGCAGTCAGTGGTTTGTCTGTGTCGGTGTAATCTGCAGCCTTGTTTACACACTTTTGATTCATTTTGTATTAGAGATAGATACATCAGCCAATCGATGAATGCACTTTTGAGTATATCGGCCATATCGGTCAAAAGGGCTGTAAAAAGGGCAGTAAAAAGGGTCCAAATATTGGAAGAGCTGATCGGCCAGCAGCTGCTCTGGATTCTAAACAAAAAACTTATCAGGCAATCTCTATTTTGTATGTGTGTAGTTGTTTCAAACTGCGTATTACACAGAAACAGTAGGGTAAAATTAGATAAATAAGCCTTAATATTGTCATGTTAATGTTAGGATAAATATTTAGTCTAATTATCCGTACAGATTCATTGTATTGTCAGTGGGAGTTTGTTCATGAGTATGTCTATAAATAAAAGATGAATGGTAGTTTTGGAGATTTCTCAACATGTGCCAAATATATCAAACTAAACCTAAACTTTTATAGATTCTTTTTAATAAATAAAAGTTAGCTAGCATTTTCTAAAATAAGAACATTTCTAAAACTGCCATACTGACTCATATCTATGTAATTGTACCTTCTCATGCCTATGTATCACTTTGTATATGAGAGGCAGCTGGTTGATACAGTACAAGTTTTGGTTCATGATTGGGAATTTATGGTCATTAAATTAAAAATAACAATTTAATTTCCACTCCAGCAGTTAAAGCTAATGTGTATGATCAAAATATTCATTAATGCCAAAGAAACTGTTGAAATTCAAGATGCACTGTGAAACTTTTATGGTGGATGGACAACTTTTCTGCTACATGCTTCGCACTGTGGATATACAGTATTTGCTTTGTCTGTAATGTTCTATAGTATGACATTATTAAACTATCTCCGTGGAAATAAGCAGGTGACGCCAGAAAACTGAGTTGCAGTGAGGTGAGAAGCATGTTTTTCAAGGTATTTTTGAGCAATAAAAACTTAAATGTCATACTGTAGAACATCTCAGGCAACGCACGACAAGCAGGTGGCTAAACCCTCACCAGAAAAGTTACACTGTGCATCTTTAATCAGCAATTACAAAAATTACTACCATCCCATGCCTTATTGTTTCGGGTTAATATCTGTATTTGAAAGACTGCATATATAAGACTCTTAGCGGGGCATCGCCATTGCTCTGATCACTTCTCCATGTATTAAATTTCTATCTAAAGAAGTATGGTGTTTCATTTCTTCCTCTAGTTGCTGTGTGTGGTTAGCTGTTGTTGTTGCTATGGTTCCCAGTCGTCGTCATGGTGCTGGGACGCGATGATGACGACCACGGTGAGAATGGTGCACAGGACAATGGAGGCGATGCCCACCGCCAAACTGATGAAGGAGAAGTTACGGGCTTCACGTGACGCAATCTCCGCGGTGACCATGTCCCCCCGAGCGATGGCTGTCCTCACCTGGGACAAGGGACGAGAGACATGAGATGCAGAACTGTAAAAATAATAATAGTAATAATATATATTTTTTAAATTTCTATCAGTCTTAGAACCAAGGCATGCAATTCTATGAAAATATGGAATAAAAACTTCATCTGGTTCAATATATAAACTACTAGTGAGACACATCTTACAAAGTCCAAGACAAGTCTGGATGCAGATCTCCACCCAGAGGACCCTACCCCACAGGTCTCCTCCAGGATGCACCTCCACCCACATGTCCCTCGCCTTTTTTATTAGTTTACTCTTTATAAGCACACTCATTTCAGTTTTTGCCTTAGTTTGCTATTAAATGTTATTAATAGCTAATTGCACTTATTAGCACTCTAAACATTGTACATTTAATCCCCAAATCCCCTAAAAGTGTCCTAATTTCAAAGTATTTTGGTGTTGTCTCTGCTCTACTCTTCTTCCATAGGGAAATTAGGATAATTAGGACAACTGCGTAAATACAAATAACATAGTCATTTTGTTCATGAATGTGTTCCCGCAGGCCTTGTGTCTGGATAAGATTAGGCTTTAATCTATGATGGTTAAGAGAAAAAGTTTTGGCTTAAAACAATGTCAACTTTTGTAATGTTACACTGAAAACAGTCTGGAAATCTCTGACTTTGCCGTTCTTTTGGCATGGCTGCTGTTTGTTTACTTTTAGTGTCATGATGTAGGCGAGTCATGTGAGGGTCTTCTGGGTGAAGTTCTGCAGCCGATCATCAAAACATGTCAGGTAAATTAGCTCAGAACTGTTTTTGCATTGTTTATTGCAAAAACTAGTAAATACCTAGTGGAACATTGGGTTATTTTCAAAGGTGCACTGTGTAACTTTTCTGGCCACATTTCACAGTGCATTTCACAGGGATACAACACTACAGGTGAATTTGAACTGGCTACCTTCTCGTCACAGGGTGAACATTTAACTGACTGCACCACTGACTCTATTAAGGTCTACAAGGTTTAGAAAATTATAGAAAAGAAAAACTGTTAAAGCTATATATTCATCATTCCCCAGATGGACTAGTCTGACAACACCCACTAACTCATTAATAAAATATGTGATGTGCGTAAATGGTGGCAATTTTTAACCACTTTTAGAGCAAGAAATGAACCTGTTATCCTCTCCACTTCTGATGCAATATTTAAAGGTCCTATATTACACAAAATGGACTCTTGTAAGCTTTTAGTCATGTTAGAATGTTGTTACCACATCAAAAACATACCTGCAGTTGTGTTTTGCTTCATTCACACATGTTTGAATATTATTATTAGTCTGTCTGCATCTCCAAAGCTCAAAATGCTCTTCCATCTTGTGATGTCAGGTAACGTTAATTTTCAACAACTACCTTTTACCTTTTGTTCAGGAAAAATAGACAATTCCAAGACTGAAATCACCCAATGATTCTAGTGATTCTAGTGATTCTAGTGGTGTATGGTCTTTAAAAACACAGTAGAGCACTTCCTGTATTACCACATGACATATAAAAGGTGGAACAAAGTGTTTTCCTTTTGAGAGAAGAACTCCTAAATGCCTAAATATGCAGGATTTGTGTGTTAAACATGTGTGAATGAAACAAAATGCAATTCCAGGCATGCTTGTGATGAGGAAACAATATTATAACATAGATCAAAAATAGTGTAATATGGGCCCTTCAACACATGCTTTTGGGTTTATAATTGAGTTTGAGTTTGGGCTAAACCATTTGGGAGTGCTGTTGCTGTAGAATATTCACACATCTTTTATTCAAACATCTAAAAATAGCTGGGACCAGTCGCATATCATTTACCAGCACATTTCTGTATGTTTTTACTTAACAAAGCTGTATTGATTTCAGTGCAGTGTTTCTTCATTGTGAAAGAGGCCACTGGGCTGGACCAGGGCAGGGCTGTGCTTGTGTCAGCTCCACTCATTCATAAAGGCTAATTCTTCATAGGTATAGGTATTCATATTTTTGCATTACAACCCATTTCATTAAAGGTCCTACATTAAGCAAACTAGAGAGACTTGTGAGCTTTAAGTCATCTTAGAATGTTTTTGCCTCACCAAAAACATACCTAGAGTTGTGTTTTGTTTCATTCACACATATCTGACTAATTCTTTATTATTAGCCTGTCTACATCTCCAAAGCTCAAAATACTCTGTTCCACCTTGTGTTAAGTTAATAGCTCCTATGATTCTATTGAAGGTATGGAGTTTAAAAACACAGTGGATCACTTCCTGTATTACCATGACATCACAAGGTGGAACTGAGTGTTTTCAGTTTGAGAGAAGAACACATCCTAAATATTCAGGTGTTAATGAGGAAACAACATTATCAACATTATGACATAGATCAGAAAGCAACATCGATCCATATTATTTAATTACAATAATAAATATAATTATATACTTTTGTTTTGAAGATAAAACTAGAAGCTTTTGTGCCTTTTTCATTTGTTATGTTTTTAACAAGATGCCATAAGTCAAATGTCAGATATTATTTTGCGTATCTCCAGAACAACTACTGCAATGTTGTCCATCAGTAACAAATAGGCCTGTCACAGTAATTGCCATATTGACTCATCATTCAATACTTGATAGATGGATCATTTTTGGGTGTCAGTATTAATCATGGGTACTTTTTCTTTCTAGTGGGAAAGCTTTCATTATTTTGTGGTGTTACGATAAGATCTGAGCTGAAGAGCGTTGAATAAATAACTTCTATGACTTACAGACTGACTACTAAAATGTTTCATTCTGCTATCTATTCAATGCAGCTCTTCTCTTTTAATATTACACATTTAGACTATATTTGGGTGGATCATTCAGGTTTAGGACAAAAATTTTGACCCATAGCAAGAAGCCTCACATGGGCCCCCCTTTAATATAAATTAAGAAGAAGAGGGTCCAATTCGGGGCCTCTAAAACCCTGGGGCGCGGGACCACAGACCCCTTTGACCCTGCCATCTAATGACCAGAATAGTAACAAACCTTTTTCACATTATCAAAATCAAGTTAATCATTTTATTAATACGATATCAACATTTTGAGCAAATAAACATGATCTGAATAAATGTATTATGATTACACATTTGAAACCAGCGTACAGTTATGTTTAGTGCATATTGATTTCAGTGCAGTGGGGCCTGTATAGTGAGGCCACTGGACTGGAACATGCAGGTCTGTGGTGCTGTGTCTGTGCTCTGTGTCTATGTGCTGTGTGTCAGTGCTTGTGTCAGCCTCACTGAGCTCAGAGCCACAGAGCAGCGCCAAAGGAAAAATCTATTCGCTCCTTTCCACTGACAATAGGGCTGTTACGTAACGCTGTGCTGCTGTGACGTGGGGTCAGATGATGTAAAACTCATGAGATAAACACAGAGAAAGCATGAGTTCACTGACCACTGTAGAATGGTGATGTATGTTTGAGTTGGTCATTTTTGTGCACTTTAAAAGTGTCAATGTGAACTGGCAAAATTTAATATAGCCTATGTACATTGCCTGGGATCCAAAAAAACACACACACTCTAATGTGAAGATGTGGGTTTGGTGAATCTCCCCATTTCTAGATGCCGTGATTGACAGGTGGATTAGCCAATCAGGAACAAGCACGGCCCAAAACAAAATATGGCTGCTTACGAGGAAAAAAATAAAGGAAAAAATCATAGGAGACTGAATGATGGTTAACCAATAAATTCAATAAAACATCATCTCACATAGATCAGAAAATAGCGCAATATGAGCCCTTTAAAAAATACTTAACCAAGACAAAAGCTGGACTACTGATCTCCTGTTGAAGAGGAGCTAAATTAGGACCAAAGCGGAACTCAACCAGGACTACACTAGAACTGAACAGCTTTTAACAGATAAGCTGCAAAATGTGTAAGAATGGAGAACAAACAGGATCTCAGCACATTTGATCAGAAGTGATTTGAAGATGGATGGTAACAGCAGCAGACGCTGCAGACAGCCAGACAAAATCTGCCTCCATCAGTAATTTAATATATTCTCCAAGCGCACTGTACTTTTTCTGTCTACGATTCGGCACTGATTATATCTGAGACATGAGAGCTCGACAATGCATAAATCTACAATGCATTAGAATCATCTGATAATGTAAAAGGTTTAAACATGTAGTACCCAGACCCAGAATATCTGAGCAAAATGTGTCTTGCCCCAGTACAGATATATTGTATACACAGCTCTTGAGGCCAGAGTAAGTCTGCCATGTTCTGCCTGCATTTAATTTTGAAGTGGTTTATTGTCCGAGAATCAGGAGGTGTGCTGTTAGCATGTTAGTTGTTGTTGGGGGGGGGAACTCCGATCTGGTCTCTGAAAGTTGTAAACATTTTCAGAAAACTTACAGAAGCCAGAGCAGAGTTGTCGTCACAGTAACGCTAATAACAACTAGAATGCTAACGGAGTATTCCCTGATTATCAAAAAATGCTTTAATTAGATACAGACAGTACATAACAGACTTATTTTGAACTCAAGAGCTTATACAACATATTTGTACTGGGGTAAAGTTTGGTGAAATAGAAAAAAACAATAGGTACAGGATTTATTAAACTAGTAAGCAGCACAAAACTAAGACTATACAAGGACTATACCAGGACTAACTCAGGACTAAACCAGGACTGCACCAAGACAAGGCAAGATCAAACAAAACCAGAAAGGACTACAGGGGCTTACAACATGGAACAACCAAGACCTTAGACTAAACCAGGACTAACCCAGGACTAAACCAGGAATATATAGCTCTCACCTGCACAGCTTTGATGATTGCGATGATCCCCGTGGGCCAGAAGCAGCAGACAGTGGTGAGGACGGCAATGGGTAGGTAGTCGTGAGGGGGTCTGCGGTCCATTAGAGTGATACTGGGGGGCATCTGCATGGGGTGGATCTGAGCCGGGGGAATACCAGGGTGTCCCGCTGTGCCAGGCATGTACGGCTGCCCCTGAACACACCATGGAGAGAGAGAGGGGGAGAGATGAGAGAAAGAGAGATGAGAGGAAGGAAGGACGACAAGATTTTATGCATCAAATACAAAGGAACTAGTCAATGCTATGTAGAAAAATAGCAATGCACCTATCCAATACTGGAATCGGATATCTGCACTTTTACTGAAAAATATGCTGGATCGGATATTGGCTTCCAAATATTGGTTCAGCCGATATCCTGGTTGGAAATATAAGTTGATAGGATAAGACATTTTAGTGGTCATATTTGGTCAAGAAAATCTCATTTATACAAAGCCGTTCTGCAGTGACTGGAGAGATAAATAACAGCTACATAACAGAATTTTTTGTTGGTTAATATCGAGTATCTGTAGATATTTGTAGCTATAGCATTGAAATCAGCATCCGAACTGAAAGAGCTGGAACTGTGTATCTCTACAGAGAAATGCAGTAATATAAAGCAAACACATTATTATATAATTATATGGATCTATCTTTTAAGAGCTTTTAACAATGGGTCCCTCATCAATTACTCACCCTCACATTTATTTTGAGTGATTCATGCATGTTTGAGTCATCTTTATTGTCCTGCATTTAAAAAATACTAGTTATATTAGGTTTGCCAGGAAAAACAAGCATAATATGTATTCTTTAACTGAGCTCCATACATGTTGTAGTCATAAGAGGAACATATAGAGACACAAGCAGAGCATGCAACTCCACTGAGAGAAGGAAGGACACGAGAAACACACTTTTCACAAATGTGGCTTTCAATATTTTCTACGCTCCTTGTAGAAAGTTTCAGAGGTTTTGAGGGTGAAATAGAGCTATTATTGATCGTGGTTTTGGAGTCGCGGTCCACTCTCACTCAAGGACAAGACAAAGTTAATGGAAGAAACTCACCATGGACAGAGTAACAAAGTAACAAAGAAAGGACACAAACGCGCCACAGGCACACAGTCTGAAGATCTAACCCATTAACACCTCCTACAATGCCACACTGACAGGGAAGATTTAAACAGGCTCATATATTACACTGTTTGGTGGCAGTGGTTCTAAAACAAGATATTCAGTAAGTTAATGGTTGCTGGTTCAGTCCTTGCACTCTTTAATTTATCTTGTCATTCCAGCCAGACACTATACCCACTGTAGCTTTGCTCTATGCATGTATATAACAAAGCATCATCAGATTATTTGTGGTGGGACCATAGATTGTATAAAGGAGTGCTCTAAAGTGGTGTGGTGGCATCCATAGCATTCAGCTCCAGCCAAAAGGCTTGAGGCTAACAGTTATAGAGCAAGTATACAGTTCCATATTTGTATATGCCAATGGCATCATAGCAACCAAAGAGCCAATCTGCAGTAAGGTTGTTGAAGGTAATACCCCTATCCACCAACAACGCTGGTTCAGCAGAGAGCAGGTGCTTAGCAACCTGATTTGTCTTTTATTAATGTTCATAACTTAATTGATGTGCAAAATTGCTAAATAAAAGCACCAGGATCATGCAGAGTGGGTTATATGAACATTTTAAGACCAAAATGATGAACCTGAAAGTCATTGGAGCCAAGAGTGCACCTTTGCTCACCTATTTGGAAAGCAGGGGTGGTGGGTTAACTATGTCCAATTAAACAGGCTATGGGTGTGACACAAGTTTATTATTATGATGAATGCATATGTTGCATGTGGTTACAAAGCTCTTGAAAGAAGAAAGGATGAGAAAATTTGTGACATTTTGATCACTCCATACTCTGTTTTTGATGGTGACTCCAAGCTCCTCTCATTTCTGTGACAGTTGCAGATATTTATTAAATTTGTAACAAAATGGCTACACAATGCTGCCGAATCCTATGCGAATAAGAAAATAAAATTGGAGAATGAACTAAGCATAGAGCAGTGGGCACATGCCAGTGGCGGGATTAATCAGCAATATGGCATTTTGAAAATAAGCGACTAAAGATTGCTCAAACATGCACAAATCACTCAAAATACAATTTCAGGTAAATGGTGAGAGAAAACAACTATAACACAGTTAAAAGTTCTGAAAAGTGGGTTTTGCATAATAGGGCTACTTTAATATTCTTTTTTTTTAGTTTTTCAAGTCAGTGGATTGTTTGGCTCACCGATGCCATTGGATAGACCGGGACGTAGGCGGTGCAAGGCTGCAGCTGGAGGGGGTATCCCGGGTGAATGTACCCCACGGGCGGGTGTGGCATGGTCCCCCCTGGCCCCTGCGTCTGGACTGTGTAACCCTGTGGAGGTGGAGGAGCGCAGTGGAACTGGGTCTCCTGCAGGTAGCCCTCAGTCCCGGGGGGAGGGGCGGGAGGAGCCGGGTACCCAGACTGCACCCCAGGAGGCACCCCACCTGCAGCTGCGGCCATATTGGGGTCTGGCCCGGGCAGGTACGGGGGCGGCTGCATAGACTGACGACCCGCATCATCCAGACCTGAGAGAAGAGAGAGAGAAGAGCGATAGTAGCCTAATAGTGTAATGACAGGTAGAGTTTAGTAACCTGACTCAATCTGTCATATTGAGTGACCAACGTTTGTTAAATTAGTTAAATTTGTTAAAACAAATGCTACAGAAAAAAGAAGTCAATGCATGGATGGAGGATGGATGGATAGATGATGTTTCGCTGCTCATCCAAGTGGCTTCAGTTTGTTTTCACTCCAAATGTTTATCCAGATTTACAGAATTGAATTTTCTTTTTCTATAACTGCTAGTTTATTTAAATGTCAAATTGAGCTGAATTCTAAAAATGAAAGTTGCTAACAATAAGCTCTGCTCTGTCTGAAGCTGCGTTAATCAAATTAGACTTAATTCGAGCTTTCTTTTAACACAATCTGACGATAAAGAGCGGACTTATCTGGTGAGTTGATTTGCGCTGTTAAACAAGTCTCTCTTCCATAACATTACAGTCACGTGTCATGATTTAGCTAGTTTTTCAGTTATTCACTCTCACTTTTTAAATTGAAAATCAAACACCTAAACAGGACCCTGAAAGCTTGTATTGATCACAGGCTCTTGAAAATATGTTGTTTAAGTCCATTGTGTCTTTTTGTTGTTGTTTTTGAATTTTCAGACTTTTTTAGTCTTTAGTTGTTAATGCACATGTCATCTTGATAACTACTGAACATTCCGCCATAGGCATACAGGCAGACCACCCCCAGCATGATGTCTTTGCAAAGTAGCAATAGGCCATAGGCAGAGAATTTTTATTACTGCCCATATTATGAAAGCAAAGACAAAGTAATCGATCGTGCAATGTCAGTTTACTGAGTCGTAATGTTGGTCCATTTGTTTTGATCAATGTTTTCTCTGTATTAAATTAATGACTGTTGTGTGAATGTATTATAAGCGGCACTGTTCTCTGATACCGTCACATGAATAAACAACTAAACAAGCTGGTTTAAAATGTAATTAAGGTAACGACAGGCAAACAACACCACAGGCACACATATGAGAGAGGGAAGGAGGGAGAGAGAGGGAGAAAGAGAGAGAAGGAAGCGAGAGAGAGAAAGAGGGAGGCTGAGAAAGCAAGATGGGAAGGAGAAGGGGGGTTGAGAGAGTGAGGGAAGGAGGTAAAGAGATAGATGGGGAGAAGGAGGGAGACAGAGAAAGGAAGAAGGGAGAGAGAGGAAAATAGAAAGAGAAGAGAGCGAGAGAATAGAGCAAAGACAAAAGAGAGAGGATGAAGGGAAGGCTGGAGTGTGTCATCTACAAAAGAAACAGTCTCACACAAACCAGGGCACTTGAAAAACATCCACAAGAAAAATAATGTCTTAAGCATCCATCAGCTCCGCCTCATGATGACACTGAACGACAGCTTCAGAGCAAGAAATCCTCTTTGTTTTCACTCCTCTGTCCTATTATGTTTATCGTGGAGTGTGAACAGGGAGAATACTCAGAGCTCAGAGGAAAACAGGTTACAAATATTAAGGATTTTAAGAAGGCATAGTGAGTTTTGGAGCTCTAATGTTTTAAGAGCTTTTGAGGCACCTGATGTTAAAGGTGTATTGTATCCATGGAGCTGTTAATGCTCTGTCTGCTGCAACTAAACTCCATGAAGGTGAGCAGAAAGAAAATTAGGCCAAGATACAGATGAGATCTATGGAGAGGCGTGTCAGTGTATCGTAAGAATGACTGTTTTTCATGCACAAAGCTATTTAATATGATAAGAACAACCCATGCGAATTTCTTATTACTATCACAACCAGATAATTCTTAAAAATATTTTTCCAACATCTCTATCTTCTTTTGAGTTTTGTTCCCTCCGTTGTTTAAGTTCAGGGCATCTGCATCTCTGTGACTTTGTTTGAAACAAAACATGAGCGATGGAGTGTCATGTTTTTACAGCGGGACACAAGAGAGCAAGATATGTTCACAAGGAGGCAGAGGAGAGAGACGGAAAAGAGAGAGAGAGAGAGAGGGGGGGGAAGTAAGCGAGAGAAAGAGGGAGTAAGAGCGAAGGACTGAGACTGAAAGAGAGAGGAGTAGTAAATGAGAGAGAGGGAGTAAGAGAGAGTGAAAGAGAGAGGGAGAGCATGTGAGAGAGAAAGACAGAGACAGAGTAAGAGAGAAATAGAGAGTGGGAGGGGGGGGGTAAGTGAGAGAGAGAGGGAGTAAGAGAGAGCGAAAGAGAGTGGGAAAGTGAGTGACAGAGAAAGACAGAGACACGGTGTAAGAGAAAAATAAGAGAATGAGAGTGAGAGAGAGAGAAAAAAGGAGGTAGAGAGAGAGGGAGATAGAAAGAAAGAGACAGGGAGAAAGAGAGAAATGGAGAGTGGGAGAGGGAGAGAGAAAGAGGGAGGGAGAGAAGTAAGCAAGAGAAAGAGGGAGTAAGAGCGAAAGAAGGAGAGAGACTGAGAGAGTGAGAGAGAAAGAAAAGACAGGGAGTAAGAGAAAAATAGAGAGTGGGAGTGAGAGAGCGAGAAAGAAGGAGGGAGAGAGTAAGAGATAAACAGAGAGAGAGTGAGTGAGAGAGAGAGAGAGCGAAAGAAGAAGGGAGAAGATGAGAGTGAGACAGAAATAAAAAGACAGGGAGTAAGAGAGAAATAGAGAGAAATCGAGAGAGGGAGTGAGAGAGAGAAAGATGGAGGGAGAAAGAGAGAATGAGAGAGAGCGAAAGAGACAGGGAATAAGAGAAATAGATTAAGAGGGAGGGAGACAGAGAGAGAAAGAGAAAGAGAGTGAGGGGGTGAGAAAGAGGGAGAGAGAGAGACAGAGAGGAAGTGAGAGAGGGAGAGAGAATGAGAGAGAAAGAGAGTAAGAAAGTGATCTAAGTAAGAGAGAGCGGTAAAACATAAAAGGTGAGGAAGCAAAGGGCAATAGAAGTCAAAGAGAGGGAGAGAGAAAACCACACAACACAATCACACAACCTCTTCCACAAATGTAAAACTAACTGCCCCTCCCTCACCAGACAGAGCCCTCCTCTCTGCCCCCACCTGCCCCACCAGCGTACTGGACTTGAACTCCCAATAGTCAGAAAGAAAGAGTGAGAGAGAAGAAAGAAGAGAGGAAAGGAGAGAGGAGACGATAGAGGGGTAAAAAGGGTATAACAGGAAGCAGGTGCGGAAGAGTGGGCAAAAGAGGGATGGAAATCGAAGAACGATGGAGAGAAAGGGGAGAGGGTGCGAATAAGGCAAAATCAGAGGGTGAGGAAGAGTGAGAGAGAGAGAAAGTTGAGGTGGAAGAAGATTGGAAGGAGAGTGGAGGTGACAGAGGAAAGAAGGAGTAAGAGAGAGGGAGAGGGAAGTGGAGTAAAAGATGTAAGGAGGGAGAGAGAAAGTTGTTGTCACGATAATTATTAAATTATAATAGATCTTTTTCTAGATTTTGGGGGGTCAGTACTGTGTGTACTTTTTGTCATTTTTTCTGTTCTGCAGTTAGATTTGAGCTGTTAAGGGTTGAATACATAACTTCCATGACTCATAATAGATGCAAACTAGTACTCAAGTGTTTCATTCTGCTATTTATTGATTGCAGCTCATGCTTTTTTTTTTTTTTTTTTTTTTTTTTTTTACAATATTGTAGATTTAGAACCATTTTTGGGGAATAATTCTACTTTAATATTATCGTTTATCATATATTTACTTCAGCAATATATTACACTTATACCATGAGAGGCTTAGAGGGAGATGGGAGGTAAAGGAGGGAGAAGAGAGGAGGAAGAGAGGTAAAAAAAAAAAAGAATGAGAGAAGGAGAGGGAGGAATTGTGGGTTCAAGAAGAGGAGGGAAGAGGAAGGACAACGAGGTAAGGAAGGAAAATGCAGGAGAAGGAAAGGAAAGATTAAGAGATGGAGGTGAGAAAAAGAAGAGAGGAAACAGGAAGTGAGTGAGGAAGCGGTGATGAGTGATGACACCGTTGCTGGAGGGAGTGACTTTACGTAGCATCTGAAACATCATCACAACAAAGAGCTGTGAAGTCGTCTGCACCTCTGATGGATCGCTGTGCCTCATGCCAGTGAGTAATAGGTCTGATTTAAAAAAAAAAAAAAAAAAAAAGGATGTATTTTGCTCATAAGACACATAAAATGAAATCATGAACCAAAAAGTGCAAATTCTGTCTCATTCCAAGTACAAATGTAGAAAGAACAGAGAGGAACAGGGGAGTCCCAAACAAGCCACGCTTTAGTCCACACTAGAACAGAACACAAATTTTCCCAGGAGATCTTTAGTGAACACATGCGTCCATGAAACTACAGAAGTGAAGAACATTTAGGCCAACAAATATATAATATATAATATATATATTAAATATGAAACAAAAACAAAATCCTTGCGTTTTTTGCATAGACTGTATAAAGAAATGGACTAAGGGTCGTGTAACATCACCGACAGCGTTCTGCTAGAGTCAAATGAAGCTCCTGAGGCTAGCAGATACAGTATAGAGGTGAATTTGGAGATGAGTTCCATAGAAATAGGAATTTATTTAAGGTCAAAATGGTGAATTAAATGCAGCAGGAACATATAGCAGGTTAAGACGAAGATTTTAAGACCAAAACACTCCCACTATGCACTACCTGTAAACTATAACTCTAAAATCTGTCAATGAATGGTATCCTTTAAAGGTGCAATACGGAACTTTTCAGGTGGCAGGGGTTCGTCACCAATGATGCCTAGAATGTTTTACAGTATAGCGTTAAACTTATCTGTTTTTATTACAAAAAAAAAAAAATTTTAAAAACATCACCTACATTCTTATTGTGAACAGGGTCACCTCCCCACAGATCTGACCTGTAACAACTTGACCTGGTGCTGTCATTTGCTTGTCTCCAAGGGCACCACATAGTTTTTAATGATGCTATTCTACATTTAATCAACATTTATCTAGTAGGCTATACTATCATAAAGGTACATTTCCTTTGTCAATAAAGTGGACTAGCTTAATATAGGTACACAGTTTTATAGTGTTTTTTAGGTTTAACTTCTCAAAATTGCTCATTGCTTTACCGATTTTAATATTCAAATGTAAAGGAGTTGCATTTAGCAGAAAATTAAGCACTGGTTGGCACTTTTTCCTACAAGATTTATGGAAATGTTCCCTTTGACAGAAATAGTCTCCTTACTTCCTGCGCAAGGACACCCACACTATAATGACTGTATGATGTAGGCCTGAGCTCAATCACCGCTAACAGCTTTACATGGTCAGAAAACCTCAAATTAAACCAATTCTTACATAAATATATCATGGAGTTACACAAATCCTAGATCAGTCTCTTTAAAAGCGTGCGTAAAAGTATAATATTTGGCTATATGGATAAGGAAAGCTGTATTTTAATTGGATGCTCCCACACACAGCGGTTACAGGAAAATCACGTTGAGAAAAAGCGAATCTAGATGTTGACAACCAGATAGAAAAAAAACGGTGTTGTCAGCCTCACGTCGCAATGAACTACGCGTAGCGCCAATTACGCACAAAAGCGTGTAAAATGTACGATTAACTTACCGTGTTTTTCGGACGACATGCCTGCTTTCTACGTTCAAAACTGAAAAGATAGTGTTGTGATCCACAAAAGCCCCCGTTTTTGCTGGTTTTGAATGGTGAGTTTTAATCCAAAAGCTCGCAGGTCATTTTCACGATATCTTCATTATTTCCGTGCGTCCGTGAACGTAAAAATGTAACGCCAAAATACGCGCTGGTGCTGTCCGTATGCGCTCACTGTCACCGCTGCTCGTTAATAAGCCTTCTCCGGTAACGAGTCTCTCTCAGCACATTGAATTAATCGGACGCACTGGAGATCGCTGCCTTAAAGAGACAGTGCGCTGGGGTAGCTCTAACCATCGCACCATCACTGGTACAGAAGGAGAGAAAGAGAGGGGGAGAGAGGGAGGGAGGGAAGGGGAGAGAGAAGGAGAGAGAAATGGAGAAGGAGAGAAACAGGGGGAGAGAATGGAAGAGGAGGAGGGGGTGTGATGAGAGTGGGGTGGGGGTAGAGAGAGAAAAAGGGGGAGGGAGGGAGTCAGGGAGAGAGAGAAGGAAAGGAGAAAGGGAGAAGGAGGGAAGGAGGGGGGAGAAAAGGAGGAGAGAGGGAGTCACTGAGAGAGAGGGAAAGAGAGAAAGGGAAAAGGAGAGAAGGAGAGAGAGGGGGAGAGAGAAAGGAAAACGAAGAGAGGGTGAGATTAGAGAGAAAAGAAGGGGGAGAGAGGGAGTCAAGGAGAGAGAAGGGAGGGAGAAATGGAGAGGAGGGAAGGACAGAGATGGGGGGAGAGGAAGAGGAGAGAGTGGGGTGTATGAGAGAGAAAATGGGGGAGATAGGGAGTCAAGGAGAGAAAAAGGGAGAGAGAGAAAGGGAAAAGGAGAGAAGGAGCGAGGGGGGAGAGAGAAAGGAAGAGGAGAAGAGGGTGGGATGAGAGAGTGGGGTGGGGGTAGAGAGAGAAACAGGGGAGAGAGGGAGTCAAGGAGAGAGAAGGGAGGGAGAAAGGGAGAAGGAGGGAAGAAAAGAGAGGGGGGAGGAGGGTAAGAGGAGGAGGGGGGTGGGAGAGAAAAGGGGAAGAGAGGGAGTCACGGAGAGAGAGGGGAGGGAGAAAGGGAGAAGGAGGGAAGGAGCGAGGGGGGAGAGAGAAAGGAAGAGGAGTAGGGGGTGGACTGGAGAGTGGGGTGGGGGTAGAGAGAGAAAAGGGGGAGAGAGGGAGTCAGGGAGAGAGCGGGAGATAGAAAGGGAGAAGGAGAGAAGAAGAGAGAGCGGGAGAGAGAGGACGAGGATGAGGGGGTGGGATGAGAGAGAAAAGGGGGAGAGAAGGAGTCAGGAAGAGAAAGAGAGAGAGAAAGGGAGAAGGAGAGAAGAAGAGAGAGGGGAGAAAGGAAGGGGAGGAGGGCGTGGGATGAGAGACTGGGTTGGGTGTGGAGAGAAAATGGGGAGAGAGGGAGTCAAGGAGAGAGAGGGATGGGAGAACCAGAGAAGAAGAAGAAGAGAGAGAGAGAGAGAGAGAAAGAGAAGGGAAGAGGAGGATGGGGGTGGGATGAGAGAAAGAAAAGGGGAAAATAGAGAGTCAGAGAGAGAAAGAGGGAGAGAGAGAGAACGGAGGGAGAATAGGAGAGGGTGAGAAAGAGAGAGAGAAAGAGGAGGAGGGGCTGGGATGAGAGAGTGGGGGTAGAGAGAGAAAAGGGGGAGGGAGGGAGAGAAAGAGGGAGAAAAAGAGAGGGAGAGAAGGAGAGGAGGAGGGGTGGGGTAGAGAGAGGGAAGGAGGGAAAGCAAGCAGCAGGAGAGGCGGGATGAGGGATGGAGGGAAGAGGGAGAGAGGGGGAGAGAAAAAAAGGTTGGAGATAGAGAGCTAGAGGGGAGAGAGAGAGAGGAAGTGGTGTATGTAATTGAAAATGAGCAAGGAAAAAAGTAAAGATAAGCAGTATTGTATGATACAGGGGGAGTGGTGCAAGGGGGAGAGAGAGGAGATGGCGAGAGAGGGGGAGGGAGAGAAAGAGGGGAGAAGGGGGGGTGGAAGAGGGAGAGAGAGAGAGGAAGAAGGGTAAGTAACTCGGAGGAAAGGGAGAAATAGCGAGAGGAAAAGAGAGGCAGGAGGAAAGAGGAGAGAAAGAGAGGTAAATGCAAGTGAAAATCTGCAAAAAAAAAACAAGGTGATAAGCAGTACAGTATGATTTAATATCTCACTTCAACTGTAGCCTGCTTTATCTGTTTGCACTCATAGATGTTTGCAGTGATAGTGACAGTCAGAGAGCGAGGTGGTTAGAACAGAGGAAGAATAGTGAGTTATGATTAAAAGGAGGCTGAGTTCAGAGCTGCAGGGAGATTTGTGGTGTTAATTCCCAGAATGATAAAGCAGTAAAACAAAGCAAAGGACTGTTAACATTGATGCATCCAGCCATCCTGTGTATTACATTTTGAGGACTGTAGAGAAGAGCTTGGAGTAGAGCCACTACTCCCATGTGGCACAGATAAGCACTAGATATTGTAGATATATTGTACACATAGTTTCATCTAATACCTAGTTTTGACATTCACAGTAGTCTAGTTTTTAGTCCTAATATAGTCTTTTGATCTTTTTCTAGTCCTGCTGTGGTCCACGTTTAGTTCACAATTTGACGTTTGAAATAAAAAAAACATGCAAGGCTAGTTTTCAGTGTTTTATTTCTGTACAATAAATTACAATCTGGATTTCATTTTCTTGTATCTTTGTCCTGCTAAAATTGTCCATTCTTGCACTCTTTAATGTAAACATGATTATTGTAGGCACGTTGCTGCGTTCACGGTCCCTCCTCCGTGATTGGCAACCCTCTTCTTCCCTCTCAGACTTCACACGGGGCTCAGTGGGTGTACAGGGACGCGGTGAAGACTATGTCCCGACGAATAGCCAAAGAAGCGCGCTCCATTTTACTTCCCAGAACAGAGTCTCCCACGATCCGGGCCGCCTGCCGGACCTCCTTCAGCACCTCGTCCAGTCTCTGAATACAGCGCACTACTGTCCCCTCCTGGACGTCTGTCAGCTGCGCGATCTCCGCAAAGGGCTGGAGAGGAAGAACAGGAGGAGGAAGGAGAAGAGGTGAGAACATGGAAAAACGCAAAATGTAAAATGTGGTAAATTATTCAGATGGCATTAAGATGGTATTTTTTGTTATACTAACAGTGAAAGGGGAAGTATATTTTAGTTTAAAGCAACTAGGGATGATTCATATTGATAATGGTGTTGAATGTCAGCATCGATCCTGGAAAAATTGTTGGATTGGATTCTATGATCTGTTTGGGCTTAAATGTTTCATAATGTTTGAAGTTTTATTTATACAAAGCTGTTCAATTGCTACTTGCTGGATAAAACACAATTGGATCAATTTTGTAGTAAGTTAATTGTGGTTTGATGTAAATAAGATGCCCTTTTCAGTCCCTATGTGGGTATCGACAGATATCAAAAGCCAAAATATGGTATTGAGCTGAAAGAGCTGGATCTAACTTTTCTGGGGGTGGCATGTTACCTACTAACTATTTTTTGGCTAAAAATGTATATGGTGGGGCTTTAGTTGGTTGGAATCCAGCATAGATTTATATGGATCTGAAATGCCTCGTTTAAACATAATTAATGGCAGCTTTTTGATCCTTACCATGCCCCTGGCCCAGCAGTACACCACCTCTGTCAGTCCAAACTTGAACTGTCCCACGAACTCCTCTGCAGTCTGCGGTATCCCACAATCCATCTGGAGCTCCCCGATTCGCTTGGCCACTGCTAGAACACGGTCAATGCCCTGCAACACAAACCAGACATGTTCCACTGTATATGATTAACCTTTAACTTTGAACACCAAGGATTCTCATGAGTTTGTGAACTCGTTATGATGCTCTGCATTTTCCGATCACTCTCAAGGAGAGCCATTTCAGACCGATAATGTGTAGAACTCATTTCAACACATATCAATTTGGTGTGAGCCAGGTTAATTAATCTTAGAACTTGCATTTATTCAATTTCATGTTTTTTAAGACTTACAAGTCAGTATATTTACAAAGTTACAAAATGAAGAAGTGAATAAGTGAGTCAGAGTCCAGTACTGTGTCCTTTGTGCCTTTGCTTTGGGGGAAAATGTTTCTCATCAAAGCTCTGACACAAAGTGTGTGAGTCATCAGTGGGACAAGGCAGTACAGTACAAACACAAGGCACTATATTAGATAAGAGTAGTCCTGCACATCGGCTGAGCAGTGGTCCAGTCACATACACTGACACTCCTGAGTAAAATTAGCAAAATTATTGCTGTTGTTTACATGAAATTTTGGTTGGTTTAAAGAGTGATCTTGTCTGTATGGCTAGTCTGGCTCAAAAAGGAAAAAAGAAAAGAATATAAGAACCTTGTTGAGGATAAACATATAGAAAAATATCTTGTGAAATTTCCTTCCTCCTAATGAAAATATTACATCAAGTTAGTACTCCATTTGTTATGCTGTTGTAATCCTTCTAGTGCAATGTGCAAAAGCACTTGTACGCACTATTGAGCAGGTGCGTAAAAAATTTATTACCCTGGTTTTATTTTATAGACCACAATTTGTCATAAAACCTGTTTGTGGCTGTACTGAAATAAAGAATACTTAAGGTTACCACCCATGAAGTATGCACTGCCCAAAAATAAACTTATTTACTACATTACTTGTATGTTTTTTTTTTAAAATAATAATTAAAGCTTATATTATCTTTCATACGTAATGGTCATGTCTCACCTCTTTGAGCGTGTTGGTAAGATGCGGTTCCACCTGTGTGTTCTGTGTAAACACCAGACAGGACAGCAGGGCGGCGCTCTCCTCAGGAGCCAGAGGGCTCAGGGAGTTTTCAAACAGGAGCTCGGTAAGGAGCAGCTCGTGACTGCTAATCTGACAAGCCACACGCCCCTTCAACTGGACTGCCCCACTGCTGTCTATGTACTGGAGAGACTGCAGCACCTGGGGCAGATAGGAGATCGGAGGTATTATTATTGCATTGATAATGGGTGTTTGACTAGGTTTACAATGAAAAATGAAGGCAGTTGTGATGAAATGCCATTTATTGTTCTATCCGTGGGTTTCAGAATAATGAAAAATTGGGTGTGTTGCTTTAGTGAATTTGCCTGGGATCCAGAATACTCACTTCTTCAATACTTAATGAAGATGTGAATCTGAGCACCAGTGAGTCACCCCTTTTTCAAACGGGGCATGATTGACAAGTGCATTAGCCAATCAGGGGCTATCAATCAGGGAATTAAGGGAAAAAAAAAATCACAGGGGATTGAAAAATATTGCAGATTTCTGCAGAATCAATGCACGAACTCATTCCATCTGAGGTTTTATTTGTAATCAAAGGTGATCAATGAGTGCCTTGTTTTTAACATGTGTCACTGAAAAAAACAAATCTGATTGCTCGATCATGTTTCTAAAGATATAATATTTTGCAGTGAATTGCCTAATTGCTATGACAACGGAGGACGGCTGACACAACTTGAAACCCATGAATAAGAGCAGTGGGTGCCCAGAGCTGCATTGGCCGAAGAATAGTGAATCACAATATGAAGATTTCATCAAAATAAGATATTGTCACAGGAATGAGATCAAACTTCAGTTTTCATCATATCGCCTAGCTCTAGTTTGTGGTCTTTTTATATCCCTTGTTGCACAGTACAGTAAAAGGCTGAGGTCATTGGCTGAAATCCTGTCATCATCCTCCACATTAAAGTGATGGAAAGAGCACTCAAGGGACAAGAGCGGAGACTGAACAAGGGTCTGTCTTTGGCATCTCCTAATTAAGTGGAGAGTATAATATAGAATTTCTCAAATAGAACATTTTAAAACCATTCCATAAACTAGGGATTTTAATCAAAGTCCTGTTTCATGTTTAATAGATTTGCTGCTTTGAATTTTGCCCAAAAGACTGTGACAAAATGAGGACTATGTGTATTCATGAGCTTTATTGTCAAATATGGAAATCCAGTGTTTTGTGAATGTGGAGTGTGACAGGTGCACTTTGGGTTTGGGTAAAAAAAAATATCTAAAAAGGCAGTCTGACCTTTAAAAGTGAGGAAATTAATCCAAAAAAAAAAGTAAAAATACTTTCTCAGATATTACTATGCAGTCTTATACTACCACAGTATAAGACCTTCACAGACCATTCAATTTTTTTCTGTATTGATATTTGTTCTAGTTTTGTTCTAGTACTGATACTTTAACGACCCAATTACATAACTATCAGCTTTTCACTAATAGATTAATTTCTACTTTTACTGTAGCGTTTTACTGTGCAGGGATGTACAGTATTGTGTTGTGATTGCACTCTGAAGAGAGACTGACTTAACATGGGGAGCAAAGGCAGGGGAGACTCAGAGTCTCCCCTGCCTGTGCTATATAAACCTTGGTTGATTGACAGTGCATTAACATCTAACAAAGCTCCAAACCTTGATTCGTTGGTGATACTCAGGCAGCAGCGTCAGGGACTGATCTGAAACCAGGAACAGCAGTTTGTCCAGCTCCTCTTGGACACTCATCCTCTCTTTAACTCGAGAAAACTATAACAAGAAAGAGAAAATAGGTAATAAAGTGGCATGTAACCACTAAAATTCAAATTGACCCAGTTTCAGCAATAAAGACCTCATTGTACCTATGTACAGTCTTCCTTATGTCATAGACTGGACAATATTACAGAAATATAACATATTGCATCCCCAAAGCCATGGAACTGTAAATGTGTGATATTAATTAGTAATATTAATTTTTATTTGAGTTGTTTTGAATAGTTGAGATGGAGTTAGTTTGTAGGTAGGGTTGTGCACTTAATCACATTTTGAAGCACAGTTGACACATACTTTTTATGTTAAATGGCTGTGCTTATATTCATGAAAATAGTATTAAATGCAGTATTTATTCATTTACTTGTATCCAAAATTTTGTTCATATAGTACATTTTCAAAAACTTTATACATAGAAATTTCATTTCTCAAAATATGAAAAAAGGAACCTAGTCAGAATACATTAAAGCCATTAAAGAACTGAGACCATAGAGTAAATAAATGGACATAGATAACACGCTACCTGCCGTGCTCCAAATAGGAAGTGAGCATGGGCGTATATCTGACTCCATCGATCAAAATGGTCATCCCTTTCTTTGTAACTGCTGCTGTGCTTGTCATTTTGGTCTTAAAATGTTCATATTAACCCACTCTACATGTGGTCCACTTCCTGCTGTTTATTTCACTATTTTGTCTGTAAATCAAGATATGAACATTAATAACAGACAAATTAGGCGCCTTCTTTCCCTGAGGTCACTCTAGCATTTGCAAAAATTTGACAGAAAGATTGACAGCGTTGCTAAACACCCGCTCCCTGCTTACCAGCTGTGCGGATGGGAAGGGCCATTACCTTCAACAGCCTCGCTCCAGATTGGTTCTTTGGTGGCTATGATACTCGTGGTCAGAATTCCTAATATGGAACTCAACTCCAAATTCACTTCTATAACTGCAGACCTCAACAAGTTTCATTTGACTGGAGTCAAACGCTATGGGTGAAGTCACTTCTTTTTACAGTCTATGACCAAATTCTATAAACCAAAAACACATAAGAAATGTACAAGTAATTAAAGCTCCTAAAATCATGATGACACATATTTTGAATTAAAATAATTTTAACTTGATTTGAACTTGTAAATATTTAGTTTTTCTGGTTGCATAATGCAGTATTGTCTATCGTCATATCTCCCCAAAGCTGACAGTTAGGCAGGCGGCATACATAAAACATGAGCCTTTGGCAGGAGTCTGACAGCTTAACAGAGAAGATTGGTTCACAATGACTTCAAGGTTTTACAGTGTGAAAAATAAAATTGAAGACAAAAAAACACTGATTTTGAATTGTCAAATGTTCTTGTGGCTAAATTCAAAAGTTACATTGCCAATGCTGTATTTCAGATGACATCACATACACACAATACTATAAGACAATAATATTGATATATCAACACTGAACTATTTTGGGCTCTATGTAGAACATCACACAGGCAGATAGAAAGTGAGGAATTCAGTATTCCCACTCAACTAGAGAACATTGCTCAGAAGGAGAAACTGCACAAATTTTAAGACCTGACGATATCCGCAATGTTTCATCAGTCAGTGATTTCCCTGTACACTTTGCCAACTGTAGAGAGGAGAGACTGTGATCAGAGATATTAGCTGAAAATGAGGATTCAGGGGCAGAAAGTGAGCAGTCAGAAACACGAATTACTGGTTTCACAAAGCCTAACACAAAAGACTCAGAAGGAGAGAGCCCAATTGTGCCACCATAAAATACGCTGATGCAGGGACTAAATACCCAGTACATTACACCAAATGTGGAGACGAGGGTTTAGGATCAGAAATTTTAACTGAACAGATGATTCAGAAGAAAATCCGGAGTCAAAATCACAAATTTAAACATCCACTATATATCTAAAGAAGGGTCAAGATAAAAGTTCACTCATTTTAAGACCTGACAACATCCACACTCAGTGGGCCACCCGTGACTGATTAATTACCCAGTACATCTCGCCAAATGCACAGATGAGGGCTTAGGATCGAACAGTGAGGAGTCCAAACCACAAATAACTTAAATTTACACCTCATCTAGGAGAAAGACCAGCCATTTTAAGACCCGACAACCTCCACAGTGATCTACCAGTACAGTACACCAATTGTGAAGACATAATAAGTCGTGAACACCTAAAGAAAAGAGCTCAGAAGGAGAAAGTCCAAGGTTACCATCCTTCAGCATGCCAATTAGAAAAAGTATGGATGGAACATTGGACTCAGCTATGGGTCCAACCAGTTGTTACTGAAGCATCTACATCACATGCTAAGGAGGACTCAGGTAGGCAGTAAGGAAGTGAGGAGTCCAAAACAACAAAACAGGTGCTCTATCAATTTTCATTACATTTATTGAAATAGTTTTAGGGATAGAAAGCCCAGTCATTTTCAAAAGGGCTTCCAATTAATAAGACCGGTACTAAATATTTTCATAGAAATGAGTCCACCTATACCAGTAGTTAATGTATTTTATGAAAGGGGGACAGGGAAAACTAATTATCGTCACGGATAAAACTTATCAGAGAATTCCAGAGAAAATGCATGTTTTACTGGTCTAAAAGATTTGACTTTCAAGACCATAAAAAGTGAGACACTAGCAGAGATAGAAACATCCAATAAGCTCAAACAAATCCAAGAATTTGGTGGTGATACGGCAGCTCCTGGAGACAACAGACAAACTGCAGGATCTGTTTGCGATGGGCCAGAGGAAAACTCACTTTGTCACTTCAGGCCCTTCTTTGATACATCCAGTTTTTAAGTTTATCTATTCCCCCTTTCTCTTGGCTATTCAGAGTTTTGGATCCAGGGAATATTTTGTAGGATCTGGCAAAAAAATCTGAGAATTCTAATGGCATGTAATGGGAGTTTTTCCACGCAATCATTTTAACCTGTTTCTGGGACTGCTATTGATTGACAATGTAACCACCGGATCAAGCTTTATACCAGAGACACAAAAGGTGGTTTTGATTAGGTTACTTCAGTGCAATTAAAAATAAATATAAAGTAAATATGAAAAAAAAAAAAAAATGCAGCAAATCTTTCTTTTTTTGTATGTTTTGCAAATATTTTACTTGGTCTATACTCCCGTTTTCAGATTTAGAGGTATACAAATGATCTTCGAATTCCTCTGGCATCGTTCTCCTCAAGTGCTTAAAAGGAGACAAGCAGGTGACAAAACTAGGCGTATTTCAAGGTTAAATCTTTTCAGCCGCAATCCCACTCACAGTGAGGCCAGGACCACCAGATTCCAAAACATCTTCAACCCTGAGTACAGTGTTTCATTTCTGTGTAATTTTTATACTAAGATGACAAATAAATTTACGATCTTCCTGTACTACCACATAACATCACATTGTGCAGCAGAGTGTTTTCCATTTTGAGAAGAACTCAGTCTAAATATGCATTATAATATGGATTTGTGTCTTAAACATGTGTGACTGAAACAAAACACAACTCTCTTTATGTTTCTGATGAGGAAACAACATTATAACATAGATCAGAAAACAGTGTGATACGGGCCCTTTAAGTTACCCTCACCTGATCAGCGAAAGTGGGCGAGTGGATACAGTTGAAGTCCCTGAGAGCGTCTTGGAGCAGCCGGAGCCTCATGCACCCTTCCACCACTTCCACACTCTTCAACTGCAGGTCATTCACAGGGTCCAGAGAAGCCACACCCCCTGGGTTTGCCTCAGCCAATCGCAGAAGCTCCTGGGTTGCCGTGGAGATGGCCTGTCCAGGAGGGTCATTCCTGATAGTGATGGAGACATATAGCTTTATGATCATTGAGTAGCTGTAATAAATATGCACATGTTAGGCTTTCACGGTATTTAAAATGAGTTATAACAATAGCCAATTCAAAACCTCACTATTCTGATGAGGCCACCAGTCCTCAAAATGGTGTCGGTAACTGGAAAAGGTAATGTAATTTTATTAAGTCCTGATTATCAGTTATAATTTTATTAAGTATTATTTAGTAGTATTAATTATCAAGTACCGTATTTTTCGGACTGTAAGTCACACTTTTTTTCATGGTTTGGGTGGTCCTGTGACTTATACTCCGGTGCAAATTATATATTAAAATTTTCACAATGACAGCCGCAAGAGGGCGCTCTAGTCTTGTGTATCAATATCTAGCACTACTATTACTCCTGTACCACTGTCACTTCGCACTCTACTGTGCATGCTTCCTGTAGAAAATGCCCGCTGTCCTGCTGCAAATAGTGAAATATGCAGCCGAAAACAGTAATCGAGCAGCAGAAAGAAAGTTTGTAATGAGCAAGAAAGTTGTGAGGGACTGGCGGAAAGCAGGGATGGAGAACACAGCTTCACGGTCACCGGACGGGTGCGCCATGCAACTTTCCTGGAAGTCACTGGATGAATTCACAAAGCCTGAACTTCAATGACAACCGTAACCATCCTGTCGGGATTCAGAAAGGCTGGAATAATTCTAACTGGAACTCATGCTGAGTCTGATGACAGCTACACAGAAGAGGAAGTTGTGCTCCATTTACATCATGGATCTACAGTTTATCTCCAGAGGTCGCACAGAAGTGACACAGAGGATGAAGAATTCAGTGGATTTAGTGATTTGGAGTGAGATTGTGAGTTTAGTAAACTTTTCTTATGCTGTTTATGCTATAATTATCTGAATAACTGTTAATATGTTACGTTAACATATTACCGCTTATTCAGCCTGTTGTGTTCTATTGTTATTCCTATAACTTGACTTTCAAGATGAAATGTTGGTTCTTGGTCTCTGATTTTATAAAATAAATTTCCCCCAAAAAGTGTGACTTATAGTCTGGTGCGACTTCTATATGTTTTTTTTCTTCTTCATTGCACATTTTTTGGCTTGTGCGACTTATAGTCAGGAAAATACAGTATGTAATATTAAAGAAATTGGACCCAAAACAGAAATGACATCTCAACAAATTTCATATAGAGATACGAAGAAAAAACAAAGCATGTTTTGTTATTGCATCTAACAAGGCAACAAGTGCAATGAATGTGCAATCGCTAAAAACTGACAGTGAAATGTCACTATTGTTTTATTTTCAATCTTCAAAGCTGTCCTACTTTAAAAGACCTATATCGCACTATTTTCAGGTCTATGTTATAATAATTGTTTCCTCATCACAAACATACCTGAAGTGGTATTTTGTTCCTTTCATACATGTTTAACACATAAACACTGCATATTTATGCTGAGTTCTTCTCTCAAACAGAAACCACTCTGTTCCACCTTGTGATGTCATGTCGTAATACAGGAAATGCGCCACTGTACTTTTAAACTACCTAACCTTAACTAGAATCAGTTGGATGATTTCAGCCCTGGCATTCTCTACTGAACAAAAGGTAAAAGGAGCTGTCAACATGAAAACTACCGCTTCATGACATAATAAGATGGAACAGAGCATTTTGAGCTTTGAAGATGTAGACAGACTAATAATAACTCTGTAACCACTCTGTAAGTTATATTCATCTGTGTTTCTGTTGGACTGTTGCTGGCGGGCAGATGTGCCTGTGTCTTGTATTGTAAATATTATAAATATTAGCTTGTGGGATCCTGTTACATTTGATCCTTTTTTGATCCCATCAACATCTGTCATGGGACAACAGATGGAAAAATTGCCTTATTGGCTAATTCTGGCATATTTACAGAAATGTTCAATAATATGCACCGTCCCTGAAATAAATAATAATAATCTTCACCTGAATCGTGGCTGCTGTCTTTTATTGTAGTTGTCAATGATTCTGTCGGGGATCACTTTGAGAGTTTTCACGGTGATCGCAGAAATGTCCTGCAGCTTCAGCTTCTGCACTGTGTGACTGCAGGGACCTGAGGAAACATGGTTATAGGTGAGGTATGAACTTTGTCTAGTATTTGTAAAATGAGGTGTTAATTGTCAAAAACATTATGTAGGGAAGTAGAGACAAATTATACAGAAATGCACTAATCCAATGTTTTCAGTCACAAAAACATTTTTTTGTCGTGAATTCCCTTCTATTATCATTGCAGCATAATGTGAAAGTGAACTGTAACTTTTCCTAATTAAAGGGACAAACTTAAGTTTATTGTATTTTCACTATTGTACTTGTATTTATCTTATTAACTTTTTTCATAACTCTATTCTTGTACTGGTTGGTTTCGTGTCTGTAACAAAAATAATTTCCCCTTGGTTCCATATCCATTTTCTACTATTATTCCCAGTATATATTTAAAAACATTGATGTCTACAGTGAGTGGGCTTGCCTCTCCAAAGATCTTACCTATGACTTAGCGTGATGGCCTACTCTCCAACAGGTTTTTCCAGAAATGGGAACAAATTTATTTATAACAAAATTTTTTCAGCATGTATCAGCCTAAACAAAGAATCTACTACTACTACATTATCTCTACATACACCAGTCTCTCTCATCTCAGGTTTTCAAGGACAAACACATAAAACTCCCTCTGAGTGAATTCCAGTGTGTTTAGTCCCAGTCTGACCTTCAGGGATGAACAGCGCCGTGTTGAACAGATGAGGAAACGTGTCGCTGTTGTTTTTTCCACCTCCCTCCTCGTTCCCTTTGTCACAGATGATCAGAGCCGTGAAGGTGCGATTCACTGAGTCACTGGAGACCTCGAGACAAGAAACAAGCAAAGTGATGAGGAGATGGAGGTGAATCAGCTGTGAAGGCAGAGGACATATATAATATCTCATCAGTAAAGTGGTCTATGTCAGTGATTCTCAAACTGTGGTACGAGCTCCTTCAGGTGGTACTTTGATAGTTCTTCAGTTTGTGGGTTTGTCTCATTTAGAGTTCATTTTATCAGCTTGTTTATCTCCTTTGAATAATTTCTTGTTTAATAACTACAATCTAAATGATATAGTCCACTTTTAGACCTGGTTTATCCCTAGATTAGACCTGGAATAGTCCTGTTATAGACCTGGTTTAGATCTGTTGGTACCAAATCTTTGCTTTGGTGGCATTTGGTGTGAAATGCTTGGGAGCTGGTCTATGTCACTGTTTTATTTAAAGGCTGATTTTTGCTGTAATACAGTGTGTTCTAGGGTCCAGAAAATCATATAAATGATCAGATTAAATATTTGTGGATTTATCTCTTGGATATTTCATGGCAAAGTGCAATGTAATGAATAGGGAAAACTGGCTTTCTCAGAATTGTCTAGAAATTACATTTCTCACCTGTAGTATGACTCCTAAAGCGTTGAGATGTTGTGAGTTGTTGACGACCACGACTCGACCAACAGACAGAGCTTTGAGCCCGTTCACGGACTCCAACACGGCCTTCTGTAGTAGCATAAAATAACAGGTCCACATAATGTTAAGAATAAACATGATAGCGTAAATGTACATATAATACACTATATGAACACGCAAGGTAAGGATGTAGCACAATAACATTTACAGGAGATATGTTAAAAAAAGTAAAAAAAAAAAAAAGTCATTATATCTTTGCAGTTCATCTTTCTGCTTTCTTTTGTACCTGTACAGTCTCCGTAGTGGTCCTGAGCTCTGTCACAGTGTGGTAATACGGCAGGAGGTCAGACAGCTGGCCCTCAGTGTCCAGAGGAGGCAGGGAGGACAGGGTCTGCTTCAGCTCACTGATACGCCTCTCACTCGCCTATCATGGACAGTAAAGAATAATAACACATTTATAGTGAGCAAAAATCACACTGAAGGTCTCTATGGTAACAAGAAGTATTGACACCTATTAATATAAAACAATACTTTTATTACCAGCTAATTGCACATGTGCACATGTATGTATTATACATTTTTAGATAAAAAAAATTAGATGGACTGCTACAAGTCATCTTGTTTCAATCTTGAGATGCTCTTAATGGCATACAGAAGCTTAAACAAGGTGAAAAAAAAACAGTTCATCCAAAAGTCTTTCTCAGGATCGTAATTATCCAGTGATGAGTTACTAAGGGCGTTTCTCAACTTACAGTGCTAACAGTGCACCAGCACTACTCCCCAGCTCTTGGACAAAAAATTCTTAATACTTAGATGCAGACAGTGGTCTTATTTTGAACACTGTGTTAAGCTGTTTTTACATTACATCTCTACTGGGGCAAAACAAATCTAACTTTACACTCTGCCAATGTACTATAACTACTCGTTGTTTAACCCTTACTTTAAAACCATATTTTAATCCCTTTGTCAAATCTTCCATAATGGACAGTCTCTTATGTTCTGTTGTATACCAGGTGAGAAGTTTTACCTGTGTGTCGCGGTGGCTCTCGGAGAAGCTCCTCCTCATCATGTCTGTGACTCTGAGAGCCTCAACTCGCAACAGGTTCAGGATCATGGTGTAGGTCAGTCTGAACTGGGACTGTAGCATTGTCGGCTTACCCTGGAAAAAATAAACACAAGACAGATTTGAATGTTTTCAGAATTGTTTCTTAAAAGTTTATTAATTTCTGTCAATTCACAATATAGAATTAGCTGAAGTAAAAAGTCTCAGATGGAAGGCAGGAGTCAATGTAGCTCTAGGTGAAGCACTATTTTTTAAATTAACTGTATTGATAGAAGTCCTGTGAACAGTTAAGGCATATTTGCAACTTTTTAAAGTTATGAAGAATGAATAAGTTTTCAATTGTAACATTTTCATTTTGACAATTTTAACATTAATTCTACCATAGACCTCTAATTTAAAGTTTATTATGCTATTTTCTGATCTATATTATAATATTGGTTCCTCATCAAAAACAAACTTGGGAGTTGTCTTTTGTTTTATTGACACAAGTTTAACACACAAACCCTGCATATTTAGGTTAGATTCTTCTCTCTTTTCCACCTTGTGATATCATGTGTCACACAGGAAAGGAAGTATACTGTATTTTTAAACTCCATACACCATCACTACCATCATTTGGATAATTTCAGCTCTGGAATTTCCAATCTCTACTGAACTAAAAGGTAAAAAGTAGCTAGAAAACTACTGTTTGACATGACATGACGAGGTGCAACAGAGCATTTTGAGCTTTGGAGATGTAGACAGACTAATAATGCAGATTTACTCAAACATGTGAATGAAACAAAAAAAAACAACTCCAAGTATGTTTTTGATGAAGCAAGCTCAAAGAGTCAATTTTTGTAATATAGGGCCTTTAAACTAGTTTCAAGACATCACATGAGTAACAATTTAAGGGTTAGCAATCGGACATGCTGCATGCCTTTGGCAAGTAAAGTAGACAAATTGCCCATCAAAGAAACTAAGATGTGTGCTGCTATAGAATTCATCACCAATCTAAATACAAATGTGATGCTGCTCTAGAGACCTGATTTGTATTATTTGTCTGTCATTTTAAATCCCATTACGCCTGGCATTTAATTATTACAGTTCATTATCAAATGCATTCAAAATTCTCAATGCATTTCTATTATGCATAAAAATCCTTCACTGACATCATTTTAAACGCTTCAAGCTCATGAAAATTGATATATTTCTGGCTAAGAGCTCAGTGCTTATCTCTACAGAGCAAAGAGAGTTGAAATAACCCACTTCAACTGTATAATTAAATGCGAGATAACCAGACTTTGCTTGAGAAATTTAATAGAACATATTGTTGCAGCTACTATAGAGTCATAGTCTTGTTAGCATAATACAAAGCATTCATTTTAAATTGCCAGATCTTTGAGAACAGAATGACAGCACGAACCAGCATCATGACATGGAGGTCGGACATTTCGTGGACTCCAGCTTTGCACAGAATGATGACTGTCCCTGTCGCGTCCAGTCCTCTTCTTCCTGCTCGCCCAGCCATTTGAATATATTCACCTGAAAAAACAAATCAAAACAGATATTAAAAAAAAACTGGTAGGCCATCAGGCTTAATTGCTTGCCAATACACATACAAATTTGGGGATTTTGATGAGGAATATTAACTAACTGTCAAAAGGTTAGGTCTTGAGTCAGAGTTTTTTTTGTTTTAGTTCACACAGCAACAGCAATGACAAATCTGTACTGTTTTAATATTGAGTTGGCCTCTCTTTTCCACGACAACAAGCTACGTGTTCATAGAATCTCCACTCCACTGAAAACCCAGGGAGAGGTAGTTTCATAATGTATTCATTATGCAAGGGCAGAGAAGACAGGACAGCTCTCAGTTTGAAATAATGAGCTAAAATAAAATGCCAGATGAAGTTTGAGAGGGAATGACAGAAAGAGAAGACAGAGGCAGTACCGGGTAGCAGGTTCCTGAATCCTGTCCCGTCATGTTTCCGGATGCTGTCAAACACCACGGTCCGGGCCGGCATGTTCACTCCCATCGCAAACGTCTCTGTGGCAAATAGTACCTGCACATACATGACACTGGGTTAAAGAACAGTGTCTGCAGTTACATGAGCACTCAAGATTATTATTATCAGATTATTATTATTATCTAATTTCTTTTGGATCATGTCCCTCTGATTACTCAATACAGACTGTGCAGTGTGCATATCATTTACTTATATAGGGTATTAACTCCTCGGATATAACATATTTAGATTACTATGTTACCCTTTAATGTATCTTGTATTCATCAAAAACAACATATTAAGAAGTTTTTGAAGCTCTGAGTCTCCTCTCCCTGTCTGTAAGGTTGATTTATCATTTTTGTTACAGTAATGTTTCATATACAAGATTCTGGTATTTGTCATATGATTGTGCTTTCATTATGTGCCTATAATGAAGATGTATGTTAGAGGTTGTGAGAGATACAAACCAGCCCCCTCCCTCTGCAGTGTGGCTCTCACCTTCACCAGGCCTCTGGAGAAGAGCATCTCGATCACCTCCTTCAGAATGGGCAAGATCCCACTGTGATGTACAGCAATGCCTCTCTTCAACAGGTCCCTCATCAGCAGGATCTTGGCAACAAGGACAGACAGTGAGCAAAGACACTTTAAAATCTGCCAGTTATATAAGAAACACTGTGTAACTTTCTGGAATTACTCTATGAAAGTAGAAAGTTAAAACCATACTATGGAACATTCTCCATTGAGATAGATATGTTTTATGCCATACATTTCTATGGAAACAAGCAGGTAGAGGCCCTCTTCCAGGCTAAGTGACAAACACTTTTGTGGACTGCCAAGCCCTCAAAAGAATATGCTTGAAAAAATGCAATAAAAGCATCCAAATTGAAAAAAGTACTTTCATTAGGAGATGGGGCTTTAAGAAAAAAAGAATCCCTGTGAATAAAATAACCTGGGGTAGCTGTCTGTCTCCACCTCGCAGTCGGCTCAAACTTTTCTGGAAAAACGAGTGAATCTCAGCCTTCTCTATGGAGGTAGTGAGGTCCATGGAGTCGAGCGAGCGAGCGTTTTCATCACAACGAGTCCTGGAGAAGGTGAAGGCCACAACTGGAGTCTGCTGTCTCTGAGACAGGAAGTGAAGCAGGGTCAGCCACACCGACCGATCCTGGGACAAGGGAGAGAGAGAGATGGAGAGAGGAGAGACAACGAGACAAAGAGGGAGGGAGAGAGTAAGAAAGAGAGCCAGAGAGAGAGGTCATTAATTATGGGTGTATTCACTTTCATTGAAAATCAGGTCTGAACTGTTACAATACCTGGACCAAAACCTGGACTAGAACAAAACAAAGTCTACATTAGAACTTAACCAGGAACAAACCAAGATAAGTGTGAACGCAACCTTAAACTGTTTTATTTAATTCATTTTAATAAATATCACAGTCAGAATGAACTGTTTATTGCCCATATTTATTGCTTGGACCCCCAAGCTAGGAATTTTTCAGAGAGGAAAAAGCTGCAAACATGATTCATAAAATAAAATAAAGCATAGAAAAAAACTACAAATCCAAATTTACAAACATACTATATACTGACATAACAAAACTATGAGACAAATTTAAATTATACTCTAAATAAACTCTACCTGACTGGCTGTAGTGCTCTGATTTGTGCCCTTGGTGCCAAATGACTGAGCGTGTTTACTGGTGCGCTCCTTTTTGGCTTCAACTGCTGCATAATATCTGAAAAAAAAAGAAAAGTTTTTAATAAATTTAAACCTAATACATAAGTGTCCATTATCACCAACAAATTCATATAGCCATAATTTAAATAAGCAAACGGGGCCCCAAAGAGAAATGAGAGATGGTCAGAATTATTGGTGTCAATACAAGCAAATTAGCATAATTATTATCATAAATACTGAATTCTGAACACTGATCTGAACGCATAAATAAATCATGATAATTTTCAGTACCCTTTGGTGAGAAAGTTGCCTGTGGCGTCCAGCAGCAGAAACAGTTCCTTCTGAGTCTTGGTGCTGTTTCCTGTGTACAAATAATGCTCCAGAGGTACTGGTCTCTTCATAGTGCTTATCACATAAATGTGTCTCTTCTTTATGCGACTGGGACAGAAACAAAGGGGAAATGTTTAATTTGAGAAGGGCACTACTGATTTATCAAGGTAATAAGTACTTTAATTTGCCTGAGTAATATTATTTGAAGTAGCGATATTCTTGTTTGAGTAAAAGTTACGGTGATTTCCCACTTGGGGTAAGTCTCAACTTCTTGTTGGCATTTTAATTTAAAAAAGAACTAGCAACAGCTAAAACTCAAACTACAGAAGCCTCAAAGTGAAAACCCAAGGTCAAAATTCAAAATGGCCAGCCCGCACACCCTGCATCCATACAGCATATTTAAGGACAAGGAGCCTCACATAGGCTCCCCTCCAGTACAAATTAATAGGATGAACATCCAATTCAATTCCCCTAAAACCCTGTGGCCTGGGAGAATAGACCCCTTTGTCCCCCTGTGGTGGATACCTCTGCCACCTCTCCACAGTGTTAATATTATTTCATTTCATTTACATTTTCATTAAGTTAATTACAATACACATAGTTTAATTTAATTGATTTATTTAGACTTATATTTTCCAACTTGGCTGCACACGTTTTAGTTAATATAAGTCTGAATTACTTACTACACTTGTACCCCCCCCCCCCCCAAATGGCCACACGAGGGACCAATAAGGGGTCTACCCTTGGTAGAGAACACGCCAAATCAGATCAGAAATTTAGTTAGTTTGTCTAGTATTTTTAAGGTTACTTTATTATCACTTATCATTTTCTGTAATATTATTCGCCTTCTTGTTACTTTGATTAAGTTAGTAGTCTTAGTTATTTGTTTATTAGTATAATTCCTTCCTCTTGAGTTCAGTTTTAGTTAGTCCTCCTGTATTTAATCACACCTGTTCTTTGTCTGGTTGGGTTAGTTTTGTTCTGTTCAGTTTGGTTAACTCCAGTTGGGTACAGCTTTTTATTAAATATTATTTGCCTAATTCGAGCTTTTGTTAAATTACCTTTTTGACTTTATTCGTTGTAAACTTTTTATACCTTTGTTTTTGCCTTTCTGTTTGTTCCACTACACCCACCTCACTACTGCTCTGGTTAAGTTTATTATATGTTCTTCTCCACTATAAAAAATATCTTATTAAACCACTAGGGCAGTTTGGAGCACTTACCCGATCCACTCACTAAACTCCAGAGCATTTGGGACAGTGGCACTGAGGAGAATGATGCTGACATGATCTGGAAGCATGATCAACACCTCCTCCCAGACCACACCTCTCTGAACAAAACAAAAGTTATGTTAATAAACAGTAAGCAAACTACTTAAAGATGGACTATGTAACTTCTTTGGTTGTGTAAATGGATATGCTATTACTGTGATAAGAATGTTCCACAGGATGGCATTAAACTCATCTACCTCCATGTTACAAATCATCAGTCGAGTAGAGACCCAGCAAAAAATAATGAATATTTTTCTATGTATTTTTGAGCAATGACAACACCTTTAATAACATCAAAATGCTAAGTAAGTTTAATGCCATACTGTGTAACAGTCCAGGCAAAGCAATAACATCTCTATGGAGACGAGCAGGCACTAGACCCTCTATGACAAAAGCTACAAAGTAAGTCTTTAAATAAATACATATGAAGATGAAACCAGACCTCAGCATCATTGATGTAGTGAACTTCATCAAATATGACCCACTCCAGGTCCCTGATCACCTCTGAGCCATTGTACAGCATCGACCTGACAAATAATACAAATCACATGGCAATAAATAATATATAGCTAATAGGTGAAACAAGGTAAAGCGTTATTCTTGTATTTTAACCATACGGTGAAAGTTTTTTACCGTAGGATCTCTGTGGTCATGATGAGACAGGAGGACTCGGGGCTGAGCTGTACGTCCCCCGTGAGCAGGCCCACATCTCCGAATGTGGTTTTAAAGTCTCTGAACTTCTGATTGGACAAGGCTTTGATTGGTGAGGTGTAGATTGTTCTTAGAAAAGTAAGAGATAGATTGAACATTAATTGAGTGGTGGTTTTGAGCAAGTAACCATCAATACAGTCCAGGAAAAGATTAGCTTAAATAATAAATAAATAAATGAAATAAATAGTACTTTTGATTTGGTGTTTTAATTTCAAGATCCTGCAGTAGACATGACATGGATCCGTAACAGGACTAAACCAGGTCTACCATCAGGACTGGGCTCAAACCGGGACTAGGTTTTGAAGCATGATATATTGCTACAGAAAAATATTGAGATAAATGATAATACTGAAGCTATTTTAAGCCACTAACAATAAATCAGGATTCCAGAGAACCTTTTTTTTTTTTTTAAATATACTGTATCATTAAAAGACCTGAGCTGCAACAAATAAACAGCAGAATGAACCAATAATTAGAGACTTGAAGTTATTTATTCCACCCTCTACAGTTCAAATATTCCCTTATTACATTAGAAAATGCAAAAAATTTCCCCCACTATTGCAAAGAAATTGGACATACGATAAATATTGAGCCCCAAAATGTATTGTTCCTGCTTTTATATATTGAGAGAAGTCAATATAGTCATTATTGCGACAGACCTAACCAGGACCAAACACGAACAATTATGACCTCTCACATTGAGAAAAAAAACTGAATTTTGATTTCCAGTTGAAGACACAATGACTTTGAATAAGTTGTATTGGTTTACCTTGTCATGTGCTTCTGCGACAGAGCAATGGCGTACTCTGCAACCACTGTTTTTCCTGCTGAAGTGTGAGCGGCCACAAACACAGAGTCGTGAGCCTCCAGTCTGAGGATGGCCTGTTTCTGAAATACATCCAACTCAAATGGCCACTAAAAATGAATAAGAAACATTTACAAATATGTTCTTAATTTGTCAACATTTCAGAAAAAAAAATGTATTAAGCACGCCCTCTTTAAGTGTATGTATTACCTTAAACGCTGGGTTCGGGATGCGTTTATAGAAGTCGTCACAGGGAGAGCTGATGTTAACAGGAATCGCCCATTTCTTTTTCTCTTCTGGTTTTTCTTTAAATTTTTCATCTTTGCTCTTTTCTGACGAAGTCAATGAGGAGACAGCATCCTGAAAGGAAGATGTTGTCAACATTTTGTTTAATGTGTCAAAAGGCAAATGTTATCCAGAGTTGCAAGGTATTGATAACGTGTGTAGTAGTCCAATTTTTCAAAAATAATGCACCAATATTACTTAAAATTAAATACAAGACCATATTCGTATGTTATATTGAGACAGTATCGCATGAAGGTCCAAGTTGCAAGTAAAAATATTGCCATTTCAATTGATCGTTTTGTTCATTGTAATAACGATGTATAAATATGATAAATTGTGATAGATTTTTACTAGTTTAGATTGGTTTATTTACTTATTGCATATTGTAATTGATGGAAAAAATAATATTTACTTACATTTTTTATGTTTTTTTAATGTCTTTGTATTGTATTGTAATGTTTTACCTTGATGCCAAGGTCCTCGAGACTGTTTGTCCTTGGTAGTGTTGAAGCCTCTTTAGTGTCTTTCACTTCCTCTTTCTCCTCGACATCTCGATGGAAGTCAGAAATACCGTCGTATGTGGTCAACAGGGACATGAGGTTGACCTCTGGCTTTGCTACTTTGGCATCTATAACACAAAAGACCCATATTACAATTATTATGAGTGCTGGCTGTCGCTTGGAAGAAAATTACACTATTTATGAAACCTTTTTCAGTGAAGTCCATCCCAGTTTTCAGTCCTGGAGCAACTTTGAGTAAATCTGTCATAAAAAATACAAATTCAAATATAATAATAAATATGTAAAATTTTAATTTTTACATTTGAATCTATATTTGAATCTAATCCAAATACCATTTTCAAAGTCAATATCCTCCTCCAAGTCAGACTTCTTTTTAATTTGGTCCAGAGTGAGCTCCTCCATTCCTCCTGTGAGAAAAAGGCAAAAACATCGTCATTAATTCACTTCTATGATAACACTTGGGATAAATCTGGTCTGTTTACATCTGAGTTTTAAAAGAATATATGTATATGTGAGGAGAGAGAAAGCTTTAGAAGAATCTCACCTGGGAGGAAAGGGTAACTAGTGTTGCTCCCTCGAAGGCTCTCGGATGGAGGACCAGGCTGCCGTTGTAATGAGAGAGAGTTCTTCGCAGAGAGATCAGTGTTTTCAAGTAGCACCTTAAAGAAAAACATATTTAATATATTCTAAAACATATTTACAATATTATAATATTTATAAATAATATTTATTTAAAGTGGTGTTGGGGTTAACTCTATGTAATACAAGATGCAATAAATTTACTGAAATGGCATATTGATAATTTAAAGGGGGTATTTTACAATCAGCGTGCATCCTGCTAATGAAACTACTGCACATCACATCAGGTTTGTCAGGTTTAGAAACATTATAACGTGGTAGAAAGATTTTTATTTATTTTTTTTAAGTTTTTGCCTCTTTAAATATTATCTGGTCAAAAAGGTCAAACAGCCATTATGTTACTGAATGAAGTATAAAATGTGATTTTTGTGTATTACCTCTGTGAAGTCCAGGAGCATCCCGGTGGTTGGGTCTCGGACCACAGACAGACCGGAGTGAAGAGGAGTCGGAGCACAGTTAAGGAGAGAGTCCACATTAACCTCTCTCTTTGTTACTCTGAAGACAAAACAACAAGAACACTTATGTGTTAAATGTGCAGTATTTATTTACCATAATTGTTAGTTACATGTTTTACATATTTGTAAGTAAAATAGTTTGTTATTATTCTATTGTTTATAAGAGGCTGGTTTTAGCATATTATAATGTATTTATATATATCTTAAATGTTGTGATAATAAAATGATCTTATAGTATTGCATGCTATAACAGCTCATTGTGCCACATCAAATATCTATCAATGAAAACATAGTGCAATAAATATAAAGACATTGACTTTACTATTATTGTTTAATACAGAGTAAGAGATACATACTTGAGAAACTTCTGAAAACAGAAGTCTGTATCATGGATGGGCAGCCATGCAGGATCTTGTAAAAACTGTTTTTCTACTTCTTTTTCTAAACTCAGACTTGTCGGGGGCAGACCATGGGGAAGCTGTGGACATTTCAGAATGTAATGAATATAAATTTGAACATGGAAGTCCACATGATTACAGTATCACATGAGGATTTTTTTCATATACAGTCAGATATATCAAGGCATAGTAGGCACTGACCGTGGTGAGTGGAGGCAAAGGCTGCCCCGGTGTGGGATGTGTGATCAGCTCAAAGTGTCCGGAGCAGCCCATCTCCAACAAGGACAGAGGCAAGTCCATGGAGCCCACCGGGGGCACATCTGCAGGGAGGGGCAGCAGGAAAAATGACAGTAGTTTATTGACAGCCAAAAGCTAGCCGTTTTAAGCAGGGACAGGGAGAGTTTGAAAAATACTGGGAAATTGTTTAATCGTTATTGATTATTGTGGCTTGTTAATGAACGCTACATTTGCATTTTCACTTTGCAACCACGACTGTCCTTCATTAAACTGTGTCTGTTAAGTCGAGTCACTCTTGAAAAAAAGGAAGAATTAGATTATGCTAATCTACTTGGTCCTGTCCAAAATAAGGCTAACTACAAGATTACACATTTAAGGATCCTTAGAAATGAGAAAAATGTGGGATTAAGTTTGAATCGAGCACAAACTAGACTATTAATAACATGCAAATAACATTGTGGGTGCTCAGTGATTGACAGGAGTTTGGCAACACACGCATGGGCCACATCAGCATCCACAATTAAATATGTTTATAAAAGAGACGTATAAAGCAAAATAAAGAATCGGGAATGTATTGAAGAAGTATGTTTTAATATAAAACTGCAACTTACTGGTTCTTTCCATGCCCAGCACTGATAAATGAAACCGAAAAAGTTGCTGATGTCGCTCCGGATGTTGCTAAAATAAACGGAAGTAGCTCAACGGTCGTTTATTTTGTGGAAAATACATTAATAGTCAAATGAAATTAAAACAATACATATTTAGACTGTGATTTGATGCAATTGAATGCAAGTAAAAATAAATAAATAAATAAAAATTAGCAAAACGAGACGAATAAACTTTATGTGACGTCATATTTGTGCGACTTTGTTTGTGTTGTGCTTTGGTTTGGGGTAAGGAATGTATGAATTTCGCGCTTTTCTTTTATATATTTTGGTAGAAATTGTGTTTTATATGATAATTCAAGGTGACGGTATCTAGTGTGATCGTAGTAACGTCTATAATCAGTCTTCGCCGTAGTTCGCCTAAAACCGCATCGTGAAGGGAATCGGCGGTAGCTTGCCAATGCAATAGCCACAACCATAGAAGGAATAAATCAACAGCGGGAACATTTAACTCTTATGCTAAAATGGTCTCAAAATGTCTCATTGCTGAACTGTTTTTAAATGTGTTGCAGTGAGTAACATGGTGGCATTTCCTAGTTCTCTTACCGATGAGGAGGAGGCTTTGCAAAAGAAATATGCTAAACTCAAGAAAAAGGTACCCTTTATAATGCTACTGCTGTACTACATTTATACTTTTTGGAGTTTAAAAAGCTAGACTAAACACCTTTAATATGTGTGTGTATATCTTTTCAGAAAAAGGCGCTGGTTGCCTTGAAGAAGCAGAGTTCAACCAACCAAACCAATCAGAGTGGACTCAAACGAAGTAAGTATGGTTGAATACTGAAACTGTGCATTGTTTTTATGTCATTATTTAGAATTTTTACATTGTTTTGTTATCATAATAATAATAATATTAGTAATAATAATAATAAGAACAAGAATATTTTTTTCATTTGTATTTTTCAGTTGCATTGGGTTTGTTTTTTTTCATGTTAACATTGAACCTTTGCAATTAACTGTTTTTCCCTACAGCTTTATCAGACCAGCCCGTGGTGGACACAGCAACAGCAACTGAACAGGCAAAGATGCTGATCAAGTCTGGCGCCATCAGTGCTATTAAATCTGAGAACAAGAACTCTGGATTTAAAAGGTCAAGAATGTTGGAGATTAAACTTAAGGTGAGATATTTATCAAGACAAAATTACATACTTAAATACAATGTTTCTTTCAGGCAATCTGGTGATTATACTAGATAAAACAGTTTAAAACATGTGTCAGGAGATTTGAATAGCCTTTATCTGTTACACTTATAAACTTAAATTTATACAATATATTCATTTAAAGGGCCCATTTTGCACTATTTCTGTTTCATCATACCCAGAGTTTTGTCACATTCACATATGTTTAGTACATAAACCCAGCATATTTAGTCCTGGAATTTCTAATCACTACTGAACAACTCACAAAAATTTCTTTTGAGTAATATAAAATCTTTAAAATTGCCATATTGCCATATTTTTAGGACCCTGAAAAAGGCCCAGCTCCAGCCTTCTTACCCTTTCAAAGAAGTGTCTCAACTGATGATGAGCCACCAGACGTATGTAAAAGTTACTGTCATCTATCATTTATGTTATTGACCTTTTATTACTGTTCAAAAACTACTTTGAATTGGAGAAGCTATTGATATTACTGATCTAATTTTATGTGTTATGTTCTTTTTTGGTATAGGCCAAGAGAGCTCACAGGAAGTTACTCTATGATAGGTAAAGCATTTAACAAATTCAGTTTTATGATATGCAAAAAAAAAAAGATGTCTTTCCTAGTATTGATCAATTACAATTTCCATTCCTGGAGTTGTGTTTTGTGTACATATTCATACATATTTTGTTATTCCTGTGATTGCTATCACTGTCTCTACTTGTGAAAATGTACACCTTCTATATAATTATGCAAGTGTTTTTCTGTGGATGACCAAGATTGGTTTAGATGAAATAACCATAACCTGTCCCTTTTATTAATAATACATTTGTTATCCTTGTTCAGTTTTGTCAGCTCCAGTGACCGTTACCGTGACGATGATGATGGAGGCGGAATGTCGTCAAGTCGGGAAATGGACCGGGATCGGGATCGGGACCGAGACCGCGACAGAGACCGAGAAAGAGACAGAGATCGTGACCGGGACTTTGAACGGGATCGCGAACGTGGCCGGGACAGAGAGAGAGAGAGGGAGCGAGAGAGAGGACGCGACAGGAGCCGAGACAGGAGCCGAGACAGGAGCCGAGACAGGAGCCGAGACAGGAGCCGAGACAGGAGCCGAGACAGGAGCCGAGACAGGAGCAGAGAACGAGACCGTGATAGAGACAGAGACAGGGACGGACCATTCAGACGTGAGTTACTTTACTGTTTTGTTAATTTGTTAATTCAAGGGTTTTTATATTGAAAACAAACCAAAATCTTAAAACCAGAAACATGTAATTTGCTGAAAAAATATAAAAATATATTTCATATACAGGGGTGTCCATCATACTTTCTAATTAATCAAATCTTAATCATGATAACAATTATTACGCAGTTACGCATATGTCTGCCCATATATACAGTCCCTGACAAAAGTCTTGTCGCTTATCCATTTTGTAGAAGCAAAAGCTTATAACTTGACTTTAAATTAATCGAATGATTTTAGAAATGTCTCATATGAAAGCTAAAACCCTCCCAAATTATGCTCAATAAACTAAAATAAATTTGCTTCACTGAAAAAAGATTGATCATTTAATGAACACAGAAAGGTCAGATTTTGGCAAGACAAAAGTTTTGTCACCTACAGAAAATTGAACAAATAATTTACTTCAAATACAAAAATATGTTGCATAACGTCAGTGAATTAAGTAGTGGTGCTGTGAGATCCATATTTAATATCTTGTATGACTTCCATGAGCTTCAAGGACTACATCCATGCGGTTCGACAATGATTCATACAATTTGTTGATGAAGTCATCAGGAATAGCAAAGAAAGCAGTCTTACATGCCTCCCAGAGTTCATCAAGATTCTTTGGTTTTGCCTTCCATGCTTCCGCTTTCATTCTACCCCAGACATGCTCAATGATGTTCATGTCTGGTGACTGGGCTGGCCAGTCCTGGAGCACCTTGATCTTCTTCGCCTTGAGAAACTTTGATGTCGAGATAGAAGTATGCGATGGAGCACCATCCTGCTGCAAAATTTGACCCCTTTTATGGTTGGGAATGTAAGAGGAGCTAATACTTCTTGATATTTTAGGTTATTGATATTGCCTTCCACCCTGCAAATGTCTCGCACACCCCCCATACTGGATCTAACCCCAGGCCATGATTTTTCCGCCACCAAACTTAACTGTTTTCTGGGTGAATCTTGGATCCATGCGGGCTCCAGTAGGTCTCCTGCAATATTTGTGGCAGCTGTGATGTAATTCAACTGAGGATTCATCTGAGAAATCCACCTTCTGCCACTTTTCCAGTGTCCATCCTTTTAGCAGGCTGTGGGCCTTGGCAAATGCCACACGGTTTTTTAATTGCCTTTTGTTTAGTGCTGGTTTCTGTGCACTGATTCAACCATGGAGGCCATTTCGAGACAGAATTCTACAGACTGTTCTGGTTGACACAGGGACTTGAGGTGACCAGGCCTAGTGGAGCTCTGCTGCAGTGGAAAAGGGGCTGGCCGTGGATTTTCGAATCAACAAACGGTCCTCCCAAGCAGTTGTCTACCGGGGTCTGCCGGACCTGGGCTTGTCAAAAACATTTCCAGTCATTTCAGATCTTTTTCTTATTCTTTGTACTTGACGCTGAGACACATTGAAGGTGTCAGCCACCTCAGCAGTGGATCTGGTCTTCAGCCTCTTGATAATTAACGCTTTGGTCTCAGGGTGGATCTTAGGCATGTTGTCAGGGGTCAAGTTGCAGTTGATGTGAAGGTCTGGTGTGCTGGGGTTCTTTTTATACACACCCACTAATTGATTGATCAGTAACTGATCACAGGTGAGGCTGTAATCTAGGATTGGGTGCATCATATGACAAGGCGACAAAACTTTTGTCTTTCCAAAATCTGACCTTTCTGTGTTCATTAAATGATCAATCTTTTTTCAGTGAAGCAAATTTTTTTTAGTATATTGAGCATAATTTGGGAGGGTTTTAGCTTCCATAAGAGACATTTCTAAAACCAATTGATTAATTTAAAGTCAAGTTATAAGCTTTTGTTTCTACAAAATGGATAAGCGACAAGACTTTTGTCAGGGACTGTATAATCAATTCAGCCCCTCAATATCTGGAGTAAAAAAAACAAGATGCTATGTAGTTACTGTACTGTAATTAATGAAAAGTATATTAAACAAAACAATGCCAAAATGTCTAAAACGACAGATTAAAATATTAATTTATTACAAAACAGACAGTGATGGCAAAACAGGATAGTGATGACAATCAAAAGAAAAATACAATCAGAGGCAAGAAAAGTCCAGTTTAAATCTCACAGTTTACATTTTATTTTACAGTATCGTAGTCAATACACCAAATTTGCACCCCTCTGTGGTCTTTAAGAGTACATTCTAAAAAATTTACATAATTTAACTTGACAATGAAATGTACATGTTAAAAACTGTATTTTGAAGCTGCTGATTGCTGGATAATGTGACCCTGTTTTGCTTCAGGCTCAGACTCGTACCCCGAGCGCAGGGGCGTCCGAAAGGGGAATACTGTTTACGTTTATGGCTCAGGACTCACAGAGGACAGCCTGCGCTTAGCATTTTCTGTGCACGGAAACATCATTGATCTCTCTATGGACAACCCACGCAAGTATGTACAGGTTAAATCATAATTAGCATTTCGTCATCATTTCATGCACTGATCATAGGTTTATTGTGTACTACTTATTAACCCATTTGTTAATTATCTTTACAGCTGTGCATTTATTACATTTGAAAAGATGGAGTCTGCAGACCAGGCAGTAGCTGAGGTAAACGTGCAGTACACTAACTTTCAATGCTCACTTAAAGCTGACCTATTCTGCTAAATTTACTTTTCAGAGTTTTTAGCAGTGTAACAGTTGTTTTTTCTCATCATTTATCTATCCAAAATTGTATTTAGAGTGATTTATGCATGTTTGAAGAATCTTTAATAGCTTATTTTCAAGATGCCATATTGCCGCTGAAGTCCCGTGCTGCCACCAGCATAGGCTCATTGCTCTCTACTTACTTTGTTCGCTGATAAGGTTTCTGCAGCCTCACCTGGTAATTTTGGTACAAATGAAAAAAATATGCTGCTCACTAGTGTGATGTGCAGCTATTCATCCAGTTGTTTTTAGATGAATATTGCTATTTAAATGTGCAAATTACAACGATTCACGGGTGTCATAGATTATAACTATATAGGAGAGAGAAGAAGGGATATGATGTGATGTGATTTGATATGGTAACAACATTATAACAGAGATCAGAAAATAGTGTAATACAAGCCATTTAATGCCAAACACATGATAACTTTTACCACATTATCTAAAAGATTTATATTGTGTGCTCGATGTATGAAATCTTCAAGGCACAATAATTTTGCTCTTTTTCTATTTTTCTTTGTCCCAGTTGAACGCCAGCACAGTGGGAGATGTCAACATCAAAGTGAGCATCGCCAGGAAGCAGCCAATGTTAGATGCAGCAACTGGAAAATCAGTCTGGGCCTCTCTGGGTAAAAAATCTTTAAAAATGCAAATACATTTTGCACATATCCTGAGTCTCACCACTATTGGTCTCATTCACAGCGGTACAGAACAGCACAAAGGGCTCCTACCGTGACAAAAGGAACCAAGTCGTCTACAGCGAAGACTTTTTGTGATTCATGTTTCTCACTTACAGCAAGCTTTTTATATTTTTGTTCATGTCTGTAGAGAATCATTTCAAAAACCATAATTTTTCATTTGGTTTTCAGATATATGCGCTAGTATCGCTAGGGGATTAAAGTGCTCAATAAATGTCACTCAATAAATCCCTGTTTTGTCACCTTGACTGATGTTGCCATGTTCAAAAGATTAAGTGTAGATGGTCAGTTTATGATGAGTTACAATAGCTTTTTCTCTTCAGTGCTTATTTGGTGTCATTTCAAATCACAGAGGCACTTCTGCAACTCCTCCAGGAACAATTGATGTTTTCCCAGAGCAGTAAAGAAATATTGAAGTTAGGTGATTAGACAATCAGGGAAACACAAGGTCTGTCCTTATTGGAAAAAGCCTGAACAACATCTCAGATTTTTGCAGAATCAATGAGATGGCACTAAACTAAATTTGATATTGTAAATGATGGGTAATCAATGAGCTCATTAATAATAAATAATACACAAACCTGGTTGCACAATAATTTGGCACTGGCTTGAGATGCAATAGTGGAGGTAGGGACCAGACTGATACTAATCTGTATAAAAAATACTGAGATATTCTGGATTTGCCAGGCAACCGCTTATACTAAATCATTTTTCAAAATGAATAGAGCCAGAAACATTGCATAATTCACCTTTAAATGATTCAATGAAAAATATCACAAAAAAATCACAAAGTCCCAGGAAAGGCCATAATTGATTATATTTATTAAAAATGTGCTCTTTCTACAACAGTATGACATCACACAGTACATTTAATTGTAACAAATAATTTTAGTTTCAGTAATAGTTGAAGATTAATTGTGAGATCACAAGTTTCTGTTGGACGTCCTCATTATTAACTGTCAAATGGGACCCAATTTAAACATCGCAACCAAATGGCCAACGTTAACACTTCAGTCTACTTACTATCACATCACCATTTTGAGTAATTTAATGTTTGCCATGAACCCACACATTTAGTAACCAACCCAACCAAAACTACAACTATTATGTGAATAAATACAGGGTCACAGTAGTATTTCTCTATTACAAACTGTGACACATTTGGGAAAAAAATGTTAATAGATAAAATAAATTAAAAAATAAGGCCACTATGCAGCATTCTCACAGCGTTATCAAACGTCCCTTGAATGGTAACAGTTCTGTACCTCTGGAGCGTTACAGGTTAATATTTTGGACACAGCACAAGATTTAATAAAACTGAAAAAGAAAAAATTTTGTACTTTTTTAATATCAGTAATTATATTTTCAAACACAGTATTAGTTTATTACTGGATTAAATCTCCTTTTTCAGATAATTTGGTCCACTTTCCCCATGACTCTTAAGAAAAATCCATATAGCATTCTGCAATTAAAATATTACAATTTATAACACAATTTTTATCAACTTTGAGTAAAAAAACACATCTTAAAAGCAATTTCTTAAAATGGTGGTCAGAGATACTAATGGATAGCTGAATTTTTAAACTTTCACTTCATGTTGTTGCTTTTAATCTAAACTATGACTGAATGTCTCATTAACCTATAGCAGTCTTTATTAAGGCTAGGTATACGAGTTATACTTTGCAACTGTTGTCATGAACATTCCCGGGGAATGTGATGCTAACTGTAGGCACTGCTCTATTTGAGGTTTTGACTTGAATTTGATCTTTGTTTTAACACAATCTGACCATAAAGAACCAACTTAGCTGGAAATACAATAAGTGAGTTGATTTGTGCTCTTAAACAAATCTCACATAAAACACATAAAATTACAGTCATAAGATAACTAGTCACTTTCACCTTTTTTGTTGATAATCAAACCTCTAAACGGGAGCATGAATGGTCATATTGATCGCAGGCTCCAGAAAATGTGTTTTTTAAAACTTAAAACTTTTTGACAGTGTTTGCCAATGTGTCTCTTGTATCACCATGGTGACCCCTGAACATTCCACCATAGAGATACATGTAGAACACCTTCAGCGTGATGTCAAGAATAAATATGAAAGTAAAATGTTAATTTTTGCAATTGACTCATTCTTCAAAACTTGTTAGCATGGGCACATTATGAATACTTAGCAACCAGTTTGGATTTGGGTTTTAAAAAATAATGTGCAGATAATAACTGATAATAAAACAAGTATCAAAACATAATAGGACAAATTCGTAACTTTCCTGATTAATTTTAGAACGGTCTGTGTCAGAATTAGTAGACTAGAATACAATAGTAAAGAAACTCGTATTAGTTTGTTGTTTTGTTGTTCAAAATTGTATTTTTTTTTTGTTATTATTGTGGTGTTGAAATTGGTATAGAGCAGGGGTCTCCAACCTGTAGCTCAGGAGCTACCAGTAGCTCTCCATCCCCTTCCAAGTAGCTTGCCAAAGGATATCTGAATTCTGTGTATTGTGCTGAATAAGTAAAAGTTAATGAATTACCATTGTAAATGTACCATTTTGATGCCTTACTGTGCACTAATAAATGGATAATGGTTTATGTTTCATAGACATCTAACTGTTCTAAGGCTTGCTCTTATGTTTACTCAATGTCTTTGCGACTGCTTAAATTAGAAGCTCTCTGGCATTTCTGATTTGTAAAGGAGCTCACCGGAGGAAAAAGGTTGGAGACCCCTGGTAGAGAGCCTTATAAAACCTTTCACCTTTGTATTAAAAGCAACTTTGAAATTGTGACAACAGTTCTTTAGATTGACAAATCTGACCTAGTTCACAGCAACAAGTCTGCCCCAACAAACTACATGTCCAGACTATTTTATTATCTAAATAAGCTATCCATATGTATCCTGGAGCACCACATTAGAATAGTAATACAGTTTAGGAATACACATCTGAGTTCACTAGTGTTGCTCAATGCCTTGCTGCGCTTCTATTCTGTCCCTCTCCTGTTGCTCCAGTGAATTCTGCCCTGTTGTTTTCCCGTGCTGCTCCTTAAGGTGGCGCCGTAACGCTGGTTTGTGTGCGAAGCGCGCGTGGCAGTAGGCGCAGCGATGGGGCTTCTCTCCGCTGTGCAGATTCATGTGATCTATTAAGGTGGACTTTTGGGTGAAGCTCTTGCAGCAGAGTGGGCACGGGTGGGACTTCCCACCTGTTCTGTGGACCGCCATGTGACGACTCAAATTGGCTGAATGGTGGAACTTTTTGCCGCAACACGGACAGGCGTACAGCATGTGAGAAGTGCGACAATGCAACGCTAGAATATTTGCGGATGGGAACGCTAAACCGCAGTAATCACATATAACTGGACCGGGACCATTGCTGGATGTCGAGCCAACCACGGCCACAGACTCATCCCCTCCTCCTGCTCCTTCGCTGGGCTGCACCTCTAAGCCAGAACCCCCCTCTCCACCTCCAGCCTCCTCCAATGCAAGCTGTGCTACCTGCTTGTCACCTTCCCCCATGTTGTAATCTAACTGCGGAAGTTCGACAGAGATGTAGCTCCCTGGTTTGATTGTGTCCTGGTTATATTCGGACCCCAGTGCCAGTCCCACCCCGGAGTTGGTGACATACCATGTCTCCTGTCGAGCTTCGGACAGTCTCCATTTCCTCCTCTTTATCCCTCGGCCACGCCCCTTACTCTGCCTGAAGTCACTCAGTCTGTGCTTGAATGCAGCTCTTAAACTCTCCACTGTATCAATGCTGCCTCCGGGTTGCTCCTCAGACGGTCGCAGTTCGTAGTCGCCTCCCTCTCCAATCATGATCTGGGACATTTCAGATTGTGCTTCTTTCTCCATTGCTTCTCTATGGGCCCTCTCCTCTTCTGGGATGTACACTTTATAAACTTCATTGTCTTCCTGTTTGATGGTGACCTCCTCGTCCGACTCATTTACCTGTAACAAAGGTTCATATGTTTTTTACAGTTATTTACATTAGTCTCGTGAAGCACTCATAAACCAGAAATTAAAGGTCCTATGTTACACAAAATTGACTCTTGTGTCCCAGTGCGTGGTAGTACGTGTGGAGCTTAAGTTCCGCTGTGCGTAAAAGTGAAGTTGTAATGGAACACTTCACATGTAGCCAAGAAGAAATGATAAAACTTGCGCAAACGTGTTTGCAGTTTGACAGGGAGCGAGGGACGAGGGAATGATGAGAGAGAGACAGACGTGATGAAGAAGCGCACATCCAGAACCGACTGAAAATCAGTTCATCCTCATCCTTCAAAAATGAAAAAAATAAATAAATAAAATAAAAAGTCTAATCAACCAACCTGCTGAAGACCTCTACTTTAAGTCATGTTATAATGCAGTTACCTCACCTCATCAGCATACCAAGGGTTGTGTTTGAATAATCCTTTATTATTTCTGTATCTCCAGATTTCAACCTTGTGCTCTGTTCAGCCTTGTAAAGTCATGAATCAGTAGTTTTCAAGTTAACAGTGACCTTTAGTTCAGTAGAGATTGGTAGTTCCAAGACCGAAAGAATTCAAACGATTCTAGTGAAGGTCTATGGAATTTAAAAGCAACAGTGAAGCACTTCCTGTATTACCACATAACATCACAATACGGAATAGAGTATTTTCTGATTTAAAGATGAACTCTGCCTAAATATGCAAAGTTTGTGTGTTAAATATTTATAAAAAAAAACAAAAAAAAAAACACAACTTTGGGGATGTTTTTGATAAGGAAACAGCATTATAACATCAGATCACAAAATAAGTAATAAGGGCCCTTTAAAAATGTACTGTATAACCTTTTCTGGTGGAGGGTATGCCATCTGCTTTTCTCCATTGAGGTGTAATTGTTTTGTCTGTAATTTGTCAACATGACATGGCTTTAAATGTGCATTATTCAGTTACAGGGATTTTAGTGCATAAAATACCTTAAAAAACATGCATTCTTACAGAGAGTAGGCTCACCTCTCCACAGATCTGACCTGTTACTTGCCTAGTGGTGCCACTTGTTTGTTTTCAAAGAGAAACTTCTTGTATAACCCACTCACCTCTATACAGGCATTGTCCACTGAGGGGCTCTCACTCCGGAGCTGTATGCTACCGTGAGCTGATTGGCTGTTGTCATAAACCTCAGGAGTCAAAGGTTGTTTTGGGGAGGGTCTGGCTGTGACTGAATGCACACTGCCGGTGACAATGACTGGACTTGCCTGACCCTCCTCGTCAGTCTGTAACACAATAATGATTATCATTACAATATTTTGTTTAGTCACTACTGTAGGCATTCAAGACCGATATTTAGGGTGCATTCATACTCTTGCTTTGGTCTTGGTGTAGTCCAAGCTTAGTTCCAACAAGCTCTGCAATAAAACCTCTTCAAAGCTCATACAAACAAGCACTCAAGATATTAGATACGAAACCAATGCTACATAATTATTGTAACATTATTAAGAAATATGAAATTTGAGAATGTCATCCTCTTAGTCTACTGTACAAGATTTTTCATAACCAGGTGCTCCCACCTATAAAAGGTTTTGTGAAATCGTGTGAGGACCAGAAACTGTTCCATGAACATTAGGTCCACCACATTTGAACAGAACCGCTTCTCTGCCTGGAGCTCCTCACCTGTATCTGCAAAAGAGTGAAGCACTCTGAGACATTTTAAATTCAAGTGGCTTCAGGAGAGCCTGGGTTATAGCCATTAGTGTTTTGCTGTCTGTAGGAATAATGTATATGTAAATATTTCAACTTGTAAATTGATGAGGTGCTCCCTCTGCTGGTGATGGGTTGTTTGGTTTGTTTTTAGCTGTATTTTAAATGTTACATGGGCAATTTGATGAAGTACCTGCACACTGTTACCAGCTGTCACTTTGCCTCTGCCCAGGGACAACAGATGAAAATGAACTTGTAGCTAAATCTGGTCTGTGCAATACATTTATTGTGCAATGTCCCTGTCAAATAATGGATTAAGTGAAGCAATCAAAAAGAAATTCTGAATGAATTAATTCAGACTTAATTCATTTTACATAGATGTGGAATAAACATGCACATTTTAACACTAATGCATTCCAAAAATAGCATGTGATAGTCCCAAGATAGTTTTGTTGATAATGCCCACCCCTCATCTCATTCACACAAACATTTATTTTGTCTTTGCAAGGACTGACCATCACCAATGCAATATTGTAAAATTTTGGTCATTAATATGTAACTTACCCCCAGGGAGGTGAGGTTGTTGAGTTGAATGTACTTCTTCAGTGCTCCTCGGCAGCGCTCCACGATGTGCTCCATCTGCAAGTAGCTGGCAGCGGTCAGATAATTCACGATCTCTTTGGAGTTAAACTGAAGGACCCCAGTGTAACAGGACAGGAGCAGGTCCACCACCACAGAGGAGCTGTACAACATGGACACCTGCAGAAAAGACACAGTGTTATACAGTAATAGCCGGACTATAAACTGCTACTTTTTTCTCACACTTTGAACTCTGCGGCTTATAGCATGATGTGGCTAATATGTGGATGGCTTATCTGTTTGGCACATTGTCCATTCATATATACGGTCTATGGTTTGGCAACACAGTGGATGCACGCGCAGCATGAGTGTAGAAAGCGTTGCTGTCTGTGTGGTTAACACATGGATCTAGGGTTAACATGAAGTTGCAGTGTTAGCTAGTGACATTGTCAGCACACTCAAACTGTTTATCACTGTGGAATAAAATAAGTTATGATGCTAAATGAATATTAGTGAGGGGGATAGGTCTTACCCGTATGCATTAAATGCAGGTGGGTACGTAAATGATGAGAAGAAACATCTCAAACTTGAGTAGCTGGACATCCACTCATACCTGACCGATACAACTAGCCTACCCTCCCGGGAGAGCCTGAAATCTGCTGAAATTCTACAAGACACTGACATGATACAGACAGGACAGTAGCTCTTTCTGCAGGAAACATGCGCAGCAGAGTGTGGAGAGAGATGGTGGTGACGCGCCAAGGAAGATGCTAGTTTAATTGTGTTTTGAACAGTTATTTTGTGCTTCAGGCACACACCCTCCTCATGGAAAACTCATGAAGAAATGCAGATGATGCAGCTTTTAAGTTAAAAGCAATTGATCTGGCTGTCAAAGAAGGAAATCGAGCTGCTGCTTGTGAGCTCGTCATCAATGAGTCAATGGTGAGACTTTGGTGACGGCAGTGTGGCGATGCAAAAAGATGACAAAAGCTTTCTGAGGCAATAAAAGCAGATGGCATGAACTTGAAAACGTTCTTGAAGACGAGGTCACCTGCGGCTTATATTCAGGTGCGGCCTATATATGTACAGTTTAAAAATTTTATTAAAATATAGTTGATGCAGCTTATATTGGTGTATATATGGGTGTGCTCAATAGTCCGGAAATTACAGTAATTTAAAGCTTTTAACCATGTTAGAGTTGTTTTCCCTCACCATTTACTCACCTGAAGTTGTATTTGGAGCTATTTGTGCATGTCTGAGCAATCTTTAAACCACTCATTTTCAAGATGCCATATTGCCAATTAATCCCCATTTTCACCTCTTACACCCTCTCCAATTAAATTTTCTTAATCGGTGATACTCGTTTGGCAGTGTTGGGTTTGTGTAAAACAAAATACAATGAAGTATGTGTCAATCCCATGGAAACCCAGGTACAGCTATATCTTCTCCTACCTGGAGTTTGGGTGAGGGGTTGAGGAGAAACTGGTCTCTCAGATAGGGCGAGCAGGCAGCAAGGACAACTTTATGCCCTTTAAAGATCTGGTTGTCGCTGGAGATGATTGTGATGTCACAGAAGTGCTGCCGGGATCTCAGCGAGTCCATGTGCTTCAGGGTTGTGTCCCCATGACCAGGCAAGCGAAAACACAACATCTCCATCTGAAAGGAACAGACAAAAGGACATGAGCTAAAGGTGAAGGTAGAAAAATTGGCAAAAAAAAGATCTTTCATTCTTTCTAAATTCCTTGAATTCCACTGCCGCCTACACAAAATGTATCCAAAATGCAAACTGAAGTTGAGTCAGTATGGTGTATCCTCCTACTACTGTTTCAATAACCGCACAAGTGCACTACAAAACTACTTTGCCACCTGCTTGTCTCTCAGCAAAGCAGATGATTACGGCTTTGCCTGGAATGTCCCACCGTGGCATTACTGGCAAAGAGGTAAATTCACTAACATTCATTCCAATTTCAAGGTAATTTTGGTAAAGATATTTTTGATCAAACCACCTGTAATGAAATTTGCTAAATGCTGGATGGATGTGTTTAATACCATTCTATGGAATTGTCCATAGAAACATTCCTTCTCTGGTGGGCTAATTGGTCTGTAAACTAATATAGCTGACAGTGTGGACCTTATTGTTGTTTTACTAGTTTTTGACTGAGTAGCAGTTGAATGGGGGCATCACTGGTTGCACACTTGTAGGTTGATTTGGTTTAAGCAGAGTTACATTAAAGGACATTTTGTAGAAGAGGGGTTGTGAAAATTGCAACCTTCCAGTCCTACTAGCTGCCATGACGAGAAAGTTGACAGACGATACTCTGTAGGTTAAACGATTCCCGCAACCAAAATTCTTACAAACACACCGTTTAAAAACATGTAAAACTTGAAAAACTACTTTTATAATACTTATTAGTTAGGTGAAAGTTTGTCATTTTAGCAATGCCAGTAAGAATTTTAATGGAAACAGTGATATTTTATGTAAAAGAATAATAAACATATATATATATATATATATATATATATATATATATATATATATATATATATATATATATATATATATATATATATATATATATACGCTTTCCAAGTCTAGATTACTACAGTCCATTGCAAAGCGAAACATCAATTCATGTAGTGATTAAATGAGTAATAATACTGGTACATTGCTGTACGCCTCAATCTCAAATAATTAAAGAATAAGTTTAATTTCGTGCTATTGAGTGAATTGCGAAAAATCACACCCATCATTCTTGTTTATGTGTAATATAAAGTTAATAACAGCATTCCATATATCGCACAGGAGAAAGATTTAACTCAGCAGCGCTACAGATGTTGTCGTCGTGGCCTAAACTTGCCTGAACCGTGTTGACCGCTAGCCTCCCCGTTAGCTTCTGCTTCTGCTTGACCACCAACAAAAACACATACCACGGGTCAAAATCGTAACTTACGTCCTCTTTCATGCTGTTGGCACAAATATAAGATGTATACGTCTCCCAGCACGACCAAATTACAACTTATGAACCACTAGATTCCGTCTTCAAGCATGCTTCAGGCTGGCTACTACCACCAAGATTTGTGTTTACTTTTTGGGTCTTCTTTTGGAGGAAAAGGGGAAGTGCATCCCGTGATAACAACAGATGCAAACCAATGAGCGCTCGTCGCTAAACTGACCGTAAATCAGTTTTAAAAACGTTGGTATCAAGAGTTTGCTGTCCAAATAGAGCCTCAAACTGATTTCAGACCAGTAAACTTGTTTAGGGAGTAGGCAACAGAGATTCTTTATTAAGAAAGAGATAACCATAAATAAAACGAAGAGGTCATACGTCTTTTGCCTCCTGTATGTTTTTCAAACAGAAATTTGCTAAATTATTTTACAGATTTAGCTTAATATATTTGTAAGGTTATTATAGAACATGTTCTGGTGTACTTTATGTTTTATTGCATTTAAAAAATTAAAAAATACGTTCGAGAGAACAGCATCTCTCCTTAAAATATGAGTAGGCGTGCCATAGGAAATGACGCAGTACGTTCAAATACGTCGCTGCTCTTTTTGGAAACATGTCGGCATCAGAGGCGACGACAAAGGTACAAATCTCACCTACACGTTCAACATAAATCTGCTCACATTAGTTGGATTAAAAATGTCTAATATTTTCAACAAATCCATGAAAACTACAACGTCATTGATCGCTATAATTTACCATATGTTCTTCAGTGGTAGGCGTTTTGATCTGCTCTATTCTGCTAAACGCTAGCTTGTGTCATTTTTAATTGAGTCTTTTCTATTATACAGTAGGCTGTTTACTTGGGTTTGTTTTATTGCTTTGGAGACACAATTTTGTGTTTGTAATCAGAACTAGAGTAGAATATAAAAACGAATGCAATCACCAGCCTTAAAGAAGTAGATTATCTATCCATGGTTTTGTCCCAAAATGACAACAATAGCCTACAGTTCAGATTTCATACATTGTATTTCACGATTATCACTAAAAGTCTAATTGACTTAAACAACGTAATAATCAAATATAATGTCAATACAAAATGACAAGAACAATACGTTTTATCAAAATAATCATGCCTGCATATCATCTAAAGATGCACTGATGCCTAATGAAGAATACCAATTGTGGCATGTTCTATTTAAGGTGATGCACTAGATGCACACGAGGGTGCAGCACCTGCCTGTCTCCACGGAGATGTTATTGTTGGATCTAATATCTAATATCTACTAATCTTATCTATCTCCACCAGGCCAAATTACAGGTGTAACTGTGGAAAGGGTAACATGGTATATTTGAGCAATAAAGCCACTTGAGTACATGTGAGAAGAGAAGTGAAATACCTGTGGAACATTCCAGCCTGACTGGAAACTAAGTGACTATAGTGGGCAAAAAGGACTGTTCAAAGGGGAGATATGACTTAAAATTGACATTGTTTGTGATTCAGTTTAGGTCTGCAAACAAAAGTCACTGCACCTGCATCTATTATTAAGCTGTTTTACATTTATGTTGTGCAATGGCCAAAATGTAAAATAATGATCCATGTATGTTATAGTTTAAAAGAACTGTATGCAGCTTGTACTCTTACTGTTTTTTAAAAAGGTATTATAACTGAACACAACTGAAACCAGGTTGCCAGTGCCTAAAGCTGCAAATAAAGGACAAAACTCCTATGTGTCCTTTATTTGCAGGAGGATTCATGTGAGAAGGATCATCAAAACACACAAGCTATAACATAAACAAATGGAACATCATGTCTAATTAAGAATAAATCCAGATTTGAAATCAGTAAAATCTATATTTGATTTGAACATGATTACCTCGTATAGGGACACAGATAGGTAAAGTTTATGAAATTTAATATCAAACTCTTACACATTAGTTCCTTTTATACTAAAAACGTTCCTGGAAACAAAAGCATAATATGTCTTTAAGTAAAAAAAAAAAAAAAAAAAAAAAAAATATATATATATATATATATATATATATATATATATATATATATATATATATATATATATATATATATATATATATATATATATATATATATATATATATATATTTTTTTTAATATATATATATAATATGACATGACATTTTACTCCATAAAATATATATGAGATTAAACTATTCAAAGGAAAATGAGTTGTGTCACTAGAATCTATGGGAAACACTTCGCTATTATTTTGACATAAATCCCACCGGAAGTCAGATTGATCCCACCCCTTGCACGAGCGCGCACGCCTCTAAACAATGCCAGAGCCGCGGCCATGGAGAGCAGCTTTGGTGAAAAACTAGAAATCGTGTCTCCCCGAGGCAGTAAATCCGCAGTTTGGGAATATTTTGGATTTTGGAGAATCCACGGAGTCCTTGACAAGAGGCGTATTGTGTGTAAACTGTGCCGTCACGAGTTGGCATACGTTGGGAACACTACAAACCCGGCCAGGCATCTCAGGATCCAACACGATATCCACATTGCTGCCATCACTAGCTGCGCTAAAAACAAAGGAAAAGTAAGTGCGAGCCGAGCGAAGTTTGCTGTGCACCGCTATATCTGATCAAAGTAACGGAATTTCAGAGAGAGACTAACAAAACTGCAAATACTGCAAAATTAAGTTCAAGCCTATGATCCTTGACTCAAGTAGCTTGAGGTACAAGTTTGAAAAAGCTACGCTCACTGTTATAGCACTAATTCACTTGTAAGTGTTACTACTACACTTATACGCCATTAATACTCATACTAACTAGGTCACGTTTTATTTCACTAGTGCTGCTGTTGCAATCCTCTCTACAACAAATGATATTACTACCCGTACTAGCTTCAAATAAGGAGTGATAATAGTGCTTTTTAGACTACACATTCATAATATATAAGATAACTTTTATTTGTCCCACAATTGGCAAATTCCAGAGTTGCAACATATAGTTTAAGAACAGCAAGATAATATAAATGGTTACTCTTGTGAGCTTTAAGCCATGTTATAATGTTACCTCATCAAAAACATACTTGGAGTTGTGTTTTGTTTCATGCACACATGTTTGAGCACTTCTTTATTATTAGTGTGCCTAAATCTACGAAGCTCAAAATGCTCTGTTCCACTTGTGATAACTTGAAAACTATCCCTTCTTGATAACAGCTACCTTTCACCTTTAGTTCAGGACAGATTTGCCATTCCAAGGCTGAAAATGATCCACATTACTCCAGTGAAGATGAATGGACTTTAAAAACACAGTAGAGCCACTTCCTGTATTACAAGGTGGAACAGGGTCTTTTCAGTTTGAGAAAAGAACTCTTAAACATGAAGGATTTGTGTGACTGAAATAAAACACAATTGCAGGAAACAACATTATAACATAGATAAGAAACATTTAAAATTGTAATTGATATTGCAATTTGTATCTCAAGGACTCTACTGAACTAGATGCATCCAAAGAAACACTACCAGGGCCAAATCGTATTGAAGAAGGTAAACGCTCTTTCTAATCTATCTAATCTATCAATTCCTTTGTATAATAACCAGCTATATAAATTTAAATTTATCCAGATAATGCAGCCTGTAGCCCTCTCTCCGCTGTGAAGAAACCAGACCTGATGGGGGCAAAGACTTCAATTTTTCTTCAAGGATCACCAAAGCCCAAAGATGGTGTCCGATCTAAAGACAGTTCCCCAACTACATCACCGACACACAAATCAACAGGAGGTAAGGCTGTTAAAGTTCATATTACAGGTTTTCATGGTTTTCCACTTGGTTTGGTGACATAGTAAGTGTAATCTCTCATATCTGCTGCCCATGACCACAAAGTAAAATTGTAAACTTCACCTCTATTTAAAACTACGCAAAGTATGTCTAAGCACGTTTTAGTGTTTTAGTGTTTTATTTTCTCATGGCCTTGGACTTCAGTGGCATTTTGTCTAATTTTGGTGGTAAGCGAAGTTGTGGGACTGGCAGGGTGTTTTTGAGCCTGCGTCTGGTGTGATATCAGATAGAAATATAGCCAAACTAAATCTCTTCTTCCTGGTGGTTACATTTTCACAAGATGGAAAGTGGACGTTTGTAGAAGAGGAAGTTTGAAATATTGCAGACCGGACCCCCACCCCAAACTTCTCTTTAGTTTTTTTTTTTAAATCAACTGTCAACAGATTTGGACTACTCAATATAGGATGTTTCTCAATACAATGTAAAGGAACCTACAGTGTCTTTACTATTGCATGAAAGGTGATGCAGTGCTACTAGTTTAATTATATTATTTTATGCCTTCTATTCTGCAAGGTGTATTGGTTCTATTCTGTTGGCATTTTTAGAGTAATATCCTTCTGGATGGATAATAATTAATAAAACTTATTTCTACAGAGAATGTTCCCGAAGTATGGTTTTAAGCTTCTGTTTCCATAAAATGATGCAGGTGACTCTCCACCCTCAGAAAATAAGGACACAAATTTGCATTATAATATTTTGTGATTGATTTAGTTTTTTGTTGTTCATTTTTTATAACTCAATCTAATGGAAAAATACACATCTTAAATAAAAGACCATAGCATCTTCATTTATATGCAGAACAATTAATTGTGCCTGAAGGTTTTGATTGATTGGTTTATTTTAGTCACATTTAGGTTATTCTAAGTAAAAGCGTGTTCATCATTCTATATAAACAAAAAAGATGTAGGCTGGAGCTCCTAGTCCCCACATTGATCTAATAGAGTTTGTTACTGTAAACTGGTTACATGTATTATTCTATTATTTAAACATCTCTTGACTTTATTATTATTATTATAAATTTTTTCAGTTCTTCCGCCTAAACCCCACTCTTCGATGTCCGGCTCGTTACTGTCTTCTCCCTCTACCTCGTCCACGCTCCAGTCTCCGGGCAGAGCCAAGATGAGTGTGTCTGGCCCGGGCAGCAGTAAGTCGTCCCTGCCCCCAGCCCCCCTCTCCTCTCCTGGGACTGCCTCTCCATCGGCCTCCCCTGGTCCACCCAAAATCCACCGCGCTCGAAAGACCATGAACAGGCCTCCTTTTGCACAGGTAAGTTAACTGGTAACACTTTGTAATAACTACACTTTAATTAGCCCTAATACAGCATGAGCAAAAACTTGATTCATATTGAACAAA